TTGCAATAAATCAAAATTAGCAGCATACAACTTTGGGCCACAAACACACGCCCTTTGGCCGCGGCCAAAACTCCCCCGTTGCCCGTCGCCCACTTCCCCCTTTCCCCGTTCCACCATTCGCACATTCGCCTTCCTTCTCTAGCGGTCGTAAGTGCAGGTTGCAATCAATGCCGTAATAGCAACAACAGCAATAACAACTTCCGTATTTCATGCGCTGTAATTTAGCTCAAGTAACAAAATGCAAAGCCAAACTAAATGTTGACGGTGACGACGCGCCGCAACGCTGAGACTTAAAGCTGAGAGCTGTGGACTACACTGGGAAAAAAATAAAATTAATATAACATAAAATTAATATAAGTTATTTACATTTTTAAATAATTAAATATATAATTGATCGTTTACTGTAGTGAAAAGAATAGATCTTCAACAAAAGGATAGTCTATTAAAAAATCCATTGGATTATTTTTACTTTGACACAAAAATTTGCGAAGCAAAAAATGATCGACTGGTTATATATAACTTTAAAAATACTGCAAAATCAATATAGTTTTTTTTCGGTGTATGCTGAACCGACCAGCTGTAAACTGCAATCCAATATTTGCAATCTGTGAGCTGGCGGACCAAAAGGCGACTCTCTTGGCACGTCTGCATTCGATGGCCGGCCACTCGCTGCTGCGATTTGATTCGATTTCATGTTTACATACAAATTGACATAATTTGTTTATAAATGTTTAATGATCAGAGAGCCAGGCAGCGGGTGACCAGGCCCAGACGCAGACTGTTTACAATTGCAATTGTGCAAATATACAGGCGATCGCTGAGAGTCCGAGTCAAAGAACAGGCCACATGGTAATGTAGATATCAAAACAGTCGAAGCGCCCAACAGAGCTCCACTTGTGGGGCATTTGGTGTCATAAATTAGAATACTTATTGCACACCCAGGCCCCGCAAGACACACGCAGTTAGTTGTTCAACATCATTTCAGACAATTTATAAATAATATGAATTGATTGAACAAACGCCGCCAAATAATTAGACTTATTTACAAGTCTAACTCGTTGGCAGCAGCAGCAAAAAAATCACAACAAAAGCCAGCAACGAACATAAATATAAAATCCCCATGAAATTCCCAAATCCAGAAAATCGTGCGATTAAAACTGGATATGCATATCCTTACTTTTTTCTCCCAATTTGGACTTTTTAATTATTGTAGAAATGCTGAAATTATCGTCTTGATTGCATAACACCAAAAATCATCAGCCAGAAAAAAGAAGAAGAAAGCAAATGCGCACCCGGGAATGTTTAAAGAAAAAAAATAAGGGGGCAAAAAATTATAAATAATAATTAACATATTCTTATATTAAGTTGTCTGACGAAAAGCTTTTGCATATAATTAAGGGACTTATGTACACAATAGCCTCAACATTCATAGTTAATAACAGAGTCATTTTAAAACACCTTTATTTATAGACTTTGATACGTAAACACTTATATTCTCAGCAGAGTCACAACTTCTTGGACATTTATGAGATGGAAACAATAGTATAAATAGATGATTAATATATATTTGCTGATTTTATAACTTTTTGTTACAAATATTTAATAATAAACAGTCTGGAAAACATACAAAACATTTAACAGAAATAAGTCCATATAAAACTCAAAAACTCGTAAAATTCTTCCCATTTCTTCTTATAATATGTGTGGTACATATTGTCTCTAATCTTCAGAATAATCCTGACTTGATATATACCATTAATAGATAAAGAATCTAGAACTACATGAGTTTTCTTCATTAATATACGGAAGATTAAAATTTAGATACCGTTTACTTCCAACTTTTATAAATTTCAAAGATATTTCATTTTTGGTTTTAAATCAATTTTGTTTAACAAAAACAATAAAATATAAGTAGTTTTACATCAATTTAACAAAATCACCCCATGCAATACGTACACATAAGTGCATTATTATCACTTTCATGGAACTGAAAATGAAAATGTCAAATGGGGAACCACAAGTTGTCGGCGATTCGAGTGCGTAATAGAGGGGTTATGCCGGTGGATTGTTGGCCAAAGTCGAGTAGATAGATCGGTCTCTCTGACATATTGGCGCTTGTGTGTGTAGCTGCCGGCCATTACAATTATTATTACATATTAACATTTGTGGCATTCTTACATACTTAATACATTATTACAGTAATTTAATAACATGTTCTCAGGGCCAACCTGGTTGTATGGAGTGCCGCCAAGTGGATTCCGCCCGATCTCGCTGGATGGAGTGGATATATATTGACAGTATCGCCCCGATGCATATTTTAAAGAGTCGCCAGCCGCCAGATTACATTGTAGCCGCCGAGAGCCACGAGTGTGTGTAGCTGGCCAACACAATAACAGGAGGTCATAATGAACGACACTTTACGGGCGATCCGATCCATTGATGACTCAATGGGGTTCCGTTCCTGGTCAAATCACAGATACTCACATCAAATATCACGATTTTCAGCAGTCAGTTGTCAAACATGGGGAGTTGTCTTAGATGCGGATGCGGACCTCGACTTGGACATCTGAGACAGATTGGGGTTCGCGGGTGGGTTTGGCTGGTGGAAAGTGAAAATGCATTGGTCTAATTATAACACGTGATATCATCGGACGCGCATGATTTATGCGCGAGTGCACCAGATCCGGCAGCAACAATATCGGCCAGAACCTGATTGGATTGTCTTGGATTGTACACCGCCGCCGCCCGGAGAGATAGGGAGAGCTCAAGTTCAATGTGGAAGCGGCTAATCCGAGCCGCCAGACAAGGCAGCCCCTTGAAAATAGAAGCGCTTCACTCGCAATCAAATACACTGAGATTATTTATATAATATTTACAAACCAGACTTTGACTATGAAACAAAGACGGGAAATTAACAAAATAAATTATGATTATATGATATATTTTTGTGGAAAATCTTTTAATTATTTATTCAAAATTTCCATTTAAATATTTATTACTTATTTTCTTACTCCTAAAAGCCACTTAAAAAAAATATATACATTTTTTCCCTCTGTGTGGAGGGCCTCCACTATTATCCACTCGATACGCCTCTGGACACCCAAAACCACAAACCTCGACGTGCAAAATGTCTATGCAAATGCCGGCACCCTCAACGCCTGCCTGGCTTCCCCTCTCACCTCTCAAGTTCGCCGCTTTTTTTGCACAAACAATTCCATTTCGCTTTTAATTTCTTCGCTCAACACATCATTTTTTTTCGTGTGCGTGTTTGTGTGTGTGTGTTTGTCAACTAAATTGGGTCTAGTTTATGCGGTTTTTATGAATCTGACCTTAGTCATGATCATGAAATGCTCAAAACTGTTCCACTGGGCTGCAATTAGGGCATGAATAGGGGATACTCAGTGCCAGGCAACCCACTGAAAAAAAGAGGCTGGAAATTGGATAACAAGAGTGGAAGATTGGAATGATTGTAGGGGATGAATACAATTGATAACGATTCTCTATAGAGGAAGCTAAATGTTCACTTTAAAGAACAAGAGCGGAATTATATAATATAAATAATATGAATAAAAAGAAATAGTATAGGTTATCCTTTTGAATTATGACATTTTCAGGATGCATTTTAAGATTTTCATCCTAGAAACTCTTAAAAAACGTTGTACTATATTTAATCGATGGAAAATCAGTTCTTAAATATTGGATTTCATTATATTTTAACAATATATTTAGGTTTTTTATATAATTAGCAATATATCAATATCAGAAAATGCTTGCAAACAATACTCCTGTTAAGAGGTTATATTTTCCGGATAGTTTTCTTTATTTATAAAATAAATAAAATTAAAAAATATAAATGTATATGTATATGTATATGTATGTATTGACACATTTGCCTTTTCGGCTTCAAACAAGCTCTAAATCAAGTTCAAAGCCAAACTAATTATCAGCAATTTAGCTGATGATCAATAATAGAAAAATACCCAAGCAGCAAACGCCCAAAAAACATGAAACATGTTTGGTTTCAGTTTGAGTTTGACTTCAGTCTTGTGTTTATATTTAGTTTTAAATCTTTTTTTTTTGTTGTAGCCTTAGTTTGGGCAGACAAAACAAAGCGACTAGCCAAACTACTTACTTTACAGTGACTGCTACTACTACTACTACTACCTTTACCTGCCCAACACACATCGCACATAAATGCAAATAAATAATTAAAGGCAAATATACACGACGACGGCAAGCAACAACAAATCAGCGCGGACGGCAATATTTTGGCAGCGAACTTGTTTAATTTGCATACAGAGTCAGTCGCCCCCTCGGAGGGGGCCAGGAGGCCCACGCAGATGCAATTAAAAAGGCGCGCGCGCGTAGATCCAGTCAGCTGATGATGGGCTCGGATTGGTCGGGAGCGGGCCAGTGGATGGATGAGCTGGAAGCGGGACGTGTGGGGATGGATCTCCGTAAACTGGAGCCGGCTGCCGGGGTACAAAAAATTTAAATACATTTTTTTATATGCACTTTGTTGACTTTTTGTTTGCCTCGCCGATGTTTTGCTTGGAATTCAGGAATCGGAATCGGAATCTGCTGTGCCGAAACTAGTTCGTCGCAGAATTAGTGCAGTAAATATACGAAAAAAAATATATATAAAAATAAAAGTATAAAGTATATAAACACGGTGGTGTGTGAGAAATATGTATGTAATTGGACTGCTAAAATGAGCTTTATTTAGCGTGTTCTATTGAAAGGACAATAAACTCTCGTCGGATCGTCAAGGTCAACCACATCGCATTAGAAGACGTCGATCGATTCTTATTCGGGTCGTTATGAATATATACATCAGTGTATTTGTTCTAAATTCTACTTGATCGCTTTGAATATGCAAATGTCTCTGGAATTAACTAATATCGTCAGCAGAGAGCCTGAAGATTGCATTTATGTATGCATTTTTGGAATGAGAAATATTTGCAGAAAACCTAATTCTAGATACAATTAAACAACTAAACTAGTCGTTCCTACTCGACATTTATTTTGTATGCGTTGTCTCAAATTACTCCTTGAGGATCCTGGATTAACATAAGCTGGTATTCTGCTTTCAAATTAGCTTGATTCTTCCTCCAATTTGATGTCCTAGCAGCAAGGATAACCACAATAGCAGCCGCCACAGGGTCCACATGCGTAGCACGGACCACAGACATTGGGTCCGTAGCAGGAACCACATCCCCCACATGGATCACAGCAGGGTCCACAAGGACCACAGCAGGGTCCGCAAGGTCCACAGCAAGGTCCACATGGTCCACAGGGTCCGCAACACATGATTAAGCCGTACAAGTTCTAAAAAGTAAACGTTACAATAGATTTTTCTATTTTTTTATTCAAACTTTTACTTACTTTGAACCGAAAAAGAAAATAATTTGAGACTACACAAAAAATTTGAGATGTTGTTAGGTCGAGCAGACGAACGATAATGTTTTGGGAAGTGGTTTGTACAGGGGAATGGAAAATGTATTTGACAGGAGGCTCTATGGTGGCTATTTTATAAATTTAAAGCCTTGAGTTTAAGCAGAGTTTTGTGATAATAAAATCTCTTCTTATTCCTACCCTGCAGATAGTTCAAAAACCCCTTTGTTTCACACCCATATCATACGTTTTTTATCACATTTATATTTCCGCAGTGCCTTGTAATACATAAAATAAATAAATGAGATTTAAATTTGTTGCTTTGTGACCGTGTCATGTGTTCAATGCACCCGCTGCTTCGGAGTTCGAAGCGCTGCCGGTTCTCAAGTCGAGTTCTGCGCTGCAGTTTTGTTTACTCTTGATTTTGTCGTACTTTTTGATTAAGTGCATGCCGCATAGTATCCGACTCCGATTCCGATTCCGAGTATATATACGCGAGCGAGTGTATATAAAGTTCATTATCTGGCTAAAGAGCCGAGTTGTTTTCCAGCCAAGAATGTCGCATTGAAAGAGGTCAATCACCAGTGATTGGGATTGTGCCTTGGATGTCACTCGTGTAATTCAGTACAATTTATTTTATTTGCTAACGATTTTACGATTTCGCTTAATTAACTCCCCAAAAAAAGCAGGAAGCCAGGCCAACTAGTTGACAGAGTCACTCACTGGCCAAGCCACCACATCCACATGATATGCCCTGGCCGAGCTATATATGCTTATACAATGATTCGTATTTTTGCATGACTGAGTCCGAGTCCGTCCAGGCCGAGCATTCGGGCAGAAAAGTATGGGTTTGCAAATAAAAAGCGCATAATAGGCGTTTAAATGCAATTTTCTCAGCAAAATGGTCGGGCGAAATATCAAAAATTCGAATTATATGTTTTGCGGCATGTTGATTAGAACGAAATATGTATTTGGATGTGTGTGCTTTTCGGGGAGGGAGGATCTGCTGGCCAGCAGAGGCAAAAACCACATCGAAGAAGCGCACAGAAGTCCTGTCCTGTCCCTTCTAGCTGAAATATTTTTGGGTAGCATCTCGCATCCGATGAGACACGGACAAGTCCAACTCAAAGTCCGAATGCTTCTTCATTTTCTGCACTTGAAAAAAAACCAACCTTAACTGGTCTTAATTTAAACTTTCCTTGACTTTCTGACACTTGAAACTTTCCACTGAAATCGGACCATAAATTATGCTTAATTTAGTTTAAAATACTACTAAAATACCCTTTAAATCCTGTTTTGAATTTTATTAAAATATTTTGATTTCAAATCAAAGTCTGGATTTTTTTCTCTGTGATTTCTTGCTATTTTTTTGGTGGCTTGGAACCGTGGTCAATAATTTTGTGAGGGTGCCGCCAAAAGGGCAGCAGACGCCGCTCTAACTCACTTTTTTTTCTGTTCGTTTTTCATATTTGTGCGCTGGTCTCTGTTTGAAATAGATTATTGGCAATACATATGTATACAAATATTTTTATTTCGTCTGGCGACGCGGAGAGTTCAAGGATTTTTCTTGGGTTCAGTGAACCAAATGTCTTTCCTCCGGCCGGAAATATCGAATTCGGTTTAATTATGGCCCCTCCTCTGGCAACTTATTAATATAAGTTTGATGAAAAGTGAAACACAATGGGCACACACAGATGTCATCATCAGCGCTGGAAAGCGTTGAATAGTGTGCCAGTCAATCCCAAGGAAATCAATATCCGCCAGGCGTAAGTGTGCGCCCTAATGACTTGGGGGCGTGGCGGTCGAAGGGCAAAAGGTGAGGAAGGGTTTGAAAGGGTAAAAAAAAGGGGAACTAGCTCACAGGTAACCCGAGTAGCTGAGGAAAGTGAAGAAAGCACGTGCCGCCCTCAGAAAGTGGCAGCTGATATTCAACAAAAAAAAAAAAGGAAAGTGATCTGCAAGTCAAGATAGGAAATTACAGAACCATATGAGAGGCAAGTATAAGAGAAAATATATGAAAATAGATCCTTGAATCATTAAACTTCGTTTCGATATTCAATCCAGGGATACCAGGGATAAAAACTACAAGAATTTTATAAAGATCCTGTTCAAGAAACTGAAGAAATCCCGAGTTCTAGGCACGTGCTGCCCTCAAACAGTGGCTTTCAGCCTTATTTTGAAATGAAAGGGAACTTAAACTCAGCGCACAACTGATCCAGATACCGATCCAGATCGAAATCACAGGCTCCTGGAAGTCAGAAATTCTGATTGATCGTGCGACACGGGATGCGGATGAGAGAGGCTGCCAGGAATTCCTAAGAAAATGAAGCGTACAAAAAACGCAGCACGCAAAAAAATAAAAGGGTGGAATACAATATAATAATAATAAGGAGAGCCTAAGAAACGATCTCTTATTATTTAATTTGAAACTGGGCCGCCCTTTTTTATAGTTTTTTTTGTTTTTCTGAGCCGCCGTCGTATCAATGAATCGAAATGGAATAAAATGAAATGCGAATGTCTCGATCGCGTGCGGCCACATTTTCACAGATTTCAGTTTTCGAGTTTTCGAACTTTTTGCCGCGAGATTCTGATTCTGTTTCAGCGTTTTGATTTGTGCCTCCTTTTGATCGTACCTCGGTTTTTTTCTACATCGACTTTATGTTATTGTTTGTGTGTAATATTGGGGGTTGTGTCTTCTGATTCGACTATAAATGGCATACAAATACATAATTTTGTTTAACCCTTGGATGCTTTTGGGGATTTCAAAGGGTTTTCAGTTAGGAGCTATAATTTTAGATGAAAATTTAACTATTGGCTTTATCTTATATTTTTTATAAATTTTAGAAATTCATAATTTATACTTGTTCTCTACGTTTTTTAAAAATTTTTCAACAAAAGTTTTGTATTCTATGGAAATCTACAAATCCTGAATTCGAAAATAGAGTGTTTTTGGAATTATGAAATCTTTTTCTAATGGTTTTTCAAACTTTTTTCCTAAGAAGTATTATCAACCATATCTAAGGCCTTTCACTAACTATAATTTCCAGGGTTAATCCCGAAAATTGTATGTTTTTTTTTTTGTAGCCACAGTTGATGACGAATACGCATGCAAGTTCCACGAAAACCACCGACATAAATCCCGAACCTCCCGAAATTCCACAAATAGTTGGGCAGTGCCCAAGCCAAATTGCAAGTCAATTATAAATTGCAAGAGAGGAAAAAGCGAAGAAACCAAAATGGCAAAACCGAAGCCAAAACCGGGAAAAGAAAAAAGCCCCCAACAGAGTTGCAGTGTAAAATTGTAGCTTAACAAAAACTGCTAATTTAACTGCTAGTTTCGCATGCTAACACACACAGTCGCCGGAAAATATCAATGGACATGCCATGAAAATGCAGGTTGAACTCTGGAAAAACCATGAAATGTGTACAGTGAAAATCTTCCGCGTTTGTGCAATGTAGGAAGATTTTAGTTTTGAAATCGCTATAAGACATACATAGGTTTTTTCTATAGTTGTTACAATGTTTATAGTGTAAAGATTATGTATTTTATTATGTATGTATTATGTATGTAAAAAAAACAAAATAATGTTAAATTAAGATGTATGTGCTTAGTTTTGTTATCTTCTATATTATACAATTTCACATTTAATGAGCTATCCTTGAGAAACTTGATCTTAACCATCTTAAATCTAGGAATTAATGAAGTAAATTTAATAATTAAATCATTTTAAAATGTCTGAATAAGTAAACAAATCCCATAAATAAAATTTTTAATTTTAAGAACAGACACTTTGGTAATCCTTTGGAAAATTCTACAAATTAAATTAAATATGTTTTCTTTTGGAGCGTCGGAGATCGAAGAGCGAAAGCCCACCGGAGCCGGAGCTTCATTCGGAAGAAAGCAGGTGAGAGCGGCGATCGCTCGTAAAGCGCTCAGGCCGTGACACCTCTGATGCGCCTGCTCCCGCTCCTTGCGGTTGAGGGGGCTGGGGAGAGGGGACAGCGTGCGAAAGTGAAATCGAACCTTTGCTGCCGGCGTGTGGGCTTTTGGACAATAACAAAAACCACGAAGCCGGGCCGGTTTCAAAGTTTACGAGGGGCGCGACAGCGGCAAACAGTGGATCGAATTCCGTAAAATAATCGCTGAACAAAAAAATATTACTTGCCGTAAATTAAAGAAATCGAATATAAATATACCTCAATTTATAAATTAATTCAAAGTGATTAACAAAGATTTTTTTAGATAAGAAATGTAAGGTAAATAACCTTTTTGTCTCAAAATAAATTTTAAAAGTATTAATAATGATTTTAATAGATAACAGTTAAATATAAAAGTCTTAAAAGTAATAGCAAGCCTTAAATTGTCAAGTTTTTTCTCACTGTAGTTGACAGATTTCAATTTTGGCCAAGTGCAATGTGTTGGGGAGGCGGGCGGCACTGCTGACTTCGATTAATAATAACAAAAATACAAATTTGTAAAAGTTTCGCATTTATTTTTACAGGCGGTGAATGAAAATCCGTTTCGGTTTTAATTTTGGCTCCTGCAGGCCGTATATACGTTTTGGCCTGGTCACTGAACTTTGTCCGAGTGGACTTTCGTCATGAAAAGTTTAACATACGTGAGTGACCGCCAGTGACGCGCTGGCCAGGCCCAAACCCGATAATTAAAATTACACAGCGCCTGCCGGGTGGGTGGGTGATGATGAGTCGGCTGGATTTCCTCGGATTCGGACGCAATTCCCACATTTGGGGTTAATTACAGACTTAACTCGGTCATTCTTCAGCTGAGTTTTGCTTAAAAAAAAAAAACAAAAAACTAAAATAATCTTTATTTTAAAAATGCAAAAATAATATTCTAAATTTAGTAGGACATTTTAAAATAAATATCATGAAAACTATTTCAGAGAAATTGTTAACCTTTATAATTATTTTTTGTTTCATTAAATTTGTAAAATTATATCACAAAACAATCTTATTGTTATATTTTGTTTTTGATTTCTATGAAATTCTCTTGACGGCCCTGATTACTGCTAAATAACTGCACAGGCGTCAATTGGCAATGCAAATCCATTTTAAGATCTCAAGAAATATGCAGCTTTAATTAGTTAATAAGCGGCACTGGCTACCACCTGACACCGTCTCGACATGGCCATGGCTTTGGTTGTTTCGCTGGTTACTCTGGTGGCTCTGGCTACCCAGGATTCCTCAGACGACACTGATAAAGCGGCGCTCCGACGGACTGGACCACAAATGGGCGTCGAGCGCAATTAGCGCCATATATCAATTACTATACATTGCTCCACTCCACATTACGTATACGCAGACGACGCTCGGCTAAAGTGTTTTCATTATAAATCATTTATTCAAATTACATATTAGAGCAACTGGTTGTTGTGGTCAGCACATTGGGACAACTGCTGCTCCGATTGGGTTCCGGCGTCGCGTAGCTGCAAACAGCTGATCGATGGATCGGTCGAGTGTATATGGTTAACGAACAGACACCGGCAGCCGGTAATAATCACTTGACGCCTTTCGGCTGGACAGCTGTCTGGCAGCGATCGTCTAGCATAAACAAGATTCAAATTAATGGAATTTTCAAAGAATTTCATATAGATTTTCGCAGGAATAGAGTCGGATATCAATTGGAAATTTAGAATAAGATGAGAGAAAACAAAAGTCCACTAACGGTGACCTAGGGTTTTCCTCTTAATGGTTGGCAATGGGTCAAAAGTTGATTAACATTTTAATAACCATCCTTTAAAATTATAAATGAAATTCTTCCACAAAAAAGTAGTTAGTACTCAACTCCATTTATTTATAACTCTGTTAAAATATACTCAAAACATATTCATTTAAAGAAATTATCTACCATCTCAGTACACATCTAATTGGGACCGTTATTCCATCAAATAATACAATAATGTCACATCCATATTTCTTTATTATATATTACTTTTCATACATATATTTGCTTGATCGATCAGTGATCGAAAAAAGCTTCAATCGGATTTTGCAACCACAAGTCGAGACCTAAACCTTCGTACGTTAGTTTTGAAACCGAAATTGATCTAGTTACTTACTTATTATATTTATTATATTTTTTTTGCTTACAGAAAACCATTAAAAACTGCTCTTAAAAAGAAATACATTCGTGCTGTGATCATATTAAAATCAATTTACATTCCTAATTAGGGAAATTCTCTAGCAGGATACAATAATACTTGAACTTATTCCATATTGTGCAATGGGTATCATAAAATTTGAATACTTTTAGCCTCTGCATTCAATAATTCTTCATTTAATTCTTTCCAATTTCCTTCAAATGAATTCTTAAACATTTTCGGATTTCATTCTTTTACTTTCTGAACTTGTTTTTATCTGAAATCAATTATAAAATGTACAAAATACACCACATATGTAAAAAACATTTAAACATCTAAACGGCGTTTCATTGTTTTATCATTTAAAATGTACGTGTCATTGGCAATATGACATCATTTTTGGATATACCATTTTCAAGTCGGTTGCGGTTTGGTTCTCATCTCTGTCAATAAGATCAGCTTTTGTAAAACCGTACAAAATACATGTGATTTGTATAAAATTGTATATTTATGTGCGTAACTATTTTGCGGTATCTAAATTGGAGGTTTTGTGTCTTGATCCTTAGTTAAAAGTTCGTTGGTTTAAACAAGTATTCCAGCAAGTCAATGAAGTCAAATGTATGCATGCTCAGGTTGTTTGTGCTTTTGTATAGTTTTAATAAAACGTTACTAAGACGGTAAATTGTTGTAATAGTCACATAAAGCTAAAGGATAATTAATTACACTCGGGACTGAGGATGAGCCACAAAGCCCTAGCTCCTTGTTAATCATATTTATAAACTGAAAAAATATTACAAATAATAGGTGCTCTAGGGTGGATCGACTTTGTTTTGCCTTAGAAAAATCATAAGAAATATGTATATTAAATATATTTTACAGAAAACAAGTCTTAATAAAATTCCACATTTCCAAAAAATCAGTCAAGTTTTTATGTTTCAAACTGTAAAATCAGTGAATCGCCGATTCAGTGAGTTTGGTTTGAAACTGCAAAACTTGAAAGTTCGTTGGAATTATGCCATTTTATCAAGAGTCTTTTGTAAAAACCTTTTTACATGTAGTAAGGAACTTGAAAATTAATTTATATTGAGAATTTTAGTGATTTTGTTGTTCAAATTTTAATTTTTAATTGCAATTGTAGAACAGCCTTATGAATCGGAATTCTTTTTCTTAAACCATTTATTATTGAGCTTTTAATTTCTTGGCAATCAAGTCGACCCACCCCCGCTGATTGATGCTGTGTATGGAATGTACACTTGGGTTTTAAAAGGCATCGTTTAGCTCCACAACGGATAGCCTCAGCTCGGAAATGGGCGGTAGCTAGTCCGTTCTGGACACTAAATCCAAGCCGCCCTCCTCCTCCATTTTGCTGAGAAACTTGATCACCCGCTGATGGGGTTCCGATTGCCTGACCATGTCGATGAGGGCCAGCAGCTTCTTGATGCCGATGCACACTCGCTTTCCGGCCATTTTCCTTGCAATACTCTGCAGTTCCTCCGGACTGAAAAAATCCGAATCATCCAGCACAGCAAGAACATGCTCCGGACTTGAGAGATTGGAGACGTGAAGCACGGATGTAAAGGCCGGCAGCATTTCCATCTCTTCGAGAACGTCTCGCCGGCTGGAAGTGCACAGGATGAGAAGTTTGCGGCCCTTGGGCGGCTGCTTCTTGAGGAGCACCAGCAAGGCCTGCAGCGTGAGATTGGAGTACCGTGGTCCGATTGGGCCATAGTCTAGCAATCTCTCCACATTGTCCACCACAATGCAGCTTAACGTGGAGCGGTAGGCGTCGTCGAATATCTTGCGGATGTGCAGGCACTTGGCAGACTCGGTGAAACCTACCATATCTTCCGGTGAACAGACCTTCACGAACGGAAAGTCGCTCATCTTGGCCAGATTGGCGGCCAGGGCTGATTTCCCAGAGTTGGGGGCTCCTTCGATCAGTACAGACACCAGTCCCGAGACCTCGGTGGCCTTGGCTTGCTGTACAGATAGTAGACCGTCCTCTAGGAGTCCGGTGACCGGTGGTCCCCAGTTGATAATTCCGCGGGCCAGCATATTCTCCAGCATCTCCTGGGCGGTTCCAAAGGCGGCCTTGATGTCGTTTTCCAGGGCGTGCAAGAAGTCGGAGCGGGTTACTTTTAATTTTTCCATGGCCTCGGGATCCACATGAACCTGAAAGATAGTCCAAAAAACAATAATTGAATAAGCAATTGTCATAATTCACAATTCAGCAACTATACCTTGGAGTCCGCCTTAATTAGTCGATTCATAGCCGTGGATTGAGCTGCTCTGACCAATCCTTCCAGCTCTGCACCGCTAAAGTTCTTTGTCCTGGCGGCAATTTCATTGTTGTCCACATCGCTGGCGATCTTGTTAAAGTCTCGCATCCGCTTGGTGTGAATGTTGAGGATCTGGACGCGTCCTTGCTCATTTGGCAGGCTAATCTCCATTTGGACTTCCAAGCGTCCGGGTCGCAGCAGTGCCTCATCGATCATGTCCCGCCTGTTGGTCATACCTATCACTAAAATATTGTTTAACTGCTCCACACCATCGATCTTGGCCAGCAGTTGGTTGACCACCGTATCATGGACACCGCTGTTTCCAGCCACTGAGCCACGAGCCTTGCAAATAGCATCGATTTCGTCGAAAATGATGATGTGCAGGCCACTGTTGGGTCCCAAGCGCTTCTCCTCCTCCTCGGCTTCCGCGAATAAGCGTCGGATATTTGCCTCCGACTCGCCGACATATTTGTCCAGGATCTGCGGACCGTTAACAATCTTTGGCTCGCGGGCATTCAGCATGGTTCCAATCTGTCGCGCCATCAAGGTCTTGCCCGTACCAGGTGGTCCGTACAGGAGAATGCCCTTCACATGCTTAATTCCAAGCTGCTCGACCAGCTCCGGTGGGAAGACGCGCGACGCAAAGGCTCGCCGGAATATTGCATTAAACTCCTTGTCCAGGCCACCTATTCCCATCTTGCCGAAATCCCAATCTGGATTAATGATCGACTGGCGGACGATCTTTCCTTTGGAGCGTCCTTGCAGATTCAGCACAGAGTTCTCAGCCTTTTCGAACTGCACCACAGTGTTACCCAGAATGCGACCGAAACGCACATTCCTGGCCTTGGGTGCGGCATCTCCCACTGTTCTAGGATCGACAGCCTCCAGGGTTTTCACTGCGAGACCCAAAAACTTTTTATCCTTAAACTGAAAAGGAGTAAAGGAAAGTTAAAATGAATTTTCAAAATTATTTTGTAATTATCTTGGCAGGAAAGCTAATATACCCTTGGAGTCTATGTATAGAAAAAAGCATGGCAGAAAGCCAATTATCTCATAGAATAAATCTCGGTCTGTTGATATTTTATTTTTATAACTTGTGCTGATCTCTACTAATATTGCTCATATATACTATTTTATTAGTCATAACACAGAGGCCAGTCATTCATACGTCATTTATGCAAACAACTTTGCGTATTGTGAAATTTACTTAATTTTGTTCACAGTAGATTACGATATGTTAATAATTGTTGATGAAATTGCCAAACTGTAAACTGAGTTTGACATGAACTTTTAATTTTAATAATATTTTGAGACTAGTTTTGCATAAAACATAAACAGATCGTCCTAAAGCATACTTTTAAGGCCCTAAATAGAATAAAAATAGAACTGTATCCTATGCCTACCGTTAAATTTTATATTAAATTTTATTTTCAACACATTCTAAACTGTTTTCAAAAGATAATTGCTTACCTGAAACACAAGCGTTTGTCCTACGGTCAGGGGCATGCCAGCAAATTGCATGAGGAACTCCTTGGCCATCTCGTCCGAGTCATACGGCTCCTGCGTGGTGGTCTTTTTCTGCAGGAAGTCCGTCTCAAAGGACACTAGGGTGATGATATCCGCGCTGGCATCGAACCGGTACGGCCGGACATCTATCTCTTGGTTAATCGAGAGCGTGGCCCACTTTCTTTGGACCAGCGAAAAACCGACGTGGCCGCGCGGCAACTCCGCCCCGCTAATCTTCTCCAGCGCAAATATAAAGTGCAGTCCCGGGCCCGTCGAGATGTCCACATATCTGGGGGAATGGGTGAGAAATTAGTTAAACCGTAGAAATCGGAAAATACGCCCACGTCGCCTGTGGAAAACACTCACTTGACCTCCTCGGTGAAATCGGATCCGTTCACAATCGCCTTGTTGGTCAGTGATAGTTCGTCCGTGGGGCACTTGATTGCCCTCATCCGGTGGGCCATTTCGTTTGCCATCTTTCCAATATAAGCAAATAATTCTTACTCGATTTAACAACAAATTTTTCAACTCGCACAGCTGGTCAGTGCTGCCAACTCTTCGGGTCGTAAGAAAGCTTAAAAGCTTCACGAAAATTAGATACAAAAGCTCTTGAAAAAAAGCTAGATGAAGCTAAAAAATTGTGTAAAAATAACAAATTTATTATTTAAATAATACGCTTTTAGATTATAAACATTTTATTGTACGAGTAAATATTTCTTAAATTATGATACATTGGTTATCTGAGCTGGCTGCTCATTTTTTGTCTAAAGACAATGATTAAAAAATATAATTAATACATTTGAAATGCAAGTTTTTTTTAAGGCTACAAGGCTGTTTGTTCTTAAAACTAACAATATATTCAAATTTTATATTTAAAATTGTCTTCCCAGTTAATCAACTGGTTTCTCCCATCCCATCTCAGACCCCATTTTCTCAAGGAACTTGACAACCCGGCGCCCCGGCTTCAGGGGATTCACCCAGGTGATGAGGTCCAGCAGGCGCTTGATGCCAATTGAGATGGGCTTGTCCACGATGGCAGTCGCTATGGCACACAGTTCCTCTCGCTCGAAGCGTTGTGAAGCCTCCGCCACGGATAGTATCTGATCCGGTCCAAAGAGATTCGGCACGTGGATCACCGATGTGAAGACTGACAGCATTCCCAGATCCTCTAGGACGTCACGACGACTGGAAGTACACAGGATGTGCAGTCTATGACCTCTGGGCGGCTGCTTCTTTAAGAGCACCATTAGCGTCTGGAGTACCTCGTTTGAGTAACTCCTTCCCAAGGGTACATACTCCAGCAGGCGTTCCAAATCGTCGATAATGACGATACTGTCTTGGGAGACACATGCATCCTCCAAAAGCTTGCGAATGTACATACATTTTTCGGCAACACTGGCTTCCAGCAAGTCCGCCGGACAGATGACTTTTACAAAGGGCACATTACTTTTCTGGGCGAAACGAGCCGCAATTGCCGATTTTCCAGACTTCGAAGGACCCTCGATCAGCTGGCAAATCAATCCTTGGCCCTGGACGGGGCCATGTTCCGCAAACAACCGCTGAGAGTTCATCAGTAATTCGGCGACGTACTTGTCCTCCTCAAACTGCAAAATGTTCATCATCTCCGTATCGTTGGCATTGCACATGTTTTCCATCGGCCGAGCTATCGTATTCCCATTGCTGGAGCCTGCTGCCTCCTCTACCAAATCCACATGCAAGAGACGCCTTCGATTGATCACCCCGTTCACACGAATTTCAGACGCCTGAACTGAGCCCCAGTGCTTGGCCAAAAATATAAGGGTCTGGAAGTTCGACACCTTATTATTAACAGACTTAAAGTCGCGATCATTTAACTTGGTCTCTGCCTGCTGAGCCGGGCGTACCGACTCGAAGAAGCCGCCTGGCATCATCTCTTCGAGCCTCTCCGTTTGTACACCAAATCGCGGCTTAATGGCCCTCAGAGATTGCAAGAAATCCGCTTGGGTAACCTTTAGGCCATCAGGATTTCTTTCAAGGGATCGAGTCATTGCCCAACTGGCTGCCTCACGCACCAAACGGCACAGCTCGTCTTCCGTAAAATTTTTGGACAATTCGGCAATCTGAACCGGATCGACGTCATCGGAGATCTTGAAATAGATTCCAAGATTCTTGATGCGCTGTCCCACCAGCTCCAACCTCTCCTCTCGATCGGGTAACGTGATGTTTACCATCTTGGCGTATCCTTTTTTCTCACTATTGCCTTAAATTCGTTCTTTTCGACCACCAGCTTTAATTTTTCACTTGATGAATAGGTAAAATTTTTTTTACACGTTTGCGCGATCAGCTGTTGCTAACTTGTTGTGCTGCGGTGCTGCCAACTTAATTTAAGCGAGACAGTGCTGTCAGAATTTGGCGTTATTTTGGTTAAAAGCTAAAAAAATATGTTTAAAATAAACTTTTAACACTAATTGTTTTCCCACAAATATGCAATTTTAAGCCGTAAAAGAGTGAAGTAAATAAAAACAAATTAACTTTAATTTTAAATAAACACGTATGTTATTCTCATCACCAATCCATAGATAATTAAGCTTATAAAATAACTGATAGCTGATAGCTAATAAAAAATAAAATAACGATAATGTGTGCAACAGCAATTAGCTCAGAATTTAGCTAAAACAAGCGAAAAATGGCTTAGGTAACAGCTCAATCTAGAATTAGGGGTCATTCGCTTGGGTCAAGGCTTTTTCTAAATTTAATTTAAAGATTTCATCATCCATTGTGTAAAAGTCATTCATAAATATGTATATATCAATTAACTTCAACAGGGGAAACTAAAAACTCTAAAAAACTTCCTTGAACAAGTATACAAAACACTTAAGTAAAGATTTTCTAATCTCTTTCTCAAGTTTATTAAAAGATACCTCTTTAAATGTAAGAAATAAATTTTCAAAAATATTTAAAAAACGTTATACCCTTGCAGGGTACTTATATATAATTGGGATCATAAAAGTCAACTTATATTCTTCGATTGGGGAACCGATGTGGATCTCCTGGCCAGCAGAACTACGTTTTCGAGCGTCACATCTCTGGGCACGTAGAACTTTAGCTCCGCCTGGTAGCCCTGGGATCGCAGGTACTCTAGTCGTCCGTAATCTAATATCCGCTTACACTGCTGACCGATCTTCTCCCGCTCCTCGCGACTCAGCCTCTGGGTGTTCGGCTCCGCCGGCTGTTCCTCTGCCTTTTCCATGGCTCTGCGTCGCTCGCGACTCATACCGGTGCCACAAACGGCCCAACTGACCATTTTGGTTAGAATAGTAAACTCTCGGGCTTCGATACCGGCTGCTTGGAGAAAAGAGCGTCCCACATAGGAGCTCCAGGAGCAGCGGTGGTGGCAGCACAACGCGATTAGCACGTAGTCAGTGGCGGCACCACCTTCTTTACCCAATATGCATCGCAGGGTCAGATCCGTGGCTGCACCGCAGAGATGCTTCGATAGCGCCACCGTTCGTTGAGTTTTCTTTAATTCCGGGAGAGCGCAGAGCTTCAGATCGGCAATGTCCGCCCGAATGCGCTGAACCTGCTCCTTGTTGGTAAGCTTATTATCCTTTTTATGGCGAAGTGAGAGGCGATCAATGAGGATGACCTGAGAGCGGGTGAGTTTCTGGTCCTCCAAGACGGTGGCCAAGAAGAAGGCCAGTTGTCCCTTTCCGGCACCAAATTCTACGTAGCTGGTGCTATCTACGAGTTGGTCGTCCTTTTGCAGGATGCCCAGCAAGCTGGAAGCTTGAGTGAGCTGCCGTAACGTTTCCTGGCCGTAATCCGAGCGACTCAGTTCCGCCTTCAGGGATTCATGCGACAGTTGCAGTTCCTGAATACTAGAATTGATGTGTTTATCATATAGTTGCTTGACTTTGTCGATCAAACCATAGAACTCATCATCCGATAGCTCGTGTAGTTTTATCTGGTCGTATTTCTCCACTGCCTCCAGTTGATCCTCTCCAGAATTTATCCCTTTCACAATGTAAGGCAACGAGCTTTCCTGATCCCTGGCATTGCAAATGGTCAAGTGTTTGGCCAGCTTCCTCTTGAAAACCGTATGCTTCGGATCCAAGGGGCAAGGAATCCGTTCCTGGAAGGAATCCTCGCCAGTTCCGTCAACATTTTCCGGAGCGACGGAGGGCGGTGCATGGGCGCCGCAAAAGGGGCTGCCCTTGTTGGCAGTCATTTTGCATCGGCGCTTCTTGCGTGGCACCCAGTAGGAGCATGTGGTGGCGACATCGTCGTCTTTGTCTTCGTCGGATGTCATTTTTGGTTTCTTGGCTGCCATTCAGCCGAATATATTAACAAATTAATAACAAAAATAAAAAAATCTCGTGCGTAACAGTGTGACCAAAAGTGGTTTGTAGAAAATACCGCAGAAGGGGAAATTTTCTGGTTTTTTGAGATTTTTTAAGGTTAAGCCAAAATTATATCTGGCCACACTAGCAAATACACAAGCCGCGCTGGGAAAACGTTTGCCGAAAAACTTCTAAAAAAAAACACTTAAAAACAGTAACATAAGACTTTTGCAGTGCATTTAATAAGTATTATCTATAGTTTGCCATGTAAGTTATACTAATATTAATTCACCAACCGTCCAGAAATGCTAAATCAGCGGGCAACATGTGCGCCGGCATTTTGGATTGTGGCTTCGCGATTTTTACTGTAATTTTTGTTGCTATTTTGCAGGGCTCTCGTGAAACCAAAGTCGGAACTGACCCCGGAGGAGCTGGCCCGACAGGAGGAGGAAGAGTTCAACACCGGACCGCTGTCCGTGCTCACGCAGTCGGTGAAGAACAACACCCAGGTACTGATAAACTGCCGCAACAATAAAAAACTCCTGGGAAGAGTGAAGGCCTTCGACCGCCACTGCAACATGGTGCTGGAGAATGTGAAGGAGATGTGGACAGAGCTACCGCGCACCGGCAAGGGCAAGAAGAAGGTCAAGCCGGTCAACAAGGACCGCTTCATATCGAAGATGTTCCTGCGCGGCGACTCGGTAATCCTGGTACTCAGAAACCCCCTGGCCACGGCGGCAGGCAAATAGTAAAAGCTATCATTCAATCAACTAATAAAGGCAAACTCGACTTTCTAAGTTAAACAACCAATATTGAAGAGTCATTCTGTGGAAATGGTGAATAATTGTAGTGATTTTTAATTTGTGAATTATTTATTTGCCCAAAGAAAATGGAATCATTACGTTATCTAAAGATGTTGAAATCGACTGCAGTTAAGTAAGGTAAGCATTTAAAAATAATAGCTTCAATGTTTGTTTCTTGATATCTTCAAAAAATGCATTAATTTTCGGACAATTGCTTATGCAGTTTCGGTACATAGTCATCGTATTGGGCCTGGTAAAAAGTACCAGCAACGACATTGCCCAGCTTATACTTCTCGGCAAACTTGGCGGCGCTGAATTTGGGCCTATCCTTCCTCGACTTGTTGCTAACCCGCTCCTCATCGAACTGCAGCTTTCCCGGTTGTTTGTACAGCAAGAACACGTAGCGATGCAGACCCGTACCCTGGGGTGGACCGGATCCAATATATTCGGCAATAGCGTCACCAGTTGTCAAGTCATTTCCAGCAATATTAACCAGGACCCAGTGCTTGAACTCCCGGAACTTGGGCTCAGCTCGGCTGGGTGCATCGGGATCGGTCATAATGAGTGTATAAAAGTCACCAGGCTGGGCATCCCACTCCACCTGTGGTTGGTCCTTCACCTGAGTGGGCGTGAACTCCACACCATCCTTTGCCACCAGTCCATTGCTGTATGTCACCTATCAGAAAAGAAGATTTCGTTAGGTTTGCTTTGAATAATTGGTAACACGAAATCAGCAATGCGAATTGTAATTATTTTATGACTCTTAACTGCTTGAAGTTGTATAAGTAATTTTCCTCTGCTATTATACTTTTTTTTCTTGATTCGTTTTTCACATTACCATATTTGTTTTTTCTTAAAGTGACCTTTGATCAGAAAGTTTTCTGGAACTCTTGAAGAACTTGGGCTTATCAGCACTTAAAACAAAATATACATACTTTTTATATAAAATATTAAGATTAAACTATTTATTTTAATTTCTTACAACTTTAAACTCTCTCTTTACTTAGTTTTTATCCATATTTTGACCCACCTTCAATAACTGGTCTGGTGCCTGGGCTATAACATCGGGCACCACCTGGTTGCTCCTGAAGACTTCTTCCAAGGAGCCAGCTTGGATAGCCAGGACACAGCTCATGAGGGGTATTAGAACCAAGAACATCTTGTTAAATGAAATAATTTAACGAAATGCTAAGTGTCTGACTTTGTAGCTAAAGTGATCTGCTATCGAACAAGGTCTGTTTGGAATTGAAACCGGTTTGCCATGATGCCGTACTTTTAAGACAAAGCCGAAAGCTTTTTATTTCTATAAATAGCTGCTGGGAAAAAAGCGTTGCCACAACTGTTATTAAAAAGTCATTAGTTTGGAGTCACGGTTCACTGAAAATGGATGCATTCAGCAGGAAATTTTGGATACCGTGATAGGTATTCGCTTTATTCATTCGCAGAATCCTGTTACAACTGGGCTACTACTTTTTGCCAGAGAGCTGTTTGTACAGCTGTGGCACATATTCGTCCCATTGGGCCTGAAAGAAGTTTCCGGCAATGGGATCTCCCAGCTTGTACTTGGTGATGAACTTGGCCGTGCTGAAGTTGGGTCGCTTTTCGCCGGTAGTCTTCGGGATCCGCGGCTCGTTGCAGGTCAGCATATGGGGCTGCTTGAAGACCAAGAAGACGTAACGATGTAGTCCGGTGCCCTGCGGCGGGCCAGCGCCTACATAGGCGGTCAAGACCAAGCCGTTATCGATTTGGTTACCCGGAATGTTGACCACCAGCCAGTGGTGCCACTCCCGGTACTTTGGCTGCTTGCGACTGGGTGCATCCGGATCTGTTAGGATCAGTGTATAGAGAGCATCCGGCTCAGCATCCCACTCCACCTTTGGCTGATCTTTCACCTGCTTGGGCGCTAGTTCTCTGCCCATGTCCACCACTTGACCGCCGCCATATGTCACCTGTGAGGAGGCAATTGTAATATTATCAATCTTATGCGGAAAACCCCACCTTAAGCTGCTTGTAGGGACATGTTTTCAAAATATCCGGCACGATTTTGTGCTTTGAGAAGCAAGCGGTGTCCTCGGACATTTCAGTGGAGTAAATAAAAAATTTAAATTTGAGATGCCAAAATATTAGTCCATAGATTTTGGGAAACCTTACAAATTGACAACTGCCTCAAGTGTGTTTTAATTGATTTGTTGTTATGCTTTATTTCTCATCCATTTAGCCGGATCCGTGCGAAATGGCTTTAATAAGAGCCGGAACATCTTCATTCCAGGTGGATGTGAAGAAATTCCCAGCAACTGGACAGCCTAACTTATATTTTTTGACAAATCCCTGAACCTTGAATCCGCTTCGACCGTTAGTCGAGTGCTTGGGCAGCTTCGGGAAATCAAATTTGGTGTAATCCTTTTGTTTATAGAGCAGGAAGACGAATCGATGGGTGCCGGATCCTGGCATCGGAGTGGCGCCCATGTAGCCTACGCGAACATCGCCCATGCCCAGGTGATTTCCAGGAATGTTTAGCACCATCCAGTGAAGAAACTCCCTGTTCGTTGGCGTCACGACACTGGGTGCATCCGGATTTACCATTAGCAGGGTGTAGTAGTGTTCAATAGCTGCGGGCCATTGCACAGTGGGTTCATCGCGCACATCCATGGGCTGCAGCAGCTTTCCACTGTCCACGTTTATATAGCCGTGATACGTGACCTTGTGGTGGAATAATTATATGTGATATTTTGGTAAGAAATAAAATTCATAATTTCACTCACATTGAGAAACTCCTGTGGTCCGATTTCAATGACATCCGGTATGACATCCATGCTCCTCATAAACTTGCTGACTTCCGTGTCCGACAGACGATCGTCCCTTGGCCATCGCAGGCTCATACTCAGGCTAAGCCTGAAAACGATGAGAATCCAAAAGCTGGTTAACATGGTGTAGCTACTTTTCCACTAACTGCAGATTGCATAGTAGCTCTTCCTTAAATACTAGCTACTGCCACAAGCAGCTGGTTTTTACATGGCCAATCAACAGCTGGATTGCAACGTTATATTTTAGATTATTGATTTTAAGTTATATTTATTAAAAACAGAGCTTGTTATAACCACAACTAAAAGCCACTACCCTTACCAGTTGTCTGATAGCGAGTTCTGAATGTCAACATTAAGTACTCATTACTCGTTTAGTTAACACAGATTATTGCGCTAAAACACTGCTGTTAAATATAGTAAGTAAATTTAGTAACAGGAACTCGCTAAGAGGCAGTCTACAAAGTCTTGTATTTGCCACTAGATCGCTCTCAGGTAAAAGTACTCGATATAGTTCGATATACATTTTGGGAGAGACTTTAAAGGGCTCAGTTGTAACCCATTATGCATATTAAATAGACTTGTGCTTTGTCCTTAAATAAAAACGATTGGATCCTAAAATAGTAAACTAAAATGTTAATTGCTTAAAAACCAGAAATCCCAAAGTGCATTTCATATTTTCCTACAAAATAATCTATAGTTTTATTGATTTAAGTACCTGTTTCAATCAAATTAAATTAAACAAAAACACACCCTCCCAGAAACAAATAAGAAAACAAGCTTGATGATTAGTTTTCAATTTTTGCATTTTTAATAAATTAAATAAATATAAATTCAATTCAGTTTGATTTTTGGTCGATTTGTGTCGAGGTGACGTAGGCAAAAGGACTAAAAGAATATGCTGACAGCGAATGAAAGTGAAGGAGGATGACTGGGAAAATCAGGCTAAGTGGGGAGTGGTTACAGCTGAAGAATGGCTTAAACTCTCGCATGGCTTAACCCTTAACGACTACAATTATGGCCTGGGCAGGTTCCGGTTCCATTTGGTCTGTGCGACTCGCAGTGATTCCTCCTGGGAGGGAACACAAGTGTCCTTGGTATGTACAACGGGGCGGCTGAATTCCCCGAATTTAAGAGGACGAGCTGTAGCTGGACGAAGAGCCAGAGGATCCCGAGGAGGAGCCCGAGGAGTAGGACGACGAGCTGCTGGGGTGGTACGAGCTGTAGGCCAGGTTCTGCGAGTCCCAGCGGGCATAGGGACCTCCGCTCATGGGCTCCCAGCTGCTGGGATCGTACGACGAGGCCGTGGTGCTGGGGACTCCGTATTCACTGGCCGGCACTGGGGCTGGCATGGGCACCATGTTCATCTTCATGCCTCCCAGCTTCTGGATGAGGTTGTAGATCAGGAAGCCGAGCACCAACTTGATGGCGATCTTGGACAGAATCAGAGCCTTGGTGGCCTTAAGGCTGATCAGAGCCATCAGGATGGGCATGACCACCTTCAGTTTGAGCTTCATCAGCAGCAGCAGGGGCAGGAACAGCTTGTCCTTGTTCTTCTTCTCGGCGCGACCTGAAGGAGTAGAAATATTAAGACCTGTCTGGGGAATTTTCGTCATCACTACTGACCCTCCTCCTTGGGCAGCTCCAGGTCGAAGCCTCGGTCTGAGCGATAGCTAACCACGGAGCCAGCAAAGAAGGTCTGCGGCAACTGGAGCCTCATCTCATTGGTGTTCAGAATGCGACCCAGACGGTCCACGATAACCTTGTCGATGACATCGTCGCTCAGGGCACGACCACTGACCTCCTCCTCCACATTGGCCACCGTGTCCAGGTAGCTGAGCACCTTCTCCTTGAGGCAATGCATGGCATTGGCATGGAAGCACTTATCCACAATGGTCGAGATCAGCTCATCGGAGCTGTGGATGCGCGGAGTCACCGCATTCTCGATGGCAGCACCGGACACCGAAGTGGAGGCCACCAGCAGCAGCGCGCAACCGAACGCGAGCAAGGACGAGAAACGAAAGGCCATTATGTGTGATCCCAATTGAATTAATTACAATTATTAAATGGACACTACCAGAGCGCGTAGTGTTCACAGCGGAGTCGATGCGACGACAATGTTGGATGATTTGCCGATCGAATCGAGTTTTATACTGCCGCTCCCCGAGAGCGTCAAAGAGGCTCGTGCTGGCTTTTTTTTTTTTGGAGTGCACACAATTCGCTTTTTGGACAGCCAAACTCTGCGAGTGACGAGCGACGAAAGTCGGCAAAGCCCGGGCCAAGTCTACGAAGAGCAAGTGGCCAAAGTTTTTCACCAAAAAATTTTAAAAAGAAAATCAGAACACTTGCTGGTCACGACTATTGCATACCCCTAAAGTTTTAAATGAAACAAAGAGTAACTTGTTATTTCTTAAAAATTTTAATCAAGCTAAGTTTGGTTAAAATTTAAGATTTAGTACGGATGTCAGAGATCTAAAGAAAAGTCTGCGAAAGTATGCAATGCAACTTGAAATGTATATAATTTATTTTGAATGCTTGTATTAATATATTTCAAGTTTTTGGCTCTTAATTTAGTAAGCCTAATTCATATTTAATGTTCTATAATTCAGAAATCAATCTTTGTCAGACTTTGAATATACCCTGACACTAAACGAATACCTAGTATAAAAAAGAGTAGCCTCTCCCCTGTTAACTGGGTTGCCCCTTGAAGCTTTCTCGCTTTCCATATCGGCCTCAGACACCTAGCACACCCCCACCCTTCCAGCGGCCAAAGTTGCATTATTGACGCCTCGGTGGAAATAACTTTTGTTGGGCGATTAGTATGCAGGCCCATTACTCTTACGCGACCATCCGCAAGAAAGCCAAATCGAAGACACGTACATACTTCGGCGTATTGTGTCAAATTTCGATACAAGAAATCAGTACGGAACTCACCTACGCTTTGGTATCGGACTCCTATTTGCTACGTTTCTGTTTTAATTTTACTTTTTTTTCTTTGTAAATGCGGAACTGTTGTTTCGATTTCGCAGAGGTCTCAATTATTATTTTGTTGACTGTTTTGTTTTAGATTACGAAATTTATTTTCGATTTTATTTGTGCCACATAGATGTGGGTGACACACTTTTTCAGGGAAGGTACACAGGAAGGGAGTTTCTAATATTTATGGCTATAAGTTATTAGATATTGTCAAATGAACCTTTATTTCAGTAAACTGTTTTTTATGTAATTATGTTTCACAATTTACCAACAAACATTCAATTCACTTGAACTTTATAGGTGGGTAGTCAATGTAATTACTTCCTCTAAGCAACAATCCCTTTAAATTATTGATGATTTATCAAGTGTTTGGATTCCATAATAACTCCTCATTGTTACACAATCAAATATATATTTATTTTGGCAGCCAAAATCATTGTATTTTGTATATTACCTAATGGTGAGCTTAAATAATGCAAAGGCTGTCGCTGCTGCGCTTACACCAGTGACATGTTTTCTGTGTGTATCACTCTTATCCCTTGCTAAAAGAAATTGGTGGACTGCTTCATGTTTATTTCACCAGCGCCACACTTTTGCCCGGATCGTGCCAAATAGTCAAAGAGCCGACAATTTTATGCGGCACTATAAATTTCCATAAGCTCGTGTCTTGGCTTCAGCCCCCCGATGGTCGATGCTGATGATGATGTGTTGATGGTGTGTTGACCAAAACAGCGTCCTCGTGCATGCCAAGCGATTATGAAAGCGGCTTCACCTGTCCGTCTGTCCACCTGACCATTTGTTCAGGTGTTTTCCCACTCCACTTTGATCCCAGATGGTTCCTTTTCCTAGTAAATTGGCTAGAATACTGTGTGTGGGGACAGTGCCCAGAAATTCTTTGATTAAGATAAATTTCACACTTTCCTAGCTTTGAGACAAGCGTTTAGGATGAATGCTTGAAATCGGTCTTGAAAAATAATGTAAACCAAACATAATTCTAGAAAAAATACAAGTTTAAAAAAGAAATGGGGAAGATTCTTCTTCGTAAAGTGAAGTATATTGCTATTGGTTAAAATCTAAATACATTTGCGTATATATGATATAAATATGAGAAACTTGAGTTAAGAATATCTTTAATTTCTTTATTTTTTTATATACAATAAAATAATATATAATAAAATTAAAATTTTCATATTAAAATCTTGAAAATTCTTTAGTTGATATTCTTTACAACTTAAAGTATAGGCTAATAACAGAATCTGTAAAAGTTTTTTATATTTTTCTATACTTTTATATATTACAGAAATTCACATTTAATTTATAAACTCTTACCTAATAAAATCTTTATACAAATATCATAGTTAATCTTATCTTATTTATTTATTTTTTATATTATTTTATAATGTCCCATTTTTATGATACTTTTTGCTTGACTTTCTAAGAATACCGTTGTGGGGAATGTGAGGAGGCTTAGTATCATCTCAGGAATATATTTGTGAAACTAAATTCTCTACTTCTCACGAGCATCGTTTTATGCCTAAGTAAGTTGCATTCTGGAGAGCAAATATCCCTGATCTCTTGGCCCTTAGCCCACTGCAAACCCCCTTGGGTCGAAGAATATTTAAAGACTTTCACCTTCTCTGATGGCTGGCGACTTTCGCACAAGTGAAATTTAAATTTTTAAATTATATGCAGTTAATCAATTGAATTGTGTGCCTCGGCCGGGCCCGAAGAGGGGCTTGAGCGGAATATTTAATACGATTCTGCCGAGGGTCGGCATTTGCTGTGGATTAAATTTGGCTAATTAGGACACAATTGCCGTGCGGGCGATGGCTTATACATATTGTATGCCAAGTGAAATTGGTCGAGGCTTTGATAAGACTGCCAGGGGGGCGGAAACGTTAATTAGGCCTGCTGGCTTAACAATTCAAGCAGTTAGATTTTAACCCCTCGGGGCCCTTGGCCAAGTGCTTCTGGTTTAATCTTTAAGCCAGCTTTAAATGCTGACCTCCGGCCAAGTTGGTTGATAAATTAAATCCCATTTAGCATATTTAAGGCATTTGTTGTGCTACTTTATTTTGGTGCTTTGCTTCTCTCTTTTGCTTAATCTCTTGTTTTCAATAAATAGTTAATAAATATTATATATAAAGTCTAAAGACACGGACAGGGTCGGTCGAAGGACGCAGAATATGTCTAACAATTAACAAATAATTATGCGCTCTTCGAGACAACTTCTGGGGCTGTGCTCATCCAGGGACTTCTCTGCTCCTCTTGCTTCTGTGGGGGACTGTTGGGTTCTTGGTGCTGGCTTAGGCATAGGCCTGATAGGCCAACTTCTGGGCCAACTTCTGGGGCTGCTCCACAACGGGGACGGAAACAGAACCGAAGGTACGGCCATCCCACGGTCCATGGGCGGTGATGTGAGCGGTGTGATGGTGATCATGGGCAATCTGGGGCGACAGGGAAGGTGGGGAAATAACAATTGATTAAAGATCCTTTCACTGAGTATATTAATCGAGAATATTTCTAAATGCTAGTGTTTGGTTGGGTAGTCAGTTTTGTGGTTTGGTTGGGAAGCGGGAGAGTGTGGGCGAGGATTCTGGCGGAACTTACCCTGCTGCTGCCGCCCTCTAGACTTCTTATACATACATGCTTCTCTCTACATTTGAATCTTAATTGCAATAAAGTTCGAGCTCCTCCGCCACGCATCCCAACATCATCCCAACACACAAAACGCACACTAATTACCACATCCAGCGAATGCCTGGAAGACAATTGGAGACGCGTTTTAATATCATGAAAGGCTTACCTTTTTGCACAATTGGAAAATGGCCAAACCAACCGAGACAATGAAGGAGAAGAAGCCCAGAGCCAGGGCGTTGAAGGCCTTGATCTTCAGAATGCCAATGGCCATGGGGATGACAGTGATGGCCTTCAGCAGGATGAGCACCAGGATGGGCATGGCCAGCTTGCGGAGACGATGCTTCTTGCCTGTAATTTTTAAGGTGTTGTGTATTAATAAAGAAGCTCTTGTCTGTGTTCCTGGAAACAAGGCATGCAGAAAGTGAACCCACCCTTCTTGAAGATGTTGCCCTTCTTACCCCTGGCTTCGACATCGGTGGCATCATCATCGGCTTCGTCGCCGTTCAACTGAAGGTTCAGGCTCAGCTGGTTGTTGGCCAGGTTACGAGCCGAGACGGTGACCTTGGCATCGGCCAAGGGCAAGTTCATGCTGACATCATGTCCCCGCATATAGTTCTCAATGGCATCAATGAAGCCATCGGCACTGCTGGCACGGGCTTCGCTTATGGGAGCAGTCTTTTGGCCATTGGAGCGCACCTCCAGGTTGGAGACCTAGTAAAGCGAGGGGAAATTTTATATTAAAGGTGATTATAGAAATATATAGAATACATAAACAGAATTTAAATATAAAGGGAGTTGTAGAAAAAATAAGTATTTAAATTAGCTTTAAAGATTCTTCTCAAAATAGATTTCTATGGTTTTAGCTGAATATCGGCAATGTTAATAACAGTGAATAAAAACTAAAGCTCATTTAAACTTGCAAGAAATTCCCGGATTGATTTCTTAATTTCAGCCATTGAGTTTGTCTTCTATCAATCCCCATTCTTGAGCTCACCTGATAGCTGTCTTTGCTCATCACATTGTCCACAAAGCGCATGGCACGCTCTTTGATGCAGGCCATCGAGTCTTGGCCGCTGGCACACTTGTTCTGCTCCTCGGCAATTAGGCGCTGCAGCTGCTCGGTGGAGCCGAGGCCAGCCGCCTGTCCCGCTGCCACTAGGGCCGCCACACCGACAATCACAAGGAGCAACTTGGCCATTTTGTTGTGTTCGTTTGGGGCTGTGTTTTTTGAGTCCGGTTCGTAGCTCGCCGATGGTCAACACACAACTCGCCTCGGTGCTGGCACAATTGCGTTTAATAATCGTTTTTCTATTGTTCACGATTTTTATACTCACTGGATCTTTAACTCGTTCGCTGGCGAATGGCCGTGCAAAAGGAATGGCCGGTGGAGAAGACATGAATGAAGCAGACGTCGCAAGAGCTGCTCCAACTTTGTTATTTTTGCCCGAGTGCGTGCCGCGGTGCACCACGTGTCGTATGCTTAATGTGGCTTTATTTCGAACGCGTGCCCGACGCATCCGAGAGTTTTCTTTGTGGGTGGAGGGCTGCACTCGAAACAATTTTGGTGGGTTTAAAGGAACACTTTATTCTCTTGGAGGAACAAAGGTTTTGATCGAAATTTTGTTCGGTAAAATTGGGAGGGTTGTTAATCAGTTAATAAAGAAATTTAAAATTTAAATACATTGAAATCTTTTCAAAGGATCCATAAAGATACATATGTTTCTACTAGAAACTTTCTAGATTTAATAAGCTACACATTTGTAGATAATACAAAAAAAAATATAATACTTACTGCTACCATAAATTTATATAAAAACATAAAATAGGGCTCTATATATAGTATAATATAATTTATATACCAGTATTCCCGATTTTTCTGTGTGCATTCAACAGTTTCCTCTTAGTTTATGGATTCCCATTGAGGCAACACAGATGGGAAATTAATTTGGCCATTAATTGATTGAATTTCGCGAGAATGGAGTTGCGAGTTGAGCCCCTACTTCTGGTAATTAGGCAGGAACTCACTTGCCTTGAAGCAAGAGCAGGACATTGGTAATGGTAGAAATTATTTGTTGACCCCATGTTAGAGTACATCCCCCTCTAATGACTAAAAAGAACAACTAATTACAAGCAAAATGTTTTCCTTGTCCAGGGAAAAAGTTCTCAGACAAACAAGAAGAAAGCAAATAAAGTAATGGACAAAGTTTGTAATAACAACGGTTTTTCATTCCGCTTTACTTTCAGATTTTTAACCGCTGGGAGTGCTGACGCACCTCTGGATATTGTACAAAATTTAAGAGCCCAAAGTTTTATCGATTAGCAGGTCGTTAGGAACTTTTAATAGGCCATAATGGGGATAAGTTTCTTTTTGCAAGAAATATTAATAATCATCACATAATCGGGGATAAGCCGAGGGAGCTCAGTCATAAACCGTTTATTGCCCACAAGAAACTAGCAATTAAAATATCTCAACACATAATTTTATACAAATTGCGCAAACTAATTACGCCACCACAAGTCATAATTAATAATTGGGCAAGGAATATGCAAGCGGCTCAATGGACTCCGGTTGGTCGATGGCCAACAACAAAGCAACATGGAACCCTACATGTCAACGAAATAGAAAGTGTTTTTCCTTAACGAAAGCGAAAGTGACATATCCCAACCTCCGCCAATCCCAGGCATGCACTGAATTTCAACGCAATTCAAGTCCACGGCTGAATTATGAATCTCGTGTATTGATTACGCGTTGTTTGCCATGAAAATTGATTTGACTGTGGAAGAGCGATTTTAGTTTTTTTGTTTTGTTTTTTTTTGGGACTCGATTATATCGTTTGGCCAAAAGTTTCACCGTTTCATTGGCCCGACAATTGCCATTCCGGTCGCATTTCTTTTCCGAGCCAATGAAATTGGAAAACCTTTTCATATTCCAAATTGTTGCGTAGAAACGATGGCCCAGCGATGGCGGCCAAGTGCATGCCGTTAAATATAAATGAAGTGTCCGTCGTTCAATGGTGTTATTGCTTTTCAATTTTATTTTGTTGCTGCTGAAGTTTCCTCTCGTCGCTTTTTTGTGTTGGCGCCATTGCCATTTTACATTGCTTCACGGTGTCGCTGTCCACATTTTGGCTGCGAGTTGTGTGTTTGTGGCAGCTTTCCAACAACCCACCTGTGCCAGGTGCAGAGGGTCGGTTTCACTGGGTGGCTATTGGCAATTGATATGACCGCAGCACTGACCATCGATTTTCTCTCTACGGTTGCATGGAAAACCAGAAAATAAGAAAAGAATGCAGTAAAAATTATTTTTTATGTTTTCACTTCCAGCAATTGAGGTTTTTTTGCACCCATCAAAGGAATCCCTGGAAAGTATGCTAAAAATACAAATTATAATGAGTTTGCCATTAACCTGAATAAGTTGGAATTGGTATTTTTTAAATTAAAGCATTCCTTACATTCTTAATTTAAATAAGTGAAAGAATTATTTGTATATATAAAAACACTTTGGGACTGTTTATTAAAATAATAAAAGTTTGAAAATGTTAATAGAAAATATAAAATTTAGTTTAAACCAGAAGAACTTCTTTTGATATTGATTTAAGATTAGTTTTATCAAAAATAAATATTAATTTATTGGAGATAAATCTTTTAGCTATATAAATTAAAATTATGCCTTTTTAATTCCATTTTCATGTAAAATTTGTTTAGTTTTCATCAGAATACCATTTTATTAGAATATCATTATTTTAGAAATATTTTTCTTCTACCAAAAATGCATGCTTCTTTTAAAGTTTTCTTGAAAAGATGTTTCCTCTTTCCAAGTGCTTAAATTTCAGTTGAGTTTAATACAAAAGTTTCCTCAACATTTTATTGGCCACTTTTGAGAGAAGTTTCACTCATTATTCTACGGTTTTCAATTTAAAAATTCCCCCCTTGGGATGCTTGCTAAAAGGTAACTTGCCGCGTTAGAAAACTTTTTGGGTTAATTACGCATTTTGTTTTGGGATCGCAACCCCTTTAAGAAGTCCTCAATTAAGCACATAATTTTTTGCATGCTTTTATTGCAGAAATATTTACACAAAGGATGCAGAAGCTCCTACCCACTTAGTACCTTTAAAAACTCCAAACCAGAGCCTTATTTTCTTTATGTGTGTGTGTTTTTTTTTGTTTTGTTTTGTACACTTCTCAATAAATAAATAAATAAACAATACGCTGAACTCCGAGCGTTTCAACTACTTAGATTAAAGCAAAATAAATAGGGTTGCAGTTTGGCCGAATTTCGAAATGGGTTTTGGGTTTGTGGTCTCAGCCTCATTTCTGGCCCGCATAGGCCAGGTCCTGGGCATCTTGTCCCTCCTGCGAGGATCGGGCCCAGGCATGGGGATCCCAGGCGGGCGAGGGATGCTCCAGATGCTCAATGTGCTCCACCGGCAGGTCCACATGGTGCTCCAAGTGATGGTCGATGTGGTGCGGCACAATGTGCTCGATGTGATGCGGAACCACATGCTCGATATGGTGGGGAACCACATGCTCAATGTGATGGGGAACCACATGGTCCACGTGGTGGTGGGGATAATGCACCACTTCGTAGTTGACAATCTTGGGCTTGGCAATCTTGAAGATAACCAGGGCTCCAGAAAGGACCAGTGAGAGCAGTCCCAAAGTCATGGCCTTCCAGGTCTTCAGGGCAATCAGGCCCAAGGCAAGGGGCACCAGCACAGTGGTCTTGAGTTTCAGGCCCAGAAGGAAGGGAAGAACAGCCTTGCGGATCATGCCTCGTCCTAATTTATGTTAATAAAGCGTTACAATTTTCATATTTTTCAAACTCTACTGCATAATTATGTAAAAAACAGAACTGAATGTATTGAATGTTTAACAAACTATATGTTTTGCAGTTAAAAAACAATTTATATCTTACCTTCATTGGCAGTTGCCAGGGGTATAACTCCGCCCTGGGTCAGGGGATTCTCCATGAGGAAATCGGGCACCAGGGAGCGAGCCTCCGAGGTGCGGAAGTACTCCGGGGCCAGGATCCTCAGGGAATGACTACCCAGGTAGCTGTCGATGGCATCGAACATGCGTTCCTGGGGATCCATCGATCGCGACTCCTTCGTTTTCTCCGAGGTGCGAACAATGGACAGGCGCTCGGTGAGACGCACTTCCGGCTGCTGGAGAGCAGAGTTGAACCACTGCAGGGCCTTGGGTCGCACGCACGATACACTGAGGTCCTTGAGACAGCCGTGGTACATATCCAGGGCCAGTTGGGTGGCGGACTGCGGCGCCTTCTGACCCTCGGTGGGCGCCGAGTGGGCGACGGCCAGCGTCGCCAGGGCGACCAATAGACAAGCTGCGGTGCTCTTCATCCTTTTTGACGGTGGTGGCTAGTAGTCCCCCCTTTTCGATACTCGGTTTTAAATCAACTCGCTCTGGCTCTGGCTCTGGTGGTGCGCACGCGTCGGCCACTGAGTGGGTTATGCAAATGTCGCATGGGCAGCGCTTGATTTTTATACGGAGTGTACTTTGCTAATTGAATTGCGTATGCCAGGTACGCGCGGAGCTCTTTCCCCGTCGCTTTGGCCTCCTGCTTTAGCGGCCATTTCGCTTTGTCGCCGCAGAGCCGAGGAAAGCGCAAGTTGACCATCGCCCGAGTTTCACCTTTGTGCGGGAGCTGGCCCTAAACTGGCACTGGCTTCTGGTTCTATGGACAGTCTATTGGGTCAAGTGGGTGCTTTATGGGCACGCCGTTCTCCCTGCTGGCGGAATTCGTCATCATGACGATTTCCAGCATAATACCCGCCATAATATGCCGCACATAATTGAAAGTTATTGGACGGCTTCTCCGCTCGTAAAATCAACTGCCCAGCCATTTGGAGTGCGTGCCTGGAAAGCTCAATTAGAATGCGACTCTCCCAGCGTACATTTCTTCGGCAGTTAACGAAATTCCCTCAAAGGGCGGTCAGTTGCACCTGCTGACCACTGCGAAAAGCCAAAGCATTCGTTTTATTCTCTGCGGAAAGAGAACGTTTGATTTCTTACACAAAGGCGGGTGTTCAATTCCAAGGAATATGTTCTTATTCAATAATATGTAATTAAATTGTACTATTATATGTGATTATGTAATATTTATTATTTATCCTGGGCTTATCTTTTGGATTTAGCTTTTATAGTTCTTGACATTTAAGTGCTCAAACGTAAGGTCAGCAGAAATGTGAGAATTTCACGAGCTGGGAGAAGCTTCATTCAGTTCAGTTTTCAGTTAAAGACACATTGAAACGAGTAGTTTACGAGTATAACCTTTTACATCAAAATTATTTGAAGAAATGACCTATAAAAATGTTTAAAACTCTAAAAATAAACGTTATTCAAGTTGAAATAAACAAGTGGATGGAAATGCAGGTGTTACAAGATAATCAGATCCAGTTATTTTCATTTTTAATTTTCTTTTTCCTGCTATCTTATTAAATACCTGTCTCAACGAGCTCTTGTCCTTGCAGCAGCCTGGCACTGTCCACAGCGGAGCCGAACAATAAGCCGAATTATATAAAATCAATACTTACAGCATTGGAATTAATTAACAGCTGCAGCTGGAGGGGTCTTTCCTTGAAAAATATTTGTTTTTGTTAGCGGAAATATTTTCGTAGGCCAAAAATGAAAACCATAATGAGTGGAAGGAGGAGGAGAAGTAGGGGAAGCGTTCGTGACGCTGACATTTTTCGAAGTACTCGAGCTGCTTTGGCATTTAATGAGCTGCCAATTTGGCAATCGGTGTTTTGATGTCAGTGCAGTTGGCTGGGCCGAGACAGCGGGCCCACGAATCCTAATGTCTTACTTATACTTCCGCTCTTTGTTGTAATTTTTTGTTGCCTTTGTTTTTTGTTTGGGCAATAAGGAATTTTTGTGCTGAAAGAAAAGTGAAAGCTTTGCCATTTGCGTGTTAATTGCGCCTGGAATTTACATAAATATTAATTTCAGATGAGTTCGTGCTCGTCATGGAGACTTCAAAGTCGCCCCCAAACGTCAATATAGAAATATATATATTTATGTAAACGAGTTCCCATTTCCATTTCGACTGTTTGCCAGCGACAATTAGGCTACATATTGGCCCCGCCATTCCTGCTGGGCCCAAAAACGCCTTGATTTATGCAAAGAAAGTGTGTTATTATAGAGTCTGCTGGTCTGAGTGAATGATTTCGCAGCATGTGGGCTTGCCATGGCTTCCTGGAATATTTAGGTAGATTGTCTGGATTAACGCAGCATTGATTGGATAGCAGGGATTTTGAAAAATCGAGGCAGAACGAGAATATCTGTATTAAATTTATTTAAATGAATTTATTAAACTTTAAATTATGAAATTAATCCAAGCAGCTTATATGCAGGTATTGTGGTATTTTTCGGAATTTCTTCGAAATCATAGGATATATTATGGTTGAATTGTGGTGCCTTTACTTAATTGTATCCTGGCTTTGCCTGTGCTTCTCCAGACGAGCGTTAATAATGCCAAAATTCTGACGAATTCGTATTTATTTCCCATTTGCCTTGCGAAATCAACTTGATACACATTTAACACAATTTCAATTTATTTTCCTTTGTATGTGCCGTGGCAGAAAAATACTCTATTAACAATTTTTTTCGTATTGACTAAGTGAATTTGGAGCCACATCCGTCTGGCCGGCAATTAATAAATATTCTGATTTCATTATTTTTGATTTTTAAAAGAGAATTTTATATATGCGTGCGAGTGAGTTGTGGGTGAGAAATTTAAAAAGTGTTCTGACCGCAGCCAATTTTAATAAATAATATATAATGTGTAGGTAATCGTGAACAAAATCAGAATAAATATTAATTCGGCTGTCGAATAGCAGAAGAGCTTTAATTAATAGCAACTAGGAAAACCATTAGTCTACAATAAATAAATAAATAAATAAATAAGAGTTTAACAAATAAATTATGCTTAAAGTACGGTTATTATCCTATTTACAGTTCGTGTTTTTTTTTGTTAACAAGGAAAAAAGTTGACTTCAAAGTAGCTCGACTCTGCTTCTCTGCGACTTGCAGACTCCCTGCGGCTCACTTGGCCGGCATATTGCACTGTGGATACAGGCTCTGGCAGTCCTTTTGATCCTGGCCATCCCGAGCAGCCTGAATTAGCCGGTAGAAACGACGCACTGCCTCATTCGCATGCGTTACGGGCTCCAGTTCGCTGGTGTCGCTGCAACAGACACAAAAAAAAGGGTAAACTTTATCATTAAACGGGCTCTCGCGAATTTAATTAAATGTGGTTGTTCTGTTTTCTTGCCGTGAGCAGATGCTTCCCGGCATTTTGTTATTTTGTTAGTTAGTTGGTCCTGCAATGTCTAGGGAAGCCTTTTTTGCTGGATGCCAGGAAGTCGACTAATTAACTTTGCCACTTCGGTGCCGTCGCACTAAAGTTTTCGTGAAAGCAGGTCGAATCGCTTTGTCTTTTTTATATGTGGCTTACCAGCACGCGCCCTTTGTGCGTCAGACAGACAGCCTTTTGCCATCGAAAAACTTGCACACTTGGGGAAAAATCTATCTATTATATAGAGGCATTTATATGAGATTATACTTAGGATTATAATAAAATGTACAATTTTAATTTACTGAAAAGGTGAAATATTCTTTCTTGTCACTAAATATTTTTCAATCAAATTCAAAAGATTAGTATTAAATATTTTATTCCAAGTGAAAAACCAAATCCAACGGCCCTGCTACTCAGCTATTCCGGCTTAAATTGAAGGCGTCTGCTGCAATTGATTCTGGGGGCGGAGTGCTGCTAATGGATTTCATGTGACTAGTGAGTCGTGCTCCTGGCTGGATGGTGGTTTGTGGGCGGAGAATGGCACCCACATAAGCCAAGGCCAAACTGATTTCCTATGCTCTTTGCCCCGCCCCACGAAGAAAGCAGTTCTTGTTCAAGAAAATGAAATGGGAGAACGTGACTCGATGCAAGGAAGTTCATAATTATTTTTTTGTTAGCCACCATTAAAATAGGATCTTGTTCTTACATAATGGAATAGCTCAATTAAGTAAAACACCTAACCAATTTACTTGAATTTCGATGAAAACCTATTTAATATGAATTTGTTTTAAGAGTATAATTATACGTTTGTTACTTAATCATTAGAAATATTAAAAACTGGCTTTATAAAGTAATGAAAGGAACCAATTAAATGTTTTATATTTTATTCGTATTAATTATTTAATATAATATAATTAACAAACGCACTGCCTACTCCGTCTATTGTTTACTGTTCACTGTTTACATTCGATAAAATAAGCCAATTAATATTTAACCATACAAAAAAGTTCTATGTTCAAGCCTGTTCTTTTGTAAACTAAAATTGAACTGACAGAAACACAAATGTATTCTCATCAAATATTTATAAATGCTTTAATGCCAGGCATGCGCATACTAACTACATTGAGCGTTTTGAACAAATGCTGCCTTTCATTAGGCCCATTTATTTTAATTAATTTTCAACTAGAATGACCGAAAACCTGAGCTCCAAGCCGTTGTCATTAGTGCTCCGATAAGGCAATTAAGCATCCACTTTTGGGCTCTCAATTAATAATGTCATGGGCACACGAACTCATAAATCATGCCCTGCTCCTGGGCCACCGCGGCCGTCAGTCACAATTTTGTCAAAGCAGTTATCTCCGCCAGACAGAGAGAAGTCAGCCAGTTTTGCACCCATTGTTGTCGGGGTGAAGGAAAAAAAATTAAATAAAAAACCTAGGCATGCCGCCCCAAAAGATAATGAGCCGTAGGAAATATGATGAATACAAGATGCGAGTTTATCTGGTCTGTGACATGCTTGAGTGCGTCTCGGAGTGACCGATGTGGGTGGAACCTCCGCAGATGATGAAGGCAATGGCACCCAGCATGTGGCATGTGGCATGGTGTTCCACTTGGCTGCCCCGTGTGCTGTGTGCAGTTCAATTAGTCGACGCGATGCAACAGCAATGAACTTGCGATGACAAACTGCACTTAGACAGCTCCAAGTTCCACTTTCTTTTCACGCTCTTGCCTATCAATTGAAAGGCGATGACGGAAAACGGGACCCCAGACGTTAAAGGTTTAGCTTTATGGCTGCAGAGCGTTAAGCGAGCTGAAAAATATATCTGAGATTTGACAGCCTGACATCACAATTTGCTATGGCCAGGCAGCAGCATTTAGAGCACAAAATAATACATTTTATGGCTCAGGTTATAACATACAAAGCTCAAAAAGGCCTGTCGTAGTAAATTGCATATACAACGCCCTAAAAAATATATTAATTAGTGGTCTAGATTACCATTCGAGTAGCTTTCGTCAAGTCCTATTGGTTGGTCTATAGCAGAACCTATTCTAAAATGGCTAATCCTAGAAAAAATCTATTTTCATTCAGATGTAGCAACGAATATTAATTTCCCCATTTTCCACAGACTCTTCAAACCAAAGACTTACCGACTCAGCTCGGCGGAAACGAAATTGCTGTGCGGACTATAGGTGGCCGGATCCTTGTACATACTGCAAACAATGCGCTCCTTGCACAGGTCATTCTTCACGCCCAGCTGCTCGACAATCTTGTCTATTTTGAGCAGAATGGGACTGTAGAAGGGATCATAGTTGAGCGGGTACAGTGGCTGCAAAACGCACAAAAAATACGCACAAATTATTGACAATGAAAGCAGATTAGTGCGGCGGATGTGAGAGCGGGCAAACCTGTCCATCCTGCACGAATGGCTGATGCTCCAGTATCTTCTGCTGCTGCTGGATCAGGCGCTGCTCTGCCTGAATCCGAATGGCCTCCTTCAGCTGGGCGGCCAGTTCAGGCTGTGGGATATAGAGAAATGGGAGGTAGGTTTCAGTTTTTTATATAGTTTTTTCTTTAGTTTAGATAGTTTTATCCTAAACTCCACCCACCAGGTGTCAAACATTTTAACCTTTGTTTTGCAAATTAAATTGTGAAAATTAAATTAAAAAATGTCTGTAGGCGGTGATGTTTATGACACAATTTAGGAACATTTCGTGAGGGCAAAGGGCAAAGTTTGCTACGTGTTGTCTGTTGTGGACAGTCCGACAGCCCGACCAACTTAATTTAGAGCCGCCAGCTAGCACACTTTCCCGACTGTTGGTTCCCATCATATTCGGCAAGGTGTGTTGTGCTCATTTAATTAAGGTGAACAGCGGTGAGTCAGGTTTCGCAAAGCCTACAGATTGTGCTGTCAGGCACCGGGCACTGCAATGGCAAAGTGCATTTTAATTATGGCTTAGTTGCCCGAAAGCACAGCCCACATGTCCGCACTTGAAAGTGAAAACTGTCGTTGAGTGTCAGTCAGTCAGTCAGACAGACAGTCGGAAGACAGTCATATATGTAGTTGGTCTGGCAAAATTGCTGTTTGCCAAGCCATACACCTTGCACGGCCCTGCAATTTGAATAGTGTCGTTAAACAAAAAAGAGAAAAGAATATGGCAAAAGCATCTGCACTTGGAGGAAAGTGTCAATAAATGCAGCAGCCATGTGCCGCGTCTAGACATTTGTTTGTGGGGGAAACTGCAGCAGCCAGATTGATTGTAATGTTGTCTGCTTGTGCAAATGTGTAATCTGCAAATAGCAGCCGGCACTGTGTCACTAATGATGGGAGGAAATGGCCGTAAATGGCGGGTGGACCCGAAGCCAGCCCATTGACCTACACGGGAAATGAGCTCTCTAAACTAAGACTGAGCAATTAAATTACAGTTTTTTTATTTAAGTTCCGCGAAAGTATTTGGTATTTGGCAACTAAAATAAAGCTAACTTCATCCTATTTCTTGTAAAATCTGCTAAAAGTCCTTTAGTAACCATGTTTAATTTGTTGCTAATTGCTGTTTGTTTTGTACTTTGAAAACCCGACGCCATCAAGCTGATATTTTCCTAGGGGGATTTACTTTCTGCTGTTGCGCGTATTTTCAAAACAGAACAAATCTCCTGGTTTTATGCCTGGACTATCTGATTTCACACATTTCCATTTTAATGTATGTATATGTGGCTGTGATTACAATTACCATGCATATTCGCGAATTCTGTTTGTACACAGTGCGTATACGTAACGAGTTGAAATGTGATACGCACCGAAAGTTGTGGCTCCTGCAAGGTCTGCTGTTGCTGTTTCTGCTGTTGCTGCTGATTGTTGCGTGCGGGATCATACTGTGCGGCTATTTGTGCTGCTGCCGTAAGTCCTGGCCCGTTCTGTGGCGGATGATGTCCTGGAACGAACACCGGATGGTGCTGCGTATGTGACGGCCTTGAGCTGCAAAATTCGAAACAAAATTAGGGATCGAATGCGGGTGTGAGTGGGCGGGTCAACTTCCGGCTGCCGTAATGGCGGTGTGGTGAATCAAATTTCCTTTTCGCGTCTGAATTTAATTGGCAACAATTACCATCCAACGCTGTGTTGTTTGGCTTTCATTAAAGATTTTTAATTACATTTCCATGCACAGCAAGGACACGAGGACATGAGGTGGAAAAACAAACAGAACCATAGGGGTACCGGAAAGTCCCTATTACCATTTAAGTGGTTTATTAAATAATGTACAAGCTAGCAGGAAACAGTTTGAGTATGGTTATGCACGAAAAGGGCAATACTGTTGGTGGGTTATTCATTCAAGCAACTGAAAAGTAGCGGAAAGGTTCCCTTTTGCATTTTTAAAAGGTTCCTTTAACGAATTATAATTGAAATGTAATGAAATTGTATCAGAAAGGTAGCATACAATAAAGTCAAACAACAAGTATTTACCCCCTATCCGTGCAGAGAGTGGAAAGTAAACATTAGCAAATAAAGTCATATGAAAACATAAGGAGGAGCTGGCTTTAAGGAATCGGGTTAGTAGCTTATGTTGAGACACAATTTATGTCTGTGTGCGATTGTGTTTTTTCGGTGGCGGTGCAAGTGAGTTTTCGTGTGCGTAGGTGTACTTTTTGTTTGTTATTTTTTCGGGGGGCCCTTAAGTGGCATGTACCTTTGTTGGTCCTGACTTTGAAATGGGTTTAAACTGTGACTAGAGGGCTGTGCTTTCTGAGCACCTAATTGCTGTTGCAGCTGTAGCTTGAGCTGCTGCTGGTGCTGGTGCTGCTGTTGATGATGTTTTTGCTGAATTGTTGGTGGCCTGGCCTGCTGGGTGGCAGGCCATCGCTGATGCTGCTGCTGCTGTATGTGATGTGGCTGCTGTTGTACCTGTGTGGTGCCCAGGCCCCAAGCATGCAAAACCCCGGCATCGTTAGCCGTGTTGGGCTTAAAGTAATGCGCATTATCCTCAATTTGTGCAGCGCGGTTAATATCGCCTATGTATCTATTGTGATGCCAGTCGATTGTTGTGAGAGTGAGGTGTAAGTGTGATTTAGAGACAAGACAGATACACAGATGGTTAAAGTCACAGAATGCGGACACACAAAACGTGGGGTGCGAACAGAAAGGCGGCACTTACTCGGAACCTAGTCCAGGACCACTGTTCTCCCAGGCTCCCTCGAAGTGCTCGAATCCTCCTGGGCCGTAGCTCTCGTGAACGGGCGCTCCATGGAGATAGGCGGACGGATGGCCCTTTGGCGGGTGCGTGTAGATGAGCTCGGGACCGGAATGATGCTCTCCGCTGTGCCATGGGGGGACCACCTAAAAATAAAGGCACTTGGAGTTAGTCTTTAGTTTTGTAGATATCCTATTTTTAACTAAGTTTGTTTCTGCCAAGCTTCCTTCTGAATTTCTTCGAGTGTGGAGTCATGATAAGCGCAAATTGAAAAAGTAATGGAGCAGTCTGGGCTGCAAGGCTTCTTTTTGCTTGACATTTAATAAGCTCGGCAGCAAAGCAAAACTTTTTTCACTGCTCTGGAGGGCTTCTCTTTCGAGTGCTCTCATCACGACATCTTTTTTGCTATTTATAGGCAATATTTGAACCGACCAAATAATACGCATTCTGCTCGACTTTGTCTGGTGGGCAGGCCCCACCCCGCGCTCCTTTAACTCAGTTCAATGACTGCCAAATAGCCGTAAATAACGAATAAGATGCCAAGATATGGGACTGTGTCATTGCCTAGCAGGGAGCTCTGCCCGGCTTTAGGTTCATGCTCTGGCTCTATTATTTGTGCTGTTTATTGTGCCCCCGAATCGGAATCATATTTCATGCTGTGCGGCAGCAGAAACTTTTCCCAGTAAAGAGGTGACACGTCAAGTGCGTGTTTCTTGCTCTCGACTGGGAAGTCTTTCCGTCTGCAAATTAATTTCATTTAAACTGACTGCGAAAGCAGCCAGGGATGGCAACGGCAGACAGCTTAAAGGCGGCAAATAACCAAGAAATGCGACATTCGAGTGTCAATGCACATATGGAATTCAATAAAGCGCTCCCCTATCAATTGTTCGTTTTTTATTACTTTACTGCTGGAATCCGGTGAAGCTTTCCTCTATCCGCTGTAAAGAAATTCATATATTCCGTTCCAAGAACGAGTTTAACGACACGTGTTCCCCATGGACTCTAGCTTTCTCCGGTAAAATCTGTCAATAGTTGTCCTAAACTCAATTACAGCTTCTAAGTGGTAGTTGAAAAGGATTATAGTTGCTAAATTGGATGTTTTATTGAATCAATTTAAAGGGAAATCCTGTTCGGTAGAAAAAATGTGGTATGCAAACATGGTTACCCGGATTATCCCCGGCAGCTTTTGGCTAAATGCCAGGCCCTAGTCTCAGTTCAATGGCATTCCTAGCGACATTTTCGAATGCGAACATAAATATCTCATAAATACGAGTATCTACGCGTGTGCACTCGTTCGCACACAAGTATTTGTGAGAAAAAGCCTTGCACAGAAAGAAAATTAAATTGATTTTCATTTGAATTATTTTGCAAAAATAAATTCTTCAATAAACATTTAATGGTGAGCTTTCAGATATTTAAAGGGGTTTCTGTTTGAATTGGATAATATTTCTGAACTGCAACATAGCTTTTTCTTATAGTTCCTTATACAGTTTTTCCCCCTGTGCTATTACAGCCATTTATAATCCCTGCCAACGGGAACCATTCAACAGACGGGATTTCATTTGACGATATGTCAAGCTGGGTGCTGTCTGTGTCAGCGTGAGCTCATTTCGATGACAAGGGCGCTGCGACACGTGCTTGGAGAAGGGAAGGGAAATCTTCAATGGAAATACTTCTCAACTGACGTTAAAGAACGCGCCTCTAGACTTTTCTAATTGAATTTCCGGGAGCGTGGATATGGCAGCGCGCACATCAACAAAAGGCAACTTCCGACTGGCAGGCGTATAGACAAAACTGAATCACATCCAGATTGTTAATGAAGTTTCTCCAAAAATACGCCAAAGACGTGAAAAATATAATCGGCCTAACCCAAACCAGTTAGTGACGGTATTACAAGACGCTTTTTCCCCCAAATGTCATATTTTCGTGTCATTGGAGTATTTTTCTTCTCAAGAAATAATAAAGTTCTTTACTAAAATTTAAGATAAACTTAAGAAATTATTGACTAAGGAAACTATTTTTGAAAAATGTGTTTTATATAAAGCATTTAATGTATGTAAACTAGGTCAGAACAAACCAGTTTTCTTGCATATAGAATAACAATTTGCATATGTCAGCCTATTTTGCCAAGTCCACTTAACATTGAGAAGCAAAATTGCTGATTTAGAGCCAAAACACTGGTTTGTTTATACCAAAATTATGGCTATATGGTTGGGAAAATTGCACGCAAAACGACTTAACGACTCACACAGAGATTTCTGTGGAAACATGGCAATTTGTGCAATATCATCCCCAATTGGCACTCACCGTATGATGATGATCGATGAGGTGATGGTGGTGGTGGTATTTGGGTGGTGCGTGATAGGACTGCTGGTAATAGGAGCAGAGCTTGAAGAGATGCGACAGCGCCGGGAACAGGAATAGCAGGAACTTCAACAGCAGCTTCTTGGCGGCTCCGACTCCAATGATGATCGGCAGCAGCCAGAATAGCTTGATCTTGATGATCTTGATGATGAGCAGCAAGGCGAGGAATGACAACACCAGTTTGCTGCGTAGAAATTTTTCTGGACAAACGAAAGTAGCAATCGAATCAGACTCTTGATGCAAGAGTGAAAGCGCTTTCATCAGCGGGAGAATCGCATCTGCATTTGCATCTGCATCGGCATCGGCATCGGCATCGGCATCGGCATCAGCCTCAGCCTCAGCATCTGTAGCTGCGTGATGGGGAAACAAATTGCGAATATTACTTACGTATCTTCTTCTGGATTATCGCGCCAGCCAGTCGGGCCTTGACTACCTGTTTGGGAATCAGCTCCAGCTTGGCAATGATTCCATTTCCCTCGATGGCCCGCGGCGAGATGCGAAATGTGGCGCCGTTGAACATTACCTCCGGCAAGTCCACCTCCAGATCGTGGGTCATGGCGAATTGGATGCTCTTTCCATATAGAGCGCTGGTCACTTCCTCGATCGGGGTTTCCGGACTGGCTGCTTGGCAATCGGAGAAACAGAGAGTTAGATGGACGTAAACGAGGTTAAATCTGCACAGAGTGACGCTTTTGGGTTAATGAAAGTTGTATATCTAGCGATTTCCCCGCTCAGGATGCTGCAGCTCTTGCGCAACTGAGAGTAAAGTTAGCTTTGGGGTCTATAAATAATTTTCAGCTAGTGAACGAGAGTGGGAGTTGTTTCCGCTTAGAAAATATTCTGCCGGAGGTTGAAAATGCTTATTAAATTTGTATGGACCTTTAAGGCAGACGCATTTGACCGGAAAACGGCGAATTTTTAAGGTTGATATAAGAAAATGTATTTTATTTTGATTATTGATTTGTCTCAACGTAATTGTTTTTATATTAATTTTTTTAGTGCTTAATCGGTTGATGAATGTCATTAAATGAAATATAAGCAATGTAAAATGGAAAATAAACTTATTAAATGTTACTTACTGTTTATTAATTATTCAATTTAAGCTTTTAAATGTCTCTTAGTTGTTTATAAAATTCTAAACAGTCTGCCACCGCTTACATAAGTCTTGGCTGAATGGCTGTTAATGTGCCGATTACCGTGGGCAAAAGAAAACATCTGATGGCCAGGTAAAAAGCCGCATAATTGAGCGCAGTCAAAGCGCCGTGACTCACATAAACGAGAGATCGTTGCCGTAGCAGATATTTTACTGCTCTCCGGCGCAGCTAAGAAACGTAAAAAATCAAATCAAAACGCGGCAAGTGAAAGTTACTGGAACTGGCAGAGGCATTTATTTATTTTTTTGTTGTGAACGTGCTCGAGTATAGGTAAACAAAGCGAAGAAAAGAATCGAATGCCGACGACTCACAGATGTGAAAACTGATGGCACAAACCAAATCGACCAACTATAGGGTTTGTTACATAAGACTCCGTCAGCGGAACGCATAATTGCGGGAAAAACGTTTTGAGAATTACAGAATATATTGAAACTAATTGGCATTAAACTATTAGAATTGTAACTTCAAAATTGAATAATTATTCTATTTTCAGATATCCCTCCTTTCAGATTGAAAGGACTCTTTATATTCCACTTACCGGCACGTGCCTCCGAGTGCTCCTCCTTATCCTTCTCGACCTCGTAGTGAACTTTGTTCTTGAAAAACTTGAGTCTCTCTGTCACATTGACATCCTGCACATCCAGAGCACCATCCAAATAGCTGAACACATTCTTCTGGAAGCACGAGATGTCCGGCTTTAGATAGCAATCGCGAACAAGTCCATCCCAGAGCTCGTTGCCACTGGTAAAGCGCCTGGCCAGGCGGAGAAGCAGGGAGTCGGTGGGTGCTATTTTATCCATTTGCTTCCTGGCCGGCTGATCCGTGGCATTCAGTACTGGTTGCCATTCTTCCGGCGGCAGTTCCGTTGTAGAAGACTCCGTTTCGGATTCTGTGGCCGACTCCGTCACCTCCTCGGCGGTCTCCGTTTCCAGGCGACCCAGCGGTGTGGTGGAAAGATGACGGCCACGACGGCCACCATTTCGAGCCGTCTCATCCGCCTTGGCTACCGCGTTTATTAGGCAGATTGAGAGGAGGAAAATCAGCAGGCTGGTTTTTGATCCGACCATGCTCGACCATGGGAGGCTGCGACTTCGATTTGGATTGCTGCTGTGATTGCAGGTGCGATTTCTACTAGAGGATGTCCACTGCCTCCGGCTCTCACCCGAGGTCCAATTACGGAGCAGATCACTGTGTGTCTTGGGCATTTTCAGTTTCGTTTTCGGGTCTCGTTTTCACTCTTCCAGTTAGCAGTTAGCACTGCTGGTGGGTAATTCACACCTTCAACCTGCAATTGTGGGTGCAATTTACGTGTTCCCAAACTGTTTATCTAGCCAGTTTCGCCCTAGCTACGTGCTCAGGAACTTTGAGCTCTGGCGGACACAATGACCGGCTTTATTGGCAAAATTGTAAGCCAATTGACAAATCAATCTTTTTAGCACACAAACACAATTCCATTGATTGTTAATGGGTTTCTGTCGATTTGTTTTGCCCCGTCTTAATTCAGTTTTGTTGGTTTTTTATTACTTTCTTCGCATGTTTACTTTGGACTCGTTTGTTTGGAATTTCGCTGCCGCATTTAGCGCGTTTTCTATTTGCGTTACTTGGTTATCTAGCTAGCAATTACTTCATCGCGGCACACCTACGGCCTAACGGTTTGCAGCTCGCGTATCTTGTAACTTGTATTTATCCCGTCTCTCGTATCTAGTATCTCGTATCTGGTGGATATGAAAATCACCTGTTAGCGCGTTTCGTGTGCGCATGCGTGCGCGACTGGCGGACAACTGAGCGTGTTGTGGCCCAAACCGCTGGCCAAGATCATGGCCGGGTCTAACAGCGGACCGGTCTCTCTCTCTCTTTTTCTCTTTCCCTGTCTGGCGTTTCCCTCTCGCCAGTTTCGTTCAGTTGTCGTTGACTTTTTGCGCTGCAATAGCGGCTGTATCTTGTATCTGGTGGCTTCCTCTGCATTCGCACGTTGCTCCAGCAAATATTCTTCTTAACTGTAGTTTTTGCCGCGGCTGAAAGTTGTTTCGCCAGCCCCTGCCCCCTCTATGTTTGTTTATACATTTTCCAGTTAGCTTTAGATTGTTTCAAGTGCAGCTTGTCTGCTGGCTTGGCGTTAATTTTCCGCGTAATTGTTGTTTCTCTTTGCAGTGTTGACTCTTTTTGCGGCCAATCAGGATTTACTATTGAAGTTTTCCCACTACGATAAGTACTTTTTATTTTTATTGATTTTTCATGGCTTGCAAAGTGTTTTGGCAACTTAAAGATAAAGAGAGAAAACAAGTAGAGAATTATGAAATGCATTTGTAAAAGCATTTTTAAAAGAATATACATATTTTCAAGGGATATCGGAGAAAGCTAGGAAAGGAAAATTCATAAAAAATATATATTCAGTATATCTTGTAGAAAAATATATTAACGAGCTTAGATACTGTGGTAATATATATAAGCACTTAGGTACTGTTTATTTTTTCCGTCATATGTTAACAAATATTTACGTACTTGCTCCTTGCATAGTTTCGTTAAGTTTGAGTTGCACTATAAATTGGCCTTCGCGGGATACCAGTTTTTATTTGGAACAAGAAGGGAAGCTAACTTCGGCACACCGAAGTTTGTATACCCTTGCAGATTGGTTTTGATGTTTATATTATAGATTTAAATGCTGAAAACACACACAAAACAGAGTTTCATTACATTTTACCTATACTTATTATGTTTACAGTTTGACAGTTACAGTTTTACATTCCCAGATTTATATTTTCTCTACATTTACCGATCGTTTATATGGCAGCTATATGATATAGTTGTCCGATTTTCATAAAAATTTTACCAAAATTCTGAAATAATAAAAGAAGCTTATATCTAAAAGTAGATAAGAATATGTTGAAAAACAACAAAGTTATAATTTTTTTCCTATTCTTTTTCCGATCGTTCCTATGGCAGCTATAAGATATAGTCGTCCGATTTTCATAAAATTTTTACCAAAATTCTGTAATAATATAAAATGGCTATATCTCAAAAATGATGCAAAAATATTGAAAAACAGCCAAGTTATAATTTTTTTCTAAAAATTTATCGAACATTTGTATGACAGCTATATGATATAGTCGTCCGATCCGGCCCGTTCCGACATATATAGCAGTGAGAGTATATAGAAGACTATATGCAAAGTTTCATTCAGATAGCTTTAAAACTGAGGGACTAGTTTGCGTAGAAACAGACAGACGGACAGACGGACAGACGGACATGGCTAGATCGACTCGGCTGTTGATGCTGATCAAGAATATATATACTTTATAGGGTCGGAAACGTCTCCTTCACTGCGTTGCAAACTTCTGACTGAAATTATAATACCCTGCAAGGGTATAAAAATGGGTCAACTATTGACCTAGCTACCTATTTAAATATATAATAATTTTTCCACAAAAAGCTGGCAGCCAAGTTAACGTTTATTCACAAAGACTGAATTGAGAACGGAATCGGAAAGCGGTGCTTGGTGACAAAGGAAAGCAATCAAGTTGTCAAATAAAATCGCCATTACTTGAACCACTTTCAACAAAAGATGTGTGCGGTGGCACACTTATGACATATGCTATTATTCTTTTGTTGTTTTCATAGCCATTGAACGGGCTTCGTGTAATATTTGTAGCCATTATCTGCGATCAAGATATCAAACTCCCACTTTGACCTTATTTCAGTCACTACTTGGCTATAAATTTAATTGCCGCAAAAGTCTGAAACCCTTGGCTGGGCATATTAATTAGGTGAAAATGCCTGCTAATTTGTGCCCAGACATGAGAGCTTTTCCACAAAATGTTTGTGCCGTTTATAATGATATTTCCAATGCAATCAATTAGTCCACATTGCGCACACAGCTACATACTGTATGAAGACTTATGATTATTATTTTTTAACGAGCTTCGCCTAAGTTGCTCTCGGTAGACGGTACGTATGCGTAATGTGCATAAATGACATATGTAACGAGTAGCGTTGTTATGGCTTTTCACATTAAAGACATTCTATTAAAGTGCCATGGCGGCTTATGTCATGCCAAAAGAAATACCCATAAAGCTGAGAGTACACAATTGCTATAAAAATAATGGACAGCTAAATCAAGTTTTTGGGAGGCAGCAGAAACAGCAGCAGCTGCAGAACTCGCTCCCCACCCAAAAGCCCATATGATGTAAGTTCTCCGCGGGTTCAAGACGAGTCGAAGACCCAAGTCCGACCGTTAGGTGTCTTTAAGGGTTAGCGGCATAGAAACCAGAACTCCAGACAGCGACAAAACAAGTGAGCTTCAAATTGTACACTTTTCTAAAACGATTTTAGTACTTTTGATATTAAACTTGATTTATTTTTCAAATATTTTATATTGATTTCTGAAAATGATATGTTTTTCTTCACAAATCAGTGCATTTAATTGCTTTTAAAGATTATTTGTGGACTTATGCAACTCACGATACATTTGTTTTTGATTGCCGTTCTGCCGTTTCGTTGGCTTTCACTCGAATGCTTCCTGCTCTTTTTTTAATAATGATTCAATTACATCTATCTTAATGACACTTGAAAATGGCCAACTCTCGGTTGACAGTCGGCCAGATTACGTTTCGGAAGGTAACAAGCTTTCGCTGTACGCTGTTTCTGGTACTGTCAGTCCCAGCATTTCCGTGAGATTTTATTGCATTTTTATGTGACAATTTCTCGGCAGACACACGCATCCGAAGCTCGCATCGAGGGCAGGAAGGTTATGTAAAGCGTCGAGCATTTGCATTTCATTAAATTGTATCAAATTGTATCTGCCGGCGAACTTTCGGTTTCGGTTTCTGTCTCAGTCGAACGCCTGGTGAATGTATCTAATAGATTACTAATTTCACTTTATGCGTGCCTGTATCTTAGTTGGCCGGCCCAGTGTGGTGCGATTTGAGCTAGCGTGCAAATATTTTAAAGAGTTTTTTAACTCCGACTACATTTCTTTTTGTCCGTTGCGTTTTATTTGCCACCAGAGAAATCCATGGGCAAATTCACTTTCGTTGCGGTTAACCAACTTGACTCACTAATGGCTTATTAAGTCCAAATAGATCGGATTCAGCGCACTTTTTTATGATCCATCTGCCAGGCACTGCAGCAATTGAATGTAATTATCGACAGTGTGGCACAATAAAATGGCGAATAAAAATAATCCGAGACCGGAATAAAAACCATTCTGCGGTTTATCGCCTGCAATTTATGCTAAAAGGTTTCATTTTCAATTAAGTGTGATCATTTGAAGGGAAAAAAGCAAAGCAATTTGAGCCGGGCCCAAGCAATTTGTTTACTTTCTTCTGCTCTTAATTGAGGTAGCATTAAAAATATTCTGACTGTGTTTTGTTTCGAGAATCAACAGCCGGTGAGCACGCGAGCCCAAGTACTAATTGGGATTCTAATGTGTATTAGAGCGCGTTGAGATTCCCATCTGGCATGCGCTAATAATTCAACGGAGATGGAGGAGGGAGGGTCTCTGAGAACTTTATGAGTTTTCTGGCGGAGCTAAAACAAACCGCAGAAATTTCACTTTTACCAGCTCAACTGAATGCACATGGACATTCGTTGCATTTCCCCTTTAAAACAGGTTTCCATTATACGTTTTTCGGGTTAATAAGTGCAACTGACAACCGGCTTGCCAGTTGGTCAGTCAGTCACCAAAAAAACTAGGTCAAATATTTGCATTTCGGAGACGTTACTTACTCTAGTGGAGATGGAAATGTTTCCACCTGCAGTTACCATAAACTAAGGCACAGTCACTTGAGCAAACACTCGCAAATCACCACAAGCTCATAATTCTTTGACGCAACTTGTTGTTGTGGCGTGACGCCTAATTAGCAAGACACTTTGTTGTTATTTGTCCGCTGGTCACTTTCGCTCTCTATTTTCACAATTTGGTAGATTTGATTTCTAGAATCCCCCAGCGCGTCTTTCACTTTTTACCGTTGTTAATTGGCAGAGAGGCGCGATAAACGTGGAAGACCGGCAAGCGTGGAAGACCAACTGATCGGAGGTGCCGCCTCTGCACAGATGTGGCCAACCTTGGGTGTTGGTAGGTGAGTTCAATCGTTCCAAACACAGACACTCGAGAGAGATGTGTGCTCTCCGGAGCATTTCTCCTTCAGCCTGAAAGTATGCTTACATACCTTACTTTAAGTACGAATAAATAATACTAGTTGGAGGGAAATAAATAATTTAAAAATTCATTTCAACTACAAATTGCATTATTTTATTATCTTAATCTATTTTTTACTAAACTTGATTCTTTTGTTTTATGATTAGTTGGTCGCCTCAGTGCTGGCATGAGACTCAATAGGTTTGACTTCGTTGTCACTGCTCTCCAATAATCTTACCGGCACTGTTGGCTTGGTGGGTTGTGGGGCTTTTGTGGTCATTTTGGTTGTGGTTGTAGTAGTCGTTGTCTTTCTCCATTTTCCTCTCCACTTTTTGGGTCCATCTTGGTCGGCTGGCTTTATCCTATTCCTTATTATCTTGTGCCATTCACTGCAATCATCCGTTTGCAAAGAGCTCCTAAGTAGGTTTCCAGTCATCATTTCATTGAAACTCGTTACGAATTTATCTTCGATGTTGTCCTTGGGTGGAGTACTCATCAGCTGCACCGGTTGGTTCAGCATAAAGGGGATGGGGTAGGGAATGTAGACCGGCATGGGATAGAACATTGGCTGAGCGGGCGACAGGTGGGCAGTGGGCGTGGTTGCTAATGGTCCATTGGAAACAATAGGCGAACTCTCCCAAATACCAGGTAAGGACAATAGGTCCTGCAGTAGAGGCGCCTGCTTTTGGCCAGGATTCAGAAATGGTTTTCGATTTGGAGGCACAGGATTCTTCCTAATGACCTTTTCTGTGGTGGCAATTGCTTCGGTTGCTGGTGGCTTAGTAGTTTCCACGTCTGGAATTAGTGTGGACTCAGCATCCTGTTCCGATTTGATTGCCTCCCCAATCATTGACTGACTTATTGGATTTGAAAGCACAATCAGTGGTGCTTTTGGATCATCTCCACTGGCTTTGAGAACAGCCACTTGACCAAAAGCCAACCAAGTCTGGCACAACAGGAACCCCAAAACTGCAGCTAAAATAATATGTATATAAGGACAATGTTAAAGCAGAAATGGGTTTCTACGTACCACTATGAAGTATCTTCATGGCGACGATTTTCTTACTAAAGTTCTTGAGATAAGTTTCGCTTTTTATATGGCCGAACTCGTGCGAATTTTCGAAAGTAGGTTGCCGGCTAAATTGATTCTTAATAAATTTGCTAATTGACAAGTGTGCATCTTTTTTTTTATCTTGACGTAGCTTTTAATTAAAAATAAAAAAAAATGTTGTGAAATTTATTATCTTACAGGTTTCTAAATACAATAATGATCCGTAAAAGAAAACATTGGGTCTTGTTACAATGGTAATTAAACTTTTTATTATTGTTACTTTAGCAACAAAAAATAATTAATAATTTACTTCAAGATTTACTTAATTGGAAATTAATTTCAAATGTACTTAATTTACTTCAAGTATCTCAGTTTTTCTCTAGTCAAAATACAACATTTACAATGTGGTTATTAATTATTACTTTATTAAATTTTATTATCATTTATTGTTGATTCATTATTAGAGCTATGCTGTTTTTGAGCCCCGAATTCTTTTGAAAAATGAAGTGGAAAAAAATGAAGACGTCTGTGATGTATCTGAGCTGGGACGTTGTTTCTTAAATGGTGAACTTTCCCATACTCCGGGTAAGGATAAAAACTGAGATTGTAAATAATACTCAAATCGATTAGGACTTTGTCCATTATTAGATGTCAGGTCCTCGGTTTGGCTAGGCCTTATAAGACTTCCAGAAACAGCAGTTCCATAAATGTCAGGTGGAATGTTTGCTTCCGCCTTAAAAATTGGTTCAGATTTTTCCTCTGTTAAATGCTCTTGTACAAAATTTGTTTTATATTGTGTGCTATTGGTGTCATTTGTTGGAGGTCTTGGAAATATCAAAAGTTTTTCAACCTCCGCTTGACTTAGCGGTATGCTTGATAAACATCCAATAACTATAAAGACTGAAGAGATACAATTTTGGTTTAGAGTCCTAAGCTTGTAGAAGACAACCTACCGCAGTAAATAAACTTCATGGTCAACTCTACCATTTTTTTTTTGCGGTTCAGTAAGCTTTTTATACATATAGTCAAATCAGGGTAGAATTTGAAAGTAGGTCACTGGCAAAATCGTTGTTTAATAGCTCGCTAATTAACAAATAGAAATTCTTCTATTTAATTTTCCATGTTAATATTGTGCAAAAAAAGCCATACAGATAACATAAAAAGATTCTTTGCAAATAAATACACCAAAATAATTTATAAATATTCATCGATTTATTAACTTTGGTAAAGAGATTACACTCATAGAGTACTATCTACTTTGGCAAATAGGAAGAAGAGGGAAAGTAGCACAAATATGTACTCATGTCATTTCAGTTGTTGAGGTTGAAGTATTTGGAATAGCATTGGATGTTGATGGTTCTTCCGTTGTTGTACTTGGAGATATCGGAATCGCATTGGATGTTGATGTTGGGCTCTCTGTTGAAGTGGGAATTGCAGGGGACGTGGTTGATTCTCCTGGTTTAGTTGGAGTTACAGGAACTGTTGGCTCTTGTGTAGTCGTTGTTGAGGAAGGAACTGCAGGAGATGTGGTTGGGGATTCTGTTGAAGTGGGAATAGCTGGAGATGTTGTTGGTTCCTGTGTAGTCGTTGTCGAAGAAGGAATTGCAGAAGATGTGGTTGGGGATTCTGTGGAAGTTGGAATAGCTGGAGATGTTGTTGGTTCCTGTGTAGTCGTTGTCGAAGAAGGAATTGCAGGAGATGTGGTTGGGGATTCTGTGGAAGTTGGAATAGCTGAAGATGTTGTTGGTTCCTGTGTAGTCGTTGTCGAAGAAGGAATTGCAGGAGATGTGGTTGGGGATTCTGTGGAAGTTGGAATAGCTGGAGATGTTGTTGGTTCCTGTGTAGTCGTTGTCGAAGAAGGAATTGCAGGAGATGTGGTTGGGGATTCTGTGGAAGTTGGAATAGCTGGAGATGTTGTTGGTTCCTGTGTAGTCGTTGTCGAAGAAGGAATTGCAGGAGATGTGGTTGGGGATTCTGTTGAAGTTGGAATAGCTGGAGATGTTGTTGGTTCCTGTGTAGTCGTTGTGGAAGAAGGAATGGCAGGGGATGTGGTTGGGGATTCTGTGGAAGTTGGAATAGCTGGAGATGTTGTTGGTTCCTGTGTAGTCGTTGTTGAAGAAGGAATGGCAGGGGATGTGGTTGGGGATTCTGTGGAAGTTGGAATAGCTGGAGATGTTGTTGGTTCCTGTTTAGTCGTTGTCGAAGAAGGAATTGCAGGAGATGTGGTTGGGGATTCTGTTGAAGTTGGAATAGCTGGAGATGTTGTTGGTTCTTGTGTAGACGTTGTGGAAGAAGGAACGGCAGGGGACGTTGTTGGGTCTTCGGGTTTAGTTGGAGTTACAGGAGGCGTTGTTGGTTCCTGTGTAGTCGTTGTCGAAGAAGGAATTGCAGGAGATGTGGTTGGGGATTCTGTTGAAGTTGGAATAGCTGGAGATGTTGTTGGTTCCTGTGTAGTCGTTGTGGAAGAAGGAATGGCAGGGGATGTGGTTGGGGATTCTGTTGAAGTTGGAATAGCTGGAGATGTTGTTGGTTCCTGTGTAGTCGTTGTTGAAGAAGGTATGGCAGGGGACGTTGTTGGGTCTTCTGGTTTAGTTGGAGTTACAGGAGGCGTTGTTGAAGAAGGAATGGCAGGGGATGTTGTTGGGGATTCTGTTGAAGTTGGAATAGCAGGAGATGTTGTTGGGGTTCCTGTTGGCGTAGGAAGTGCTGTAGATGTGATCGGGGTTGATGTCGGAATAGCAGGGGATGTTGCTTCTCCAGGCTTTGTTGGAGTTATTGGAATAGCAGTTGATGTTGTCGGAACTCCCGTTGATGACGGGATAGCTGTGGAAGTTGGAGGCGTTCCCGTTGGGGTCGGAATAGCGGTGGAGGTGCCTGGGTCTGCTGGTTTTGTTGTGGCTTCTAATGGTGCTTTGGTAGATTTCCTTCTTCGCCGCCACTTTCCCCATAACCTTTTGAGTCCGAAGCTTGATGGAATCTCTGTGTTATCGTCATAGTTAGAGTCATCCAGGAAATTCTCAGTCCTTATTTCATTGATATTTTCTGCGATTTGTTCTTCCAGCTTGCCCGTTGGGGGTCGAATTTTATTATAAATTTTCTGGTTCCCATAGTTGAGTTTTATTGGTATGGGGACTTCCGAATCAAATGTTTCTCTTATTTCTGAGTTTTGATTAATCTCCGCATGGCTCAAATATATGCTTGAGATGCTTATGACAAAAGCTAAAACTGTAGAATTGCATTGATTAGAGCCTAGGCAATTTTAATATTGAATAAATAGTTTTGCTGAACCTACACGTTACTTTTTGGATAGTGTAACACAAATTATGATCGCTCAGCTTAACGATTTATTCTATGTGCTTTCTTTATTACCCACCATAAGAAATCGACTTCATGGTTATCCCAAATAAACTAAAGTTCTGCTAATAAATTTCCCGTCTTATATAGAGGAATTCCTTCGAATTGGAAAGTTGGTAAAAAAACGATAATAATTTGGCTAATTGAGTTAATTTGCTTCTAACTTTTCTTTTTATGTATGACTTCTTTATTTATATGCCCATTTTTTATTGTAATAATATTTTTATAAATGTATTTTAATGTTATACATGGCTCATAAGCGCATAGTTTTCATGAATCTATTGCGTTTTGGTACTCAAGTAAATGTAAAACAATTGTATTGGATGGAACGTTATTTATAGATATTTTAGTGGCAAATAGTGTATATGTAAGTCTGCCCAACCGCAGAAAATTTAGCTTAATTAGCAAAATTATTGGGTGAAAATAATTATCACCTGTCAACTTTCACATTTGAATGAATTTGCCTATATAAAACGAGAAATGTATAGGCAGAACTCTAGTAGATTTATACACATGGAGCCATAGCTAGTGTATACGGAACAACGAACTTTTTATGTATTTTAAATTAGACATAGACAACGATTCGCTTTAGCCAGCTAAGTAAATTTTAGTGACTATTTGAAATTTAGGTATAATCATTTGGCTTGATCATATTACTGCTGTATTTGCTTGCTTTATAGTTCTTATTGTAAAATAAATAAATAAATTATGAGAAAATATTACAAGGTGATGTCTAGAATTATTAGATTTGGTTGGTCGATGCCTCAGATTTCATGGATCGAGCATATCCGCCGTAGCCAAAGCCACTGGCGGTGCCACCGCCTCCTCCAGCGGCAAAGTGCGGACTGTGTCCGTGGCCTCCATCCTCGTGAGTCACCGAGTGCGAGTGGCTAGAAGTGTAAATGGGCTTGGCCACTATCTCATAGGTGGTTGACTTTCCGCCGCCGCCGGCCAAACTCTTGAGACCCAGGACTCCCGATAGGGTCAGGGCCATCAGAGCTGTCATCAGAGCCTTGCCGGCCATCAAAGCAATGGCTCCGAATCCCATGGCCATGAGCATGCCCTTCATCATTACTCCGGCTGCTACGAGGGCCTCCAGGCCTCCTTTCTTGCCAAACTTGTGTTTGCGACCTTCTACCAGAGCTTTGTCGTCCAGCAGGCGAAATCTTAAAAAGCGCGTCTTCAGTAGATTCTCCAGCTTGGCCACTATGTAGCCATTCAGCCGAGTGCTGGGATCACTGGGATAGCTCCGCGCAACTTCTGCAAAATGAAGAAAATTTGAGAATAGAAATTAAAATTTTCATAATTTAAAGCGACTAATTGAAAGCACTGGTATTTAAAGTAAATGGGATCACACACCGGCCATTAACTCCGAAGTCTTGAGCTCTGTGGCATTCTCATCCTTCACCACACTGACGCCGGGTAGAACATTGAGCTCCTCCTGTTCGGCAAGTTTTTCCATGATCTTGACAAACTCGATCTTAAGGCACATCCAGCTGAACGAAGACGTTTCACAGCCACTGAGCAGGGTTTCCGATTTTTGAGGCTTCTTTAGGGTTTCCGCGAGAGTTGGTGGAGGTGCTTCCGTAGGCTGGACAACACTCGCTGACTGGGCGTATTTGCACATAAAGGCAAATAGTGCCAGATAAAAAAGATATTCCAGGGTCTTGGTCAGCAACATCTTCGCTATCTACTGCCTTGGGGATTGTTCGAGTGACTGCAACATCTCGATTTTACGGCCTTACCTTTATACCCACCGCCACTGCCGGTGGCATTTCCATTCCCATTTCCCTTTCACCAAAGCCCGGCTCTGTACTCTCGGACTCGGGGCCCTTGTGCTTTTCTAATTACCCAAACGATTTGTGGTCGAAATTCTTCCCAGCGTCAGTCAGCTGCGTCCAACTGGGCGGCACTTTCGCTTTCCTCTGCGGCCAGCGGCCAGTCCAGCGAGACGGCCGGCCAATTCTGTCACCAAAAGGTTCCAGCCACCGAGTTCCCCAAGAGATGAATAGAAAACTCTCCGGGTCTGGGACATCCAGGTAATTACGAGTACGATTCCGAGTACGAGTCGCGTGCCTCGGACCTCCATAAATTAAGACACAGCATTATCGCTGCCTAACTGGGACTAACTAACAATTCATTGTTAATTATTACTACATTTTCATTTTTGTCTGGCCCCAGCCTCGTTTCGCTACTTTCTTTGCTCATTTTGCCCTTGAGGTAATATATCTTTCCACGCCGTGTCTCTTGCCTGTTTTATATTCAGATTACATGCAGTGCTAATGACCAATTTGTTGGCCGGCTTTTGATTTTCGCTTTTTCCCAGCCAGCCAGTGTTTGTCGGAAAAGATGGCATGAACAATGACACGGTTTGGGTAATTAGGAGTAAAGAGTATCACTTTTAAATATTAATTAATCAGGCTAAATTTCAATGACACTTTTTGATTATAATGATAATTCAAAATTATCTGCCACAAAAACAAATACCTATTCATGTTAACCTAAATAGGAATTATAAATTAAAGGCTTTACCTCAAACTTATTGCATCAAAATTCAAGTAAAATTTATTTAGAAATTATGAAAAAATTACATCGTAATAAAAATAAATATAGAGGCTGATTTAATGAAATTACAAATTCTCTCCCCTTGGAGGCTTTCTTGTGCTAGTCGTTGTTGATGTGGTCCACTTATTTCTAAACTTCTCGCCGAATTTCTCGAAAAATCCTGTTCCATTATTATTGAAGGGCGGGAATCGCAGCTGGCCACCGTTCACGGAATACTCCTCCGCAACCGGCACAGGCTCAACGTTCACAGCATCATCCTTGGGCGAAAGTGAAGTTTTTTCCTCGTCGACTGGAAGGGTCCAGGCCAAGGACACTAAAAGGCCAACAATGAGGGCAAGCCCAACGAGTTTGTTGCTTAAGCCGTTCATCTTAGATATGTTGATCTTTGGGCACTCGATGGCCGTTTATATATCATCTCCAAGTGGGACAATTGATTAAAATCCAATTAGGAAGTTATCGCCAAGAAAGCCCACTGGCCTAAGTCCAACCAATTAAATTTGCTAATATAATTAAGCAGAAATATATCTGGATTTGCGAGAAACCCAAATGAAAGTGTTTAAAAAGCAAAAGCTATAGAAAGTAACCGTGAAAATTCCGTATTTACATTTTGGTTAAATTCGGGTTTTCTTGTTGACTTAACTTGACGTTTTCATTTCAGTTCGTTCGGAAAATCGGAAGTCATGTCAACAGAGGGCGCAAAATAAATCAAGTTGCCAGTTGGCCATTAATCTTTGCCCCTGTCGAATATCTGCGACCGGGGTCTTGTGACATTTTGTCAGGCTAAAAAAAAAAGGTCAGAAAATATGTTTTACATACATCAAGGGAAGCGGGAGCCCCTAATTTTTTGCTTCGACGCTTTGAAGCTGTTTATAGCCCCACGATACCTGTTACATTTTCAGCTTAAATCGTTTAAGACAAACAAGGTAGGAGGCGGGTATGTTTCTGCATTTGTTGAATCATTTTTATTCAATTGCTTTAAGTTATCTGAATAAATACTTAGTAAGTAAGCTCTTGAGCAGGCATAATCTTCGTTGTTTTCGATGAACCTGAGTGACATTTACATCCGCCAAGAGACATGTGGATTGTGGAAATGTGCAATAAATATGGCGCAATCATGATTGACTTTAGTATCCTTAAGCATTGTCCTGAGCTAGCCAAGAGTCGTGGACCGTTTGTGGTATTCTCTCTATTTTTGTGATTTTCTTTTTCCTTTTTTTTTGGTATGTCGCAGCTAACTAACTAAATGTAACTAAATAATTACTGACTACGAATTAAGCCATTCTTCAGGTGAGTCTTTAGGAGGAAAGGAGACAGGGATGACGAGCATAGAGTGGAGAGGAAGAAGGAATGAGGACAGAAGGCGAAGAAGGTGAAGCTTTGGTAGGGTAAGATATAGCAGGTGAGGGGTTCAGGCTAGAATAGCGAGCGATGGATGGATCGATTTGGGAAGTTCCAGCCTAGAAGGGCTGAGCCAGACCGTAGTGGTTGTAGGCCAGATCGGCGGCACCAGCCTGACCATTGCGGCTCCAGTCGGAGTGCACGATGTCGGCGTTCAGGGGGCTGCCGGTGATGTAGGCAGTGGTGATGTGTTCCTTCTTCTTGGCCAGCAGATCCTTGAAGAAGGTGGCACCTGCAAAAGGAATTGGTTTTTAATTGTTCCATTTTATAAGCCATTGTCAGGCAAACTCACCAGCCAGAATGAGGGCCAGGAAGGAGATGGCCAGAGCCTTCAGCGAGATGAACTTGATGATAGTGAACATAACCTTGACGACGATGGCCTTCTTCAGCTTCAGGACCAAGAGCAGGGGCAGGAGCATCTTCTTCATGCGCTTGCTACGGGATTCTGTTTTTGTTTAATAGAAAAAGGTAAAGAGAAAGCGTGAAACTCAGTAAGTTACCCAAAAGTATACAGTGCTTGGCAGGCGGGAGAAAGCTTTCACTTTTTGGCAAGGCCACGAAGTATGCAGCTTGTTTTGATTGAAGAAGTTAGTTTAATTTAAGAAGTTAAGTTAATTTTAAGCAGGAAATTAACTTTTAGTAATACAAATGTTCTACTTGCGTTTTAAATTATAACAAAGATTTATAAAGTAATAAAAGAATACAGTACATATTATTTCGAGTTGTAAAGGTCGAGGAAGAGTTTTTAAATTTTAAGACACTCCTATTTACGTTTAAGTTGTTTTTGGAATTGTGAAATAATTCCATGTTAACATTTATTCAAATTTAATGAATATGTAAAGCTTCTCTTCTCGTTCTTCCCTTTCTCCAACCGTCGAATTACTCACCCTCCATGGCGCGTCCGGTGTACTCGTTCTCGGCGTTCTCCTCCTGCTCATCTCCGGAGAAGGAGAGGTTCAGCTCGTGAGTCTCCAGGTATCGCTCGGCGCGATCCTCGAAGGACTCGACGGCCTTGCCGGCACCGAAGCTGCGGCCCGTCTCCGATCGGTCGATCCGCAGACCGCCGAAGAGCGGCACGGACTCCTCGTTATCCAGGCGGTTCAGCATGTTGACCAGATCCCGCTCACCGCTGTCCTGCGAGGGCAGGGCCAGGGAGCCACACACGAGGCTGGCCAGCAGCACTACACAAACGAATTTCGCGCACATTTTGCTTAGTAAAAGGGGGTAAATAATCCTGATTCCTGGGAACGGCTGCCGGGAGCTGCTGCTGCTGCTGTGCTGTGCTTGGCGAACGGGAAGCGCTTTGTGGCTAATTGAATGCACTGCCCCCGCATTTTATACCATTTTGTATCGGCGACGATTGACCAATTTTGTGGCTAGAAATCGCGCGACAGGCCAAAACGCACCGCCGCATTGCAATAACAATAACAATACCAATATACCAATACCAATACCGGAGAGCCAAAAAATCCACAATCAATTTATGCAAAGCATATGCGTATGCTACCTTGCCGGCAATTTCTTGACCATATTTCCACGCACGTCGCGATGTCAACGAAAGGGAAGTGGCTTCGGCTTGGGCTTTGGCTCTGGCTCTGGTTTTGGCTGCCCGGCTGGCAGTCTGCCGGCTGAATATGATTTTTGTATATATATTTTATATAAGCAAGTGGCCCAATTTCGGGCGACCGCCGTTAGCGTATCCGCACTTGGCATGCAATGCCGGCACCTGGGACGTGTTCGGGTTGCCTGTGCCAGATTCTTGGAGGAGTTCCTCTGTTGGGGAGATCTGGGAGAGCACAACATACCCGCGCGACACCCTTGCCATATTGGACATATCTGCCGTATTTGGTATGCTCTAGCGGTGATGACTTAATGCACAATTTGGCCCAGTTAGTTGCTCCGGCGCTTTCAACGCTTTCGATTTCATTCTCCGCTGGCGCTCGGCGCTCGTTTTCTATTTCAATTGCTTCTAAATCTATTTCCAAAAGAAAGCTGAATTGTAGCACATCGTCGCATATATCTCTTTCCAATCGCAAAGTGACACTTTTATGAGCATAAGTAGAAAGTTTCTAGTAAACAATTAACATGCCAAGCGGCCGTCACATGGTCACTAGAAACTCCAATTATGAGCACTGCCACAAACTTGCCAAAAAAAAAAAAAAATAACAAACAAAAAACTACGTACTACGTACCCAGCTTATCGGCAATTCTAGTTTTTTCCCCGCAACAGAACCTGCCACAAGTTTTAATTGCTACCCGAAACTGGTTGCCGCCCATGCGACAAAGTTCCACATATTTTGTGGGTCTGAAAGCATTTCAATTAAGCCCTGGGAAAGTACGAGTGCCTGGCCTGGCCTGGCCGCAGGTAAACACGTGTGTGCGGAATTTTGGATTTGTTTTTGGGAATACTCTTAGTTTTATTCAAACATTTCGACTTGACTATGCTGTTTCGGTTGCTTTTGCTGTGTGCGGCAATAAATTAGTTAATTACACTTCGAATAAATTACTACATGCTAAGGGTGTTTCAAAACGAAGGCACATCTGTGGCTGACAAGCATGACCTGGACCTAGATCCTGGCTCCTCCTTACTGCTGCTGCTGCTCCTGACCGGCATAGGCCAACTGCTGGGCATCATCGTTGATGCTGCGGGCATAGGGATAGGACGAGGAGGCTCCCGAGCTCCAGCCGGCGCTGGCAGGTGCGGACCAGGCGTTCGAGCTGTAGGCTCCTCCGTAGGAGCTACCTCCGAACTTGTTGCCGAATCCGCCGAGCAGACGAGAGCCGCCGACCAGGATGGCCAGGAAGAAGGCGATCTTGGCCACAATCACGGCCTTGAAGGTGAGCAGGGCCAGGAAACCGAGCACCAGGGGAATGACAGCGAAGAGCTTAGCACCGATGGCCAGAGCCAGGGGTCCAATCATCTTCTTGATCTTGCCGCGGCCTGAGGAGAAAATTCATGAAATGATTACAACGTTTTTAGGGGGGTGTGTCCCAAGGAAACTCACCTTCATCGAGAGCGCGGGCCACCTGCTGGGTGGTCTCGGCGGGCAGCTTGAACTCCAGGTTGTGGCTGCTCAGGAAGTCGGTGGCGCTGGAGATGGCCAGATCGACTAGACGGCCAGTGCGCTCATCGGCATTCTGGGGCAGCTCGGCGTAGACATCCTGCTCGCTCAGGGATTTTCCGGTGCGGGAAACGGGGCTGGCTGGATCTCTGTGGAAAGTAAATTGTAGTAAAATATTAGACTAATTGTCTATTATCTAACATTTTCTATTTTAAACTAAAATGTAGCCATTTATGATTTATTGACTTTTCACTAGCAAATGTTATTAACAAAATCTTTGAGAGGTATTTTCATATTCTAAGGCCATTTGTAATTAGCTAATTTTGTGATAACTTCAGACACCATAAAATGGATTGCCACTTGAATACCTGTCAGCTTCACTTATTCTTCATTCCAATTAGCTTGAGATCTTAATTTCTCACCAACTTTTTCTCACAATTAGTAAAGTTTGTGATGCAACCACTTGAAACTTCTAGCCACTCATTAAAGTTTTTCCCAGAACACATCTGAGCTTTATGTTAATCCACTTTCACTGAATGTAAACACACACCTTTGGAAGGTGACACCGCTGGCCAGCTCGATGTTGTTGCTCCTGGCGGCCCGATTAAGGGCGGTGATTCCCTTGACGGCCAGACAGGTGGCCATGTCGTCGCTCTCGAGGCAGGCGCCCAGGTATCTGGCCGCCCTGCCCAGAGTGTTGTCCCCCTCGACGCGGTTGTCTTGCAGACTGGGGGCGGCAAAGGCGCAGCTGGCCGCCAAAAGGGTCACACAGGCGATGGCAAACACTTTCATTTTCGAAACTGACGCGGTTAATCCTTGCTATTGGAGCTGTTGATGCTGCTGATTCTGCAGAGCGCTGAGATGAGTTTGATGTATGCGTCTCCGGACATCTAGCCTTTTATATTGGGCCGCCGGCTGCAGCAGCTGAGCCGCCAAGCCGCTCAGCGGTTCGGTCGCCGCCGGCGTCGCAGTCGGTGCGCATTACAAAACAATTTAAAAGTAAATTAAGTAAACCCGGCCGAGAGCGGAAGCTACGGACCTGGCCAAAGACGCGAAAAGAGCGCGCTCGGAACTGGAGACTCACTCGCAGAGTAACAGACGCAGACGCAGCGCCATAATTCCAGAGAACGGCGGGGAAATAAAGTCAACTTGTTTGTTAAGTGAATATGTTCATTTCGGGCTGCCTTTTTTTCGGCAGCGTCGTCATCCGTCAACGTTAACGTCAACGTCAGCGTCGCCGGAGAGAGAAACTTGTACTTGGACTTGGAAAGACGCTGGACGGAAAGACGTTCAGACGTTAAGGGGCACCCTCAAGTAAACAATCGGCATCATTGGCTAAGGTCTGCACAGGGAAAAATCTGAAAATTTTAGGCCCTACCACTTCCGATACCCCAACCATGTACCAAAAAGTATGCCTTATATATATAAAAAATCTAATATAAGGCATAAAAATCCATTTGTCAATGTTTGTTTTATATGGATTAAGTTGACATTGCCACAATATAATTACGTACTTGAATTAATACAATGTAAAATATCACCTAGCACTTAAATAAAACCACAGTGTATCAAAGTACCTTAACTATTTCCAGTTCACCCAAAATATTACTCATTTTACCCCTAAGTTCTTAAAATCCCATCAAGAAGAATCTAAGTATTCAAATTGTTTTCAGCAATTACTATTTAGAAGGTTGATATGTTACTTTCCTTAAAAATGATCAATTAATTTCTTTATATTTTTTTCTGCAGTGTACTATTAAACCTGGGCCAGGCATTGGGCATGGGTCTGGTGACTTGGTCTTGGGTCTTGGGCCCCGATACGCACACGCCCTCAACGAGGCTGGGGTCCCATGTTTACCGGCGGTCTGAGTCTCCGTTCGCCGTTGCGTTTGCGCTTTCATCCGACTCTCGCAATCCACAAGTCACATATTTGCTAATTTATTGACGCTTCTTAACCGATCCGGTTGCCGTATATTTCACGCTGCCCATTTATGAACGCCAAAAATGTGTTTTTCCTCTTTCTCCAACATAAATGGGTCATTTGTGTTTGCCTCTTCTGCTGTTGTTGTTGTTATTTCTGCATTTTTGTTGCTGTTTTTGTTAGGATAAAAAGGTATGGTGAAATAGTATTTAGCACTTTGATGATTGAATTGGACTGTGCGCCGAATGGGTATATGTATGTGGTAATAATTGAAAGTTAAGTGGCTAAAGTAGGTGGAGGTGAATGAGAAGATTGTGCTCATGGCATTTATATAACAAGCTGAAAGGAATTTGCTGAAAAAATTAGGAAAAATTACGAAAAATATGCCAAATATTTTGAGATATTTCCTTTTTATCTAATAACATTTATCTCAAAGAATTCCTTACAATATTTTTATTTTTGTTTAATTAATTCATGCTAATTATTCCAATTGATGTTCACACCTGTAGAAATTAATTAATATTAAAGCATAATTTTTTTTTTTTTTATTTTTGGCTTATAAGAGGAGTTGCTAATCGAAAATAAATTAAACAAAATTATTACCTATCAGCTAAAAGTGTCTTATAAATCGCAAGAAATTAGGTAACTAGATAGGTTTGCTATTAAATCAAAGCAAATTTTTGCCAAACTTAGAAAACAAAATCTAAGAATATTGAGCAGATTGCCTTTCATATAACTATACCCTTTTCGCATTCTGTTGGCAACCTACAAATTTAATCTATCTTGTGACTGGATCTGCACACGATTTCCCATCGAAGTAGTTTCTCTCGCGACCTGAGACACTTTTACAAGTCTATCAAGCGGCAGTCAACCTTGTGAATCATCCATTCAGAGACATCTAGGCATCTAGCCATCATCCTATCCGCCGATGATTTCCCAGTCACGTTCTGCCAGCTGCATTGTGACGGTGCTCGGTTTATGTTGCCAGCCGAGTTTCTCTGCTTGGCATTGCATCGTAAAATTCAACGTTTCATACAAAAGATCTCTATAAAATCGAAACAACTTCAATTTTTGGCAGCAACAAAATTTGTATTTTTATTGTCCCTCCAGCAGCTTATTAAAGGCAGTCCATTCAAAAGGCGGAGAGAGAGAGAAAAAAGGCCTCACTCACTTTCATTTATATTACAACGAAATGCGACACTAAATGTTGCTGTCCTCAATGCTGCTGTTATTGTGGTTCATGTTGTTTTTGTTCGCACAGTGAAGGCTCTGCGGCACGAACTGAATGTAACCACATCAAGATGCATTCACTGTAGCGATATTTCACCGTAGCTGTTGTTATTGCTATTGCCGGGCTGATTGTTGCTGGGCAAATGAGCCGCGGGCGTCGGCTTGTCACACGCTGCGTATGAGTGACGCGCCTTTATTTTCGGTTATTGTTTTAGCTGCGTAAAACGGCCAAAAAGCGGCTCGAAGAAAAAAAGAAAGTGTGCTAGGTATGCCTTATTGAGCATATTTTACCCAGTGATTCACTTGTTGCGACGCCAATTTGCATAGTTCGGCGAAGTCCAGATTGCATTGTGCCGCTTCATTCATGAGGAGGATGATGATGATGATGATGATGATGATGGTATCCCGCATACCATTGCCTTGGCTCATACACGATCCAGTTTTTCGCCTTCATTCATTCATGCCGACATTCGCGTCATCGTTTTCGTGAGTGAAAGTTATGTAATTTTCGGTGAATTTTGCAATCTGCAGTGCGCAGTGCTAAACCGGATGGCTGGATTGGGGGGATTGCCGGATCAATTGGCCGGGGGACCTCCAACGCACCAACGGCCAATAACACGTCAGGTTTTATTACCCGCCTAACTGTCAAATCAAACAAAATTTCTAAATGCCAATCAATAAACAATTTCTCTTTTCTTCGTTGCGGTTTTATCGGTTTCTGCCTCCGAGAACTGTCAGTGTTGCACAGAGAAAAAGGCAACAAATAATAAATTGTGTATACTTTACTTATAGCTTGTAAATATAATAAAAAATATTTAGATATATTTTTCCTGATATTAAAATAAACTATAAATTGTAGAGTTCAACTAATGGTTCTAAATATATATCAAACATAATGACAACAATAAATTTCTTGAAATCCTCAAGACTGGAAAAAAATCCATAAGGATCTAAATTTTTATTGGCAATATTTTTGCACTGTGTGGCAACCTGCCCCTCATTTAATGCGTTTCTGACAGCAGTCTGGTAGGCATTCATTATTTATGTTACACAAAGTCAATTAGCTCCGTTTCATTGGTGCGCTTTTCGATTTGCGATTTGTTGCTGGGTGGCATTCAATTAGCCGGCAACAAGTTGCCATAACTCGATTGCTCACTTTCCTCCCCTGGGCCGTGTGGGTGTGGCTAGCAGGTTGCTTGATTCCATGTGCGTTTGCTTTTCAAATTAGCCTGACTCGATTCGCAGTCAAATTTCGAGACATTGCCGGCTTTATACTTATATACTTTTTTTTTTTGGGCAGCTCACGTTCTACTGACCCATTTGCGTGTATTTTCATCGAATATCAGCCATCTGAATGCCAGCGGCATTATTGGAATTCCAACGCAGTGGTAAGGCGGTGTGGTGATTTTCACAGAATGTTTATTGGTCGGTCAGCGGTTAGAGAGAATTATTTTGGGGCAAATAAAATGTCAAAAGGGAAAATCGTTGGAATTGCCAGCCAGGATTGGGGGACAAACCCTAAGCTTTGAACTGAAAGCATTGAACCGAAATGCTTAAAGCATTAAGCTTAAGGAGTTTTGTCAACAGAAAATAAGTTAAAGAAAGTTAAGGTTTGCAATATTCTGAGTAAAAATCAGAATTTCTTTCAAAAGTCGGTATAATTTTCATCGTAATGTACATTTTTACATTTACTTTAGAAAGTCATAAAATATTTAATAAAGCTGAAATATATTTTGTCAATGTCCTTTTCAAGCTATCAATATCCTAAACCCTGTAATCCCCCAGAAATTCCTTTCACTACAAAATATGTTCTCCCCATCAACAGGCACACAAAAACGAGCCTCGACTAAAATTGCTTTTTTTAAGCTATTTGGGTTAAACGTTGAAGAGCCGTGCCAGCAGGTGAAATTGATTTTCTTTTCATTTGTGCAAATATGAAATGTCAATATTGTGCGTAGTCGTCATTGTCGCTCGACTGAGAAAGTGCAGCGCCACAGCAAAAAGCGGTTTCCATGCATTCAACGCTTATTCATAATTGTATTTTTTGGCTCAAACGTTTTTTCTTCATATATTTTGTGCTTTGGGGTCGACGTTAGTTATGGTATTTGCAGTAAAAAATTCATAGCTATTACCAGGAGGGCACTCTCCATTTCAACCCCAAAACAAATTCAATACACTTTGCCTTTGCCACAAGAGCTAGGAGAGCAATTGGTATTTTTAGCTTGGTTGTATGTTATTTACTCTCTTTCAGAGGGTATGCTTCCTTTGTAAATATTTGAGTATTTTTTAAGATTTTCGTGAGATGTATTCAATTACTTTCGGTAAGCCATTATTTTTAGTCCTAACATCTAATGCCAATAATTTCCTATGGCAATTTCTACTCGAGTTTATTATAAATATATAAAAGGTTTTCTTGCAGTTACCTCGGTTAGAGTGCCTGAAAATTCGCCTTTCAATGTCTAATCCTCTCTCCCATTTCGGTTTATTTTTGCCAGGTGAAAAAATATGATTAAATGCGCCTGTGGGATCACACTTAGGCAGTCCTAAAGTATCACCGCTTTGTTTAACCCCATCCGCTTGGGCACGAAAGAAAGTGAAATTGATGACACAAATGCGGACAACAAATGCGAGGCGGTGTGTCTATGCTAAATGGCCTGGTTAAGTAATCTCGTGAGAGCCGCAAACATTGCGCAGTCGGCGTATCTGAGAATGCTGTTAATAGCTGAGGGGCCAGAGATGCGATGACAAAGGCCGCCGTCGCGTCGTCGGTCCCACCTTCACCTGTCCCTCTGCCAACGCCCTTTCCCTTTACCGTCCCTTCCCTTCCCCTTTTCCCAGCCTAATTGCCGAGCTCGGGTCTCAACTTCACTTCACTTTCAACGTCTCACTTAGAAAGAAGTCGCGGCACAGAGATACGCCCTGTTGTTGATCGATCTGTTAGATATGCGGCCGGCATGCGCATACCTGTGTAGTTTGTATCTTGTATCTTGTGGCCCGCAGATACATCGGTGGCTGTATCCATACTTGCAATTGTCTCTGTGCTGTTCGCGCCCTACAACTTTCACTTGCGCCGCGGAAATGGAGGCGCGATGTGCGTAGGCAGCGAACATAAATTCAGCCAAGCATGGAGTCACTAGCTCATAAAATTGGCATTAGTCCGTCTTAGAAATGTGTAGAGAACAGTGACTATTGGACGGATTATATATAAAAATCTAACATAAGTCTTTAAATTTACAAAAAATGTAGGTACCTTTGAAGCTGTACAATCAGTATGAACTTATCGAAGTCAAATATATATATATATTTTTTTTTAAAGGTATTTGGTATTTCTAAATATATTTTTGAAAGAGTTGATTTTTAAATAATTGTATTTTTTTATTTAATATTTTCTAAATTAAATTATTCTAAAATTATTATTTGTATATTATAACAAGCTGTCTCCCTGGAAGAATAAATATTAAGCAACAAATTTTCTACGACTTCGACTGTGCTTTCTTATTTTGAAGACCGCGACCACCCAGGAGGCTGCTCGACTGGTGACACTGCATCGGCTGCTGCATGCTGATTGATTTGTGACAACCTGCTTGTTGACTTTGGCTTTCGTTTGGTCGTTTTACATAAGCTGGGTCGTCGTTTGCCAGCCTTTATTGCAGCCAGGCATTTGCGGAAGTGCCGCTTCCAGTGCGTCGACACTGATGGCTTGGCCGTTGGCCACTATGCGCTGGTCGTCGATCGCCTAGGTCTTGGGCTGGGGTCCGAGGGTTGGCCGATGGTGCGCATGCGCAATAAACAGTTTTATGCATAACGGAACCGCAGTGCTGTTAATTTTTGCGCTCCGTGCACGCAGGTCGGCGACGTAACGTCGTCAAAGTCGGGCGAGTCATGTGCTAATTAATCGTTGATGAAGCTGGGAGTTACGTATTTGTCTATTGGCTAACATTATACCGGAAAAGTGATTTGAAATTACGGTCAAAACGATTTGAATTAATATCAAATAAAATGTTTAACCAGGTCAAGTGCCAGTTTCGACAACAGCATATAAATAAATCAACAATAGTTTAGTTTTTAAAATCTAATTGATATAAATGCTAAAATCAACTTAATTTTAAGGGATATTAATAACATATATTCTTGAATTCAAATTGAAAAGTACATCTAATCCAAAAAAACTATATTACGTATACGTAATTTATTTCAATACCCTTGCAGGGGTCATCAAAAGCAGGGCCGATTGAGATTTGTTTTCTTATCTAGCATAAAAGTTATCATTTTTGGAACTTTTTATAAAGAGCCATTAAAATTGTGAGAATTAAAAATTAAATCTAATTCAATAAAAACTACCATAGAAAAGGTTTCCGAATTGAAATGAATTGCTAATTGCAAGAGTATAAAATCTTCGGCTTTCAGAAGTTAGTTCTTTCTGGTTTAAATTAAACATTATTCACCTTTAAATTAACTGATAACAATCTCACTTAACCGCTTAACCTATAAAAATGGCTTATACACATTATCATAATTATGATCCTTGGCTAATCCCAAGGGGATATAGGTCTGTCGCATAGGCATCCAAGTGCTCCCGCTGCCAGAGAGATCTGTGGGCGCATGATAGCCCTTGATCGCTGGCACCGACGAGTGAATAATCTCCAGCCGATCGCGGGCATTTCCATTCGACAATATATATCTCAGGGCCAATAGTCCCGAAGTGACCAAAGCAATTTTGCCCATGACAAACGATGAGGTTGACAGAGCCGTCAGCCATTTGAGAACCAAGGGAAGGATAACCAATTTGGCCAGAGCGGCGGCCACCAGCATGGGATACACCATTTTCATGAGTTTCTTTTGCTTCTTGTGCTTACCGCGACCTGAAAAAGAAACAAATTTAACGTTTTATGTATATCCAATTAAAGTAGAAATGAAATCCAATTTTCATCAGAGCTAAGAGGGCCTTAAGACATTGCTAAGAGTTGTGAGATTAGGGGAATCGCTTTCACTATTTGGCAATTTACAATTTTAAAAACAAACCCCTTTAGGGCACCTAACAATCACTGTTTAGTTTTTCCTTTGAATTCGTGATAGTAGGGACCACAATTAAGTACCCACCTTCGGGTTTCCAGGCATCCAGGAGGTTTTTCACTTGCTCGACACTCAGCTCCTCGGTAATAAGTCTCTGTAATTGATTTTCGGCCACCGCAATCCACTCTCGTTCCAGACGCAACTGCTCCGCGGTGGCAGCTTCATGTTCTGCGTCCTGCTCCACGGCTGCCACGATGGCGCCACCCATCTGAACCACCGGAGGAAGGCTATAAGCCCCACCGAAGGACACTGGCCAGAGCAGGTGGAAAATCGTTAATGAGATCGAAATCTTAAGCATGTTTTCACCGTTTCAAAGTTCCGAGCAGACTGAGCAGAAGCAGGCGCCAACTGCAGTTTGTTGCCAATGGGGCACTCTCTTCGTTGCACTCCGCTGCATTTAGATTCAATTGGGTATCTGTATGTTCTTGGCCAATTGGTCTTGGCCACTCAGTACCGCTAACATTTCTGGTTGCACAGCGAAAAATAATGTACTTTAAAAGAGCAAAATGTAGAAAATGTAGAAAATTGTACAACAACTCTTGATGAGATGCATTCTTTGATATATTTTTTTGATGTCAAATCTTACCATCGACAACAGCACGCAATCAGGACCTGCTGCTAACGAGAAAGCATAACATAGATTGTACATATGTATAAAGCTGAACAAGCAAAAGCATTTCAAATGACTTTCCGATTTTGTACACACTCGCCAAGAGTGCATTTCTGAATTTTCGTTTCATATTTAAGCCTTTTCCCAAGTGTTCTAACTTGTTTTCGCTGATTCTGTTTTGCTCTGCCGATTCAGTTTTACTTGAGCGTGAACGTACACATTAAAATTTCCCTGCTTTAATGAATGGCTCGCCGCAGACATTTCACTGTATCCGTGGCCGCTTTACTGTATTTGTGTGCACCACACTTGTCGTGGGTCAATTGCTCCAACCATCAACAAGTAAAAACTCTTCATTATCGTTGGTGGGTCCGTTTCGGTTCACTTGCCGGCAACGTTTTTCCATTTCTAAACTGTGTGTGCAGAGGAAAGCTTTTGGGGGAAATGCTTGACGTCACTCACAGAGGGATTTCCCCCTTTTCAAAGTTCTTTTCTAAGTCGTTAACACGTCGCAAGTGCATTAATTTATGTTAAAATTAAGACAGTTCTGCGAAAAGTTTTGTAATGTCTGAAAACTATTGTATCCTTGAGGAAAATTTTAAATCTTTAATAAAGTTAATGGGAAATGCGTTGGGAAACGTACTTAAATGGCTTAAATATAGTAAAGATTGGGTAGTAAGCTTAAAAATTAAATTAAAAGTATACATATTTTAAATTTGGATTGCTTTATGTTGGCTTGTAATGTTTCAAACCTCTTGTTAATGATTTTTAATTTGCTTTATTAATTGGGCATAAAATTTGCTATATAATTTGTGGTGTCAGAAGCAAATTCAATGAAATCTGTGCCAGGGCACACCCAATGAAAATTCTATTAAAAATTCATTAATAACGTTTAGATTAACCTGAATAACCCTGAAAATATTTGGAATTCAATTTAAAGGTCTTCTCTTAGCTCGTGTTTATGTAAATTTGTCCGTTAATGCCACAGGGCCATATCGACCCACGAAGTGCGTACAGAAATAGGATTAATTAAATTTCACCAACATGGAACCAGCGAACGAAATCAGCTTCTGCAATTACACAAGTTGGCCTTGCCGTCGGGAATAATGTGTATGTATATTGGCCGGGAAATGGAATAACGTCCAAACTGAATTAGGCGCGGCCCAGACGAGACAAATGGACTTATCTCAGGCCCCAGCACACACAACACACCACACTGGCACCCGGACTCCACACTCGCATATTCACTGGGCGTCCAAAAACACACTCAAATGCACACGCGTGCCACGGAACTAATCGCAGTCACCAGTCAACAATTTTAACGCGCTTCGCTGTCGTCACTTTTCATGCCCGATCCCCATGCCCCACACACAGCCAATGGCGGAGTGTCTGCGGAATTTATCGCTGCTGGGTGTCAGCGGTGCTTTTACCTGGCATCCGGTTGATGTTAAAACTATACCCTGTCCGTCGAAGGTATTTCAGGAATTCAGTTGTCGCTCTTGCTGACAGGAAGATGAATATGCAGGTTTTATATGTACGCTGAAAAAGGAGCTGCATGAAATAGTTTAAATTTACATTAAAAATTCATATTTGCATAAGTTTCTTATATAATTTGAACTATATTTCATTTTACTTTAAATTATCCTTTTAGACCAAGACTGTCTGTCTGCATTCCGTGAACTTATTTTTATAAATAAAGAATTTATAATTATTTGTAAGTTAAATATTACATTTGGGATTTGTTTTAAAAAGAAGTGTATAAAATAAACGGCTCACCAAACATCTGATTTGTTTATCGATTTTTGGCGCCTTGGCTGTTATGTACATACTTCATTTCACTTGAGGCCACGACGTAGCTATCGCTGAAAATCCGTTGCCGTCGCACGTTTATAGCCCCTAAACCAGACCACCGACCAATCGATGTTGACCGGCCAACCCAAATCGAACTGCTTAATCCGAAATTCGCTTAAAATCTAAACCCATCAGAGTTTCTTCAAGACCAGCGACTTGCTGGCGTGGCCGCCCGCGGAGCTCTTCAGGCTCATTACGGCCGTAAAAAGCGCGAAGAAGAAGCCAGCCAGGCCCGTGGTGCCCACCAGGAGTGTGAGTCCGCCAATGAGCACTGGTATGAGGGTGAGGAACTTCAGTTTATAGGCTATTAGCAGGGGTAGCAGCAGCTTCTGGATCTTCTTCTTTAGCTTCTTGAGCTTGCGGCCCTCGGATTCCGCCGCCAGACGCTGGGATCGACCTTGGACCAGGAGTTCCTTTGATGTTACACTAAATGGCGCTGCCGTTTCGCTTGTGGTGGCATCCAATTTATTGGTGACGACCTCGTCTGTGAGTAAAGGAGCGGAGGCATTAGTTAGCCAGTTAATTAATTGGTCAGTCACAGACGCCAGAGCCCCAAGGGTCGCTATGCTACACTTCAACTTGATGGGGAAATTAAGAAATTTTTAGGAATAATAGTATAAAAAAAACGAAACTTATTGATATGTCTGTTTTACGGAAAAGAACACAAGAATTTTAAGGTCTCTCTGAAAGCAATTCCTTGAAAAGGAAAGCTATTAAAATCAGTACAAAATAAATATATTATGTTTGGTATCATTAAACATTATTGAATTTTAAGCATAACCCCAAAAAAACCTTGGTAAGATGACAAATTCACAGGAAAATTACCCACCAGTCTCGTCGTTAATTGCAATCCTGAGCGTGTCGCAGAAGTCGCGCACTTTCACCAGAGCCCGCCCGAAGGGCTCTAAGTAGGCATCGATTGCCCGGGGTGACACCAGCTCTCCACCTGTTTCCAGGGGATCGATTTCGTGCGCATTTTCGCCATCAACACCATCATCACCATTAGCCGGGTGGGTTAAGGTCGCTGCCGCCTCGCGAACTTCCGGCTGAGGCTGTGGCATCGGCTCCGGCTCCGGCTCCGGTTCAGCTTCCTTGGCTGGTGGCAACTGTCGCAGGATTTGGCCGCGCCGCATCTGCTGGCTGATGGCCAGGACATAACTGGCTGGATCGGTAGGAGGAACCTGTTTGTAATTTCCGCCAGCCGAAGGAGACTCCACACTCTCGTTGTAACGATGGTTGTAGGCATAGTAATTGACAGGAAGTCGTTCCGGCTGGGTTTGCCTTTCACGGATCTCCTGGTGCTGGCGTTGCATTGAACTGGGAGCAGTTGCCTGGAGGATAAGCCAATTGTTGTGCTGCGTAAATGGCTGCCACGCATTCATCTCCAGCTTTAGTTGTGGGTTCTGGCTGCCGGCGGAAGTGCCGCCATTAAAGCGACTGCCGCTGCTCCTTGGCACTTTCATTGTTACGAGCACGTAAATGCCGAGCACCAGCACCTGTCGCGACCACATCCTGGATCCTTTTGGTTGACTTTTCGAGATGTTCACCTCGCACACGCACACCGCACGCCGTTTAGAATCGAACTGTGCGGCGCCAAGTGTTTCGAAATCTTTGTAGACCAAATTCTATGGGGCATTCGACATTTTATGGTGCTCTCCGGTCGAGCGATTTTACGGCCTTTCGCCGAAAAGTGTTGCGGCTTTTTGGCCTGCGGTCAAGCGGGCGGTTGATCTCCCAGATAGCTTTTCACGTCCAAGACTTTTACCTCACATATATAGAATTGTGGTCCGTCAGGCGTATCTGGGTATTGGGTGGGGATAACCGGCCACTTCCCAGTTCCCACTTATGTAAATGTTCACAGACGCAGAGTGATCGAAGATTAACGCTTCAGCGAGCACAACACGTGCTGGTCTGACCGTTGAGGCACGACCACTTTAATTAGAAAACAATGCCTCATTTTCGTAGTTTTCACTTTTCACCACCTGATTTTATGGCCCTGTTGCACGACCAAAGGCCCGGATTCAACTGGTGGCCTTGCACCTGATGCCACTATTCTATATATGTTTGTCGGGCCCTGGGAAAGTGTGCCCAATGGGTAAATTCGCGTAATTGCAGTCCCGTGCGTGCTAATTGCAACCAGGTGCCTGTGGCAGGTAAACTTGGTTTCTGCTTCCATTTGAATGTTGCATCTATGCTGAGATGGCTTTAGCGAACACATACATTTAGTCTTTCCAGTGGTTACACAGAAAATAAATAATATACATTGGTGAGTTTAAAAAGGAATATTAAATTGAAAAATAAAAGAGAGTTTCTTGCAAATTCAATTTAAACAGTTTTGGAATGCTTTCTTATTCTACGGTTAGTTTTTCTTTATATTTCAAACTCGTACTTTTTTTTTGTTGTACTGAGAGCAGACAGGTGATACTGTGGGCGGACACACATTTCTTCTGCAGTTTCAGTTACGTTGCACTCACGTTATTGCTTTCCATCTGTCGTCTGTCACATGCTGTTGGGCGCCAGTTGTCAGCTCCCGCATGCATATAAAAAATCCGAGCATGCTTTTCGCCTCGTTTTCCAGCTTCAACCTTTTAGTGAAGCTTACTTTTAGGCTTGTGGTGGAGGAAAAGAATTGAGAGACTGCTACCTTGGATTAGGCATAGTGTGGAGAGCTCTTGTCCCTAGTGCTTTGCATTATTTTGATTTGATTTGATTCTAAGAAGCAAGAATTCACCTAGATTTATTTTAGTTTTAAGTTATGAACGACTAGGTTCCAATCTTAGGAATACCTTGACCTTAAATTTGGATTGATAATATCAATAAATGTGATCAACTACTATAGAGTTTTAGTAGTGACACTAAATTGCTTCGTAGTTACCTTATTAAGAAGTCGTAATTAAAAGTTTGACCTAAATCTAAATGTATTCAACTATCTGCAGAATATATCCGTCCCATTTCGATGGCTTAGTTTTTCCATTATCCAAATTTAGAATGATGTATGAGGAGTTCTTATGGCACTGAAAGAGAGAGATTACCCCTGGCGATAATGGCTGCTTGAGGTCTCTAATTTTAGTGTGATTTTGTTATAGTGGCAGGCTCAAATTGTGGCCAAGCACTGAATGGCAATTGAAATGGCCTGCCCCAGCATGGCCATTAACGGCTAGCTATGATTGATAGTGGCCAAAGGAACACATTCGGTGAGCTTAGGCCATAATGGAGGATGACTGTGGCTTATTTCTTTGGATTCCTGCACAAGGCTAAACCCCGTATTTCATTCGACATTGTGTGGCCGTTCCACGCGAGCAGTATGCTGGAAGACAACAGAAGATCAAACATGAATCAAGCCAACTTAAGACATATAAAGCATTTATTTTTTATTACCACAAATTTGCATGTGGCTGGTTAAGCGGCTGGCTGGTGATTTCGATGAGCTAACAACTGGGACAAGCAGTCTTGCAGTTTTTTTTCGCACAACTCGTGGCGTGACTTTGGGAATATTACACTGAGATTAATTAATGGACTTTACTGCAAATTAAAAATTTAAAATAATATAATTATTATATATTTAAGTAAACCAACTTTATTGAATTAACTATAGCAGCTTAGTTGTATTTTATTTACTATTTAATTTATTATTTGGTACTTCTTTATTAATACATTTTCTTTTCAATTAGGTATTTTTTTCAGTTTATTTTACGAGAGTTTAGAAATTGAATTGGTTTTTATTTTCAACAATTTTATGCTGTGTCACAGCCTGCACTCTACTGGTTTATTTAGCAGTAAAACTAGTTCAACTCAGAACTCTTCCTACGCCTGCTTTAATGGAAATCATAAATTAATTTTCGGGAACAGACCGGGCTGCCGAAGATTTGACTCTGAGACAAAAGGCGCTCCGGTGACTAGAAGACCTTGCCTTTGAAGCCAAGCGTAGCTTGTCCGGCATTTAGCCGCTCACTAAGCCACCTTTGTTGGGGCTTGGCCAAGCGGCTATTAAACCGAGAGCGATTTCGCCTTTTGGCATTAGTTCTACTTTTGCTTCGCAGGCGTTAGCAGTCCGAAATGAAAGTGAGTGGATGCCGGAAAGAGGATTTCGATAAAGGATTAACGTCTAACTGACTTTCCTTCTCCATGGACTAGGTATTTGTGTGTTTCCTGGCTCTGGCCGCCACTCTGGCCACTACCAATGCAGGACTTCTGGGTCTGCTGAAGGGCGGAGGAGGCGGTGGCTACTCAGGAGGTGGCTACGGAGGAGGATACGGAGGAGGATACGGAGGAGGATACGGAGGCGGCGGCGGTGGAGTCCAGGTGGTCAAAGTTATCAACACCTATGAAGGAGGACACGGTGGCGGCTATGGAGGTGGCTATGGAGGAGGTGGCTACGGAGGAGGTGGCTATGGAGGAGGTGGCTACAGTCACGGCGGTGGCTATGGAGGAGGTGGCTACAGTCACGGCGGTGGCTGGAACTCTGGAGGCTACGGAGGCGGCTACGGAGGCGGGTATGGTGGCGGGTATGGTGGCGGTTACGGAGGTGGCCACGGAGGTGCTGCCCACGTCGATGTCTACAAAGTAATCACAACCACACATGGAGGCAGCTATGGAGGTGGCTACGGCGGTGGCCACGGAGGTAGCTACGGAGGTGGATACGGTGGCAGCTACGGAGGCAGCTACGGAGGCGGTTACGGTGGACAATCCGGCTGGTGGAAGACGAAGTAAACTGCACCAAAATCCCGCCCATTCCTCAGAACCGCTCTTCATTTAGCTGCAATCCGGATATAAACTCGTTCTATATTGTACCTGCAAAAATCTTCCATAGCCACGCCATCCGAAATCTCTTCAGTTGACTTCTTTCCCAAAATACGGAAACAAGTTTGAGATAATCGGCAGACTGTTTGGCGAACCCACAAATAAAAAGTAAAAGTAAACTTTATTTAAATTAAATAATATGCGTTGTATTTTTTCACCTTGCTCTGCTAATGCCTAATTAGCATTTGCGTTGGATTTAATTTTGTAAGTTTACAATTCTCTTATTTGCATATTTTTTGGGTACAAAGATAGCTCTACGTTTCCGGAATCCGATTGGATTAATTGCTGTGATTTTAGAAATGGTCAAACAACTAATTAAATTCGGGTTCTGGGTTATAAATTTCAACTCTAGTCACTGCGATAAAAGTCATTATTCCGTACATGTGGGGTTTTAATTGCAATTTTAAATTTAATAATTAAGCTGCTTTTAGCCATAAATTTATTGCTGGCTTCCGGATTCTTTATGTAGCTAAAATAGCTTTAATTTAGCATAGATTATTTGGTGAATTAGTATATATGAATAAATTTAAATGTTTACCTTGTAATTGTCACAAACCCTGCATAATAATTACAAAGTGGTATATTAGAAATTTTTGGATTGAAAAAAACTAAAAGAATAATAAGAAACCAGAGAAATACAAAGCAGATACCTTCTACTAAACTTACTTGGTTCTGGCCAACAGCTTTAATTTACTTAACCCACACGACTACAGTTTTCCATCTGCATGCACAATAGAGTAGTCAAACTCTCAAGCCGGCTAATTGGATGATGATTCATTTTGCGTAATTCATTGTTGTTACCCTCTGGAATCTCGGGCGAGTGTTGTTATGATTAAATTCACGGGGGAGAGTGCTCGCACTTACAGCCAACTAACTTTCATCCTTGTGTTCATGGCAATGTGGAAATATTTACACAGCTGAACTCTGGCCCGAACTTGTTTCTTAACTGAAATCGCTCGTGTATGTGTATGTGTGTGTGTGTGTTAGGGCCAGAGCAATAAACGTGGGCCATAAGACAGCCGAAAATGGGACAAACATCCAGGGACTGCACAAGTAGAAGTTATAGAAGGCGGAGATGGGGCCGGAGGTGCGCAAGTTTTATTGGGATTTGGCCAAAGGAAGCGGAAGCAGTCCCCATCAAATGGATACAGGAAGTGTATATATTTGGGCGAGTATCTAAATATATACCAGCCAAGTCGCTTTAACGTATCTTCTCGAATTAAGGTGGTACCTGTTCTCCGATTGCCACAGACAATAAATATCAATTCATATAGGTTGAAAGTCGCAGCTTGTATTCTTAAAGTTTACACAAAATTAAGGCACTCGTTGCTCTAGATAAATTTTAGAGAGTTTAAGTTAAGATCTTTGTGTTCTGTGTATCAATGATTTATTTGTATACATTTTTTTTGTAGCTTTTCTGTTTTTTGTAAAACATTGCTGCTTACAGGCGAGTTTCACTTACGGCTAGTAAATAAATAAATAAGTTCAATAAATTATTACTACATACAGTTAGGTAAGCTAGAGCTAATGGGAGTGCGCTGGGGAATGAGATGAAACGGAAGTACGAGAGGTAATTGAAAATAGCAAGTGCAGTTAGCAGAGTGGGGCCAGAGATACAGATGCTGAGATGCAGAGATACAGATGCAGATGCCGAGACAGAGGCAGAGTTCAGTAACTGTAAACGCGGATCGAGAACAGAGCAGGGCAGAGTGGGATACAAACAAAACATAATCGATTAAAGCAAATACTAATCATTATAAAAAATGCGCATGCCCAGTGGGAACGCACGTTCTAGATACATTTCAGGCGATGTACCCATAGGTGCCACTGCGCGTAGAGTGAACCGTTGGAAATGCATCAAGTCTTCTTGTCTGCCCCGCAGTGCAAGTGCAAAAAGAGAGTTTATGTATATCTAATTACAATCCGTCCGCCGTCCGTGATTTATCCACAAGATAAATGCAGCTAGCTAACACTTGGTGTCACACCTTCGCTCTTCTTCCACCGTCGTCCTCCGTCGTCCATCCTATGACTTGGTCACCTGTGGCGCCACGGCCTTTGGATGCAGATGCTGCACCTGTTGATGGATCTGCGGATGCCCGGACGCCTGCTCCTGTATGTGAGACCGATACGCCAGCTCTTGGGCCTCGGTCAGGGAACGGCGGTCCCAGCCACCGCCCCCTCCTCCGCCTCCGCCACCCGAGGACCAGCCGCCGCCGCCGCCTCCGCCACCTCCAGACGACCAGCCAGAACTACCGCCCGACGACTTGCCAGACATCAGCTTCTTCAGCCCGATTATGCCCGCCAGGAGCAGGGCGATCTTCGAGATGATCAGCGCCTTGCCGGCCAGAATGTAAAGGGCGCCCATGGCAATCGGAATCATGCCCATTAGCTTCATGGCCATGCCCATCATCATCATGCCCATCATCTTCTTCATTTTGCCGCGACCTGAAATAATATAAAAACATATTCAATTTAGTTAAAATTTGTATTTAATGTTGTAAAAATACAAACAGGTGAAAGTATAGATGATCAAATAACTATTTATGATTCCCAGGAAAATAAAATGGCTAAAAAATCCCTGCTGGGAAGAGACAATGGACTGCGGTTTTCACGAAATCTCTAGAGATTTTCATCAAACCCTTGTACATTTTCCGAGTGTTGGTAAATCAAAAGACGGTGAAAGTGCCAGCTCAATTAACCAAAGGCTGAATGTGAGAACATTTTCCCAGCTTTTCCTCAGAGGCTCCACCGGTATTCCGTTTTGGCAGCAGTGTGTGTGGCTTTCATTTTGCTGCCTTCATTAGGGACACTCCAGGCGATTTCACCTGCCTGCCTGCCTGCTGCCTGGCTGGTGAAAATTGCATTTCGACATGGGCACGTACATGGATCTGGACGGGGACATGGAAATGGAAATGGAAATGGACACTAATACTGCCCAAAAGATGAATGATTATAACAAGCTCTAAACAGGCCGATCGGTGGCAACGAGTATTAGCCAAAAATGGGTTCGCCATTGGGAAAGTGTTGGCTAACTTGTTGACTGCATCAGCTCGCATCGATTAAAAATCTTGATCAATGATTTGAAAGTAAAAGAAAATTTTCATGTGGCGTGAAAGTAAGTTCACTTTTCATTGCATTGCACTGCATTGCGATCTACGATCGGCGATCTGCGATCTTGATGTGGATGTTGCAGTAAGTGCTTGTGTCAAATTTGTAATTGACGACAGCTCGAACTCAAAATGGAAATGCCGATGGCAATGGCCTAGTCGAGAGGAGTTGCTTTTTCGTGGCCGTGGCCCCAGTGGAGAAATGTGGTCGGGCACTTTCATTACATTTGACATGGTCATGACATCTGAACGTGGCATAGTTTTTGCTTTTTATTTCTCATACTCTGCCCTTCAAAGGGTTAGTTGCTTTTGGGCAAACAATATTTTTTTCTTAAAAATATCTTCTACCGTTTAAAAAACTAAATGTGTATGAGAGGTATGATAAATAATCTAAGTTTCTAAAACATAAAATAAATATTTGTCTATTCTTTAAATGCTTCTAGTTTAGTCATAAAATTACATTACGTAAATGCTATTATACAAGAACATAATTTAAATGCACTCTATAGTTTTGACAGTTTTTGCTCGTTTCATTTCAATCTCTATTTCCTTTTTTGTAATGGCAAAATTATCTACAAAATTCTATAAAAATAATTATTTTCAGTAAGTAAACTTAATCGATTAATTTGCTTTACAAAAAATGTAAAGAGTGTTTCAGTTTCGTGATCCCATAATTGCCCCGATTTTCATGTTTTCGGCTCTTTTTTTGGACAACACGAAATTCTGGCATGACACTTTTTTTGGACGTTGTGCTACCGTCTGATGGCTGAATGTCGTTGTTAAGGTTTTCTGGGTCAGTCCTGAGTTGCTCAACGGGTTTTCTCGTGTGTGCGTTGCAAGGGGGGAGGGAGGGCAAAATAAAAACAATTGCGCATTTTCCCAGACCCAATATGAGGCCCCCTGCTCACTACTTTGCCAGTTGTTTACATACAATGCAGAATGATAAGCCAGGAAGTGGGCCAGCCAGCGGTTGCTGATGATGCAGTTGCGAATGTCATTGCCGGCTAGGGTATACTTTGGAGCACTATCATGGCTCTCTCGGCTCTAATAACCGCCTGGTAATTACCGGCGACAGAGCTGGAGACACGGTCTTAGTTGCAGCCAAATTATGTCACTGTTACGCGCTATGGATACTGGGGTATTAGCGGTAACCGCAATTAGACCGCCCACAGAAAGTGATGATTGTGTGGTGGATCGATTTGTTTGTCCAAGAAATCTGAGCTTAATTATACGATCTTTTCTTGCAACTCGCCGTAGGTCTAGTAGTACTTATTTCTAGGTAAAAATTAGAAGCAGCTAATGGTTATGGTTATTAAGGTCTTTTCATATGGAAAATCTAATAATGAATTGGTTATATAGATCTGGTTTCTACGTATTTTAATAAATGAATGAGATTAAAATTATCTAAAGTAGAATTTCTCATTATTTACATATATTTTTAGCTAAAAGCATACCATTAGCAGTGATTTAAATAGCTTGAAATGTGTTAAAGATATTAAAACTGTAACTGATATTAAAACTGTTTCTGAATCGATGCCGTAACTGCAGACAAGACTTGGTAACCTCAAGGACAATTACTTTTTTACTTTTATTAATATAAATATTTCTTAAGCTATTTAAGGAATTTTTCGAAAAACCCCTTAAGTAATATCCCGAATTCTCTTAGCTCCATTCACTCACCTTCCTCTAAGCCGCGTCCAATCTCATCAGATGTGAGCTTGGGAAAGCTGACCTGCAGCGAGTGACCGTTGAAGAAGTAGCTCAGCCGCTCGATCAGCATGTTGGTAAGCTTGGCATCGCGATCACTGCCGGATCGCGGCAGCGAGGACTCCAGCTCATTCTCGCTAGTTGCCGGCGGACGCGGAGCCGTCTCCAGGCGAACCAGCTTGATGCCCTCGGCCACATTGATGGCATCGATCGGGGCCAGGCGGTCGATGAAGGAGATGGCCTTCTTCTTCAGACATGGCACAAACCCGGCCTCGGCACGGGTACACTCGTCGTAGACTCGGAGCAGGGTCCTTGCTCCGGCATTCTGCGCCGGATTGGGTTGGACGGGATTGCTCAGCTGCTCGGTGGCCGCCGCACAACTGCCGGCGAGGAGGAATACCGCCAGCAGGCTGATCGGGGTCAGAGCCTGGCTAGGCCGCTGCTTAAATGTCATTCTTGGCACTGTTCGCACTCGCTCTCTCTCTCTCGCAACGGAACAACACTCGCGGCACACCACGCGACAGGTGCTTTAGGTGATTAATCCTGCGACGGGGATATCGAGTCGAGGATCACTTCTTGGGGTCACTGGGTGGCACTGGCACAGGGAGCAGCTTGCACTGGCTGCGGTCTCAAATCAAACTGATGCCCAACCTTGGCGCGCTTTGTTCTTTTATAGACCTTTCTTTCCTCGCTTGCTCGCTCGTCGGCGTCTTAATCGCAATTTGATTTTCCTCGGCTTCGTTCGTAGTCTTCGGGCTCGGGCCATCAGCTTCTGCTCGTGCCTGGCTCTTTTCTCAGTCGGTTTTCCTCCGCTGGTGGGAAAATGTGCGCCAGTGGTGCGAAAGAGGGGTTTCCATATGCAACAGACTGAAGTTTCTACATATTTTAATTATTTACCTAGAGCTTTATTCAGTTCTTCGGAGTTATTAATCTATGGGTGGATTAATTGGGATTTTCTTTACTTGTTTTTTAGTTCTTTGAAATAATATGAAAATAATTTCAGCAAAACAAAATTCCCTAGAAGATTCCTAATATAGTAGCAAATATTTCAAGCTTGGGACTGCTTTTCACGGAGACTTTGAAATGCTATTCTTATCCGCTGTAATATATTTTTTCTCATAAAAATATAGATTTCGCTAAGAAAATATAAAATGGTTTAGCTGCCAGCGCAACACTAGCATTGCCTTGATGATCATTGGCAGCAAGCAGAGTCTTCAATGAACCACAGTGTGCCCAGCAGCGAGGCGAAGGCGAGGCCGAAAGCATTTCCAACGGGTTTCGACTAGTTTTTCCAGCAATAGCTTTCGTTGTTTATGGCCAAACATATTAGTTGCATTAGTGGCATTTGGTAGGAGTTCACTTTTTTTTTGGCTTCTGACCATTTCAGCAACTGGCTGCCGTTGCCGTTGACACTTTAATTTCAATTTGGATTTAAGCAATTTTCGCCATTCGAGATTGGCCGCAAAGAAAGTCATTGCCAGCCACTAAACGGTGGCCAATAGCCATGTTTCTTTTTATTATGCAAAATGGCAGGTACGGTGGAGGTGGGTGTGAGATCTCCAGCATCTCACGATGATATAAAATTAGTGTTTTGAGGCATTTGATAATAAAGTGATAAATTAATGACCCGGCCGACTACCAAGATCTTTGAGTGTTGCTTATGGGTACTTTGAAATTGCACAATTATCAAGCGTATCAGGTGCAGTAGTCTTCGCGTTGATAACGTCCCCAATTCTCAGGATCCGGAGCTCATTTGTAATGTCTCGATTTCGAATAAGCCAGGCTTTTTAATCTTTTTAAATTCGAATTAAAATTTGGTGATTAAATCAATGTATGTTTCTTGTCTTGTAAGAAAACTAAAATTAAATAAAATAAAATTATACGCAATTAAAATTGTGTTTTATAATTTGTTGTAATAAAATAAAAAAATAAAAGTTGGTTATTGTTAATGTAAAAGATAAGCAGTCAGATTTTAGTAACTGGAATCGCTAAAAATAGTACATGAATTTGGATTAAAATGCTATAAAATTAAAGAAAACGAAGAACTTTTTTTCTAAAAGTATCTTCATTTCGTTTTGTGTAGGTCAGCAATCAGTATCTGGTATCGATAGCTGTATCTGTATCTGATAGAACGTGCTTCCACACATGCGAGTTGCACAGGGAAAGGAAAGCTATGCCGCATAATTGTGGCTTTTCTTTGCGGCTGTGCTATTGCAATAAAAACTAAACGTTTCATCCGAAAAAAACTGGGAAACTTGGGAAAACTGAAACTAGAGAAAATACATTTTTTGGATTCTTCGTGTTTTTCGGGGCCTTTCGCTTTGCGATCGGTTTATGTGGCAGGCGGACATAAAAAGGAATATGAGCCGGACCCTCTGGAGGGGTTGAGGGTTCCAATAGCGTTTTCCAGCTAATAAAGTGCCAAATTAATGCCCCCGCTGGCTACCGAAATCTTTGAGTGCTGATACTTATGGCTGCTACTTACCGCCAACTTTGCCCACCGGGAGCTGGGCTGGCCAGCATCGCAGCACTTCAAGTGCCGGCACCTTGGCCAAGTAAAAAGTATCTCTTACTTCAAGCGGCTACCCGCTTTTTTCTGGGCCACTCATTTGGATTTTGATTCCCTCGACCGCCGCCTTTTTTTCACGCCACTTTCTCTGCCCAACTTGCACTGGTTGGGGGGGACTTGGCGTCCGATGAAATTTTCCAGGGGCGGCAGTTCATCGATCTGCATAAAGCTCTCGAGTGCCGCCGCAAGTATTTATTTGCCCACAGCTTTGTTTCCGTTTAGGTGTCGCCTGATGGACAATGGCGGAGGAGCTGGGGGTGGAGAACTAAAGCGTTTTGGGTTCACTGGCCGCCTGGGAGCCGTCATAAGTGTCCCAAAACCAAATGGAAATTTATGGGATTTCCCCAAGAGGCAGTGAACCTGAAAAGCTGGGTGTCGGCGTGTCCTCGGGCTCCTGCATAACATTAATTTATTTCCCTTGAATGGCTGTTAGGGGTCCTTTAATTTGTGAATAATGGAAAGTTTTTAATTTTCTGTATTATTGTACTTAAGAGTCTTAATCAAACGCAGTCGACCTTCTATAACTTGAGATTTCCTTGCTGAACGAGTTGTTTGAATTTTTAATATTGTATTTCAAGTCTTTCATTTTTCATTTCAATATTTTTCTTGTAAGGAGAATATGTACTTCTCCGCCTCCTAAAACATGAATAAATTGAAAACTATTCGACACGCTTACATGACGTCGTGAAGAACGTGGCTTTCCTGGGACACTTTCGTGTCGAATTCTTTTCCTCGCCTTTCGAAATGCCACTCGCTCGGTGGTTCCAACTAATGTGCATCATTGTTTGTATTCCACGTTAAGCCGAGCCGTCAAATTGTCCATCAAGCGCAGGCATTATTCGAGCATTCGAGTTTCCCAACATATGATTTTCCATCTCATTGTGCGGGTGGTGTGCAGCTGCAACCGAAAACATCCGCATCCAAGGCCCCCCCGAGTCATAATGTACACCATGTGCCGCGCCAGACTCGTATCCATATCAAACGGTCATATCTCCGAGCTGCGCAGGCGCATGTGAAACAATTCCAATTGTCTTCCTTCCTTTGCGTGCCAATGTTTTTCCACGGGCAAGGCCAAGCCAGCGACAGCAGTGGCAGCTGCGGTGGCAGTAGCAACATCAAACTGTCTGCTTCCTTCAGCCCCGCGGCAATTTTTTTTTAGCGAAGCTGTCGCCACGCCTTGCACTTTCCTCATGGCCGAAAGAGTTTTCATAGTTTTTCTGTGCCACAGGGCGACGGCCAAGTGAAAAAGGAGAGGGGAAGCTTAAGTTTTTTTTACCTTAGCATGACTATGACATCCCTGACCCTACACCCTATTAATTATTATTACTTAAACACTTAATATTCTCGCAAATTCACGTTCATTTTAAATAGAACTACCGCTTAATTAATTAATCTTGACCTAAATTTACTTTCTTCCTTCCTAGCTTAACTTTTTGAAAAATAAGCACATATTTTTCAAAAGCTCTTAAGAAGGCAAGTAAATTTCTCATCACTGAGGAAAACAACTAACATTAAGTGAATAATTGCGCTTTTATAAACAAAAACCACAACAATTGCAGCACCAGCAGCAGCTGCACTCGGTTCATGGAAGTCGTTGCGGTTGTTGTGTGTGTGAAATTTTGAAGCTGGCCCCCAGAGAAAGTATACAAAAGTGTATAAAAAGCAGCAACCTACCGCAACGATTAAAACAAACAGCTTTGGTTCGTTCTGAATTCTGGGAGTCGAGTGCAAAAACCTCGGGCTCAGGTTAAAGTTTTCGGAAGGCCAATTAGCTTTCAGTTTTAATTTTTTGAGTGGTGTTTTCGCTTTTATTTACCGCTTTTGCTTAGAACCCGAATCACACATTGGACTTTCTATTTCATGCCGTGGGGGCTGCGCGATGTGCAATAAAATTGCAATTTTCACAAACAAAGGAAAGCGAAAAGAAAATGTTTATTGCCTTAATGTGTGCGTGAGGTTTTTTTTATTTGCCTGTTGGCGCTGCTGTTTTTTGTTGGTTTTTATCGCTTGTTTTGACGCCACATTGACGTTAATCAAAGTTAACCGCCAAACGCTCGCACAAATCTCACGCTAATTAACTTTTATATGGGATCAGCGTCGACGGGCGCGATAAGCCGTCGGCTTTCAGCAGCCTCAGCATCTGTCCACTTGCCCAGTTACCCAGTTGGCCAGTTGGACATCCGCTCCGGCACGGCAGTCACGAGCCAATACTGCTTTTTTTTTGTCTGTTGATTTTCATTTAATTTGCGAACAATTTATTTAAGCGTTATGCCCGCTCGGGGAGTTTGCGAGAAAAATTCGCCAGCATTATTCACAGGTGTCGCGTGGCAGCCGCTAATGTGGAAAGTGGAGGTGTGTTGGCCAATCGCGAGATCTGAAAGTATTTCTTGGAAGAACATCAAAGAAATTCAGTTATTAATTGGATTTTCTGCAAAAATTTAGAGCTCTTAAAATTAATTAAATCCAAGCAGGGCACCTGCTCTTATACACAATTGTTTTTTTGTAATATTATTTTCAGCTCTTAAAATATTGTATAATGATCGAAAACTTTATATAGATTTTCCTGTATTTATATGTGCCGCTCAGTGGAGCATTTTCTCATTACCATTACCGTTAGCATTTATTATGCGTTGCTTTTCGCTTTCTTTGGCGCCGCTTGTCCCAGTTCACCGTACAGTGAGACCCCGGCGAAGACCATCTGCAGACGATGACCGGTGACCGTTGACCGCTGACCACTGACTGCTGACTATTCACTACAACACACTCGTGCTCGTGTGTGATCTGTGATGGCTGACAATTAAATCCTCAGGTGTCGCCAATTACAACGCGAAAGTGCGTAATGGTCGAGCACTCGACCCCAATGAGTTGGCTCTAATTAAAGCCATCGGATATCCCGGCGACTGGAATAATTAAAAGAGTCAAGTTCGAATGGCGCCCTAAACCGTTGGAGCGCGAAAGTTTCGTCTGAGATGCGATTTCGGGGCAATTCAAGAGTAGATGAAAATGGGGAAAAAAGGCAGGAAAGGCGGCAGACTGCCTTCGCAAGGGGGGAAATCGCAACGGCAAGCGGCAGGCGCATATCTCGATCTCACTCGACATGTTTACATGCACCGAACTGTGCGGTGAACTCTGAGGCAGCTTCGCGGCGGCGGCAAAGGTTGCTGGAAAACGTTGCCTGAACCATTCATTCCTGGGCCAGCATTTTCACCACCGCATCGCCAGCTTCCGATGCTTTCACTTTTTCGGCCGTTGTCACGTTCGCATTCGCCTGGCGTTGTTCAATTTATCATCATCCGTGGCCATGGCCATGGCCAGGGCAGGCCGTTGAACTGGCGTCGAAAAACGTTTCTGTGGCAAAAAGGTACGCGATGCCAGGCGATGGCGATGCCGTGCGGCAAGGGGTTAAGCCTGGTCATTTGTTAGGCGACCTCGGAAAACGCATTCGGCCATCCCTTTTGGGCCGGTGCAGACCCACCCAAAACCGTATTCAAATGGTGATTTATTTGAGCAAATTCCTCAAGTGAGATTTGCGCCAGGGATTAAGTATCCGCCCCGGGTGCCGTTCGTCTGAGACCACAAAAAATAAAATAAATGCCGCCAAATTATAATAATGCGCACAATGAAATGAAATTTTGTTTTGGCCAAGCCAAACCGACTGACATGGACAGCAGCTAGTCCGAGTGATGCCTTTGCCTGTGGCCCGGTTTGGAAATGGAAATGAAAATGAAAATGACAATGCCGGGCATTAAATTCACCTAAAGTGCGGCCAAAACCAAACGAAAATGCGCAAGTGCTGCTTTTGGGGATGTCTGCAGAATCACTTGACTTGCCAGCCACAGCACTTTCTTCGGCGGCCATGTCAAAGTTGTTATTGCGGCCTATCGCCTGTTGCCCGTTGTGGCATGCCACGTTGATTGATGACCAAATGCCGACTCTTCCAGCGGCCAGCGTCGATGCCTGGCTCCGGCCATCTTGATTGGCATTTAACATGGCTGTGAACTTTGCCTTGTCATTCATAGGGGACTCCAGCTTCAACTCCATCTCCGACTCCTTAGTCGCGGTAAGTTGCGCCGAAACGAGCCTCGAATTTCACCGCAAATATGCAGTGCGAAATTCCCAAAACACTGCCAGAGTATTCTTAAGGTGCCGCCATAATTGAGTGTCATGCGGTGGATTAAATTACACCGGAGATTTATTTATAAACTGGCAGATTTGGGACCAAGCACAGAGAGAAATATGTGGAGAGATGTGAGGGAGTAGGAAGAATATCATAGTGACTAAGAGGTGAACTTTGGGTAGCATAGCACTTTCAATAAATTGTATTCATATTTTATTCTTGACATTCATACATTTCATTCTATTGATTTTCTTTACCCAATGAGTTGGTTATTGAATATAGATTTATTTAAAATTTATTAAAGGTCCTAAACTAAATATTTTTCGGTGCACAAAGTATGCTATAACAACGACAAGCCCACGCCTCAAGGGTTTAGCGGCTAATTTCCGCGGCAAACAAATGCAAAGCAGCTTTTTTTTTAATTTTCCAAAACAAAAATAACTGCGGCACGTCGAGTGAGTTCCTTGTCGCTGGCCCCTCAGACCTGCGGCCAAATGAAATTGAAATTTGCCGCAGAATACATTTTTTTTGCAAGCCCGTTGAGGAGATTTGCAAGAGAAATATTAAACATCAAATTGAATCGACTCGCGGTCGTGTTCTCTCTCGCCGAGGGCAAGTGAAAATGGTTTTGTGTAGGGCCAAGGCAAACAAACGAATGTATAATTTAAGGAAAATGCTTGCGACAAGCGTATAATAAATTCATCAAGACAGCAGGCAGTCAGCCAGTCAGGCAGTCAGTCAGCTAGTCGGCCGATCAGATCAGATAGTCACGGTCCGGCTTTCCTCGCCGCGGTACAGTGCAGTTCATCAGTTGTCGGGGGTCAGAGTGAAACGTAATTGGCCCGCGGCACTTAATTTGATTGAAGAGAGGGTCAGGGGCAGGGACTTGAAGTGGGACTTGGAGTGGGAGTCGGAGTGGGAGTGGGAGTTGCAACTCCGCTTGGGCCTCCGGCCATCGCAACCTGTATCCCAGGCCGCCTCAGATCCCAGGCTCAGTAGTTTTCTTGGCGGGGGCGACTCGAATGTCAACGCAAAGTGAAAGTGAAAAGTTCGCCAGCGATGGAAAAACCAAAACAAAACCCGAGAGAGCTTCTCTTTTATGCAATTGTTTTGGTGGCCAACGAGTTCCCAGCCGCAGAATTGTGTATTCTGCCTTATTGAGTTTGAGTCGAACGCGGAGACAAAGGCTAAATAAATCGCGTGGGCTTCGGGGAAAAGTTTCAGGCTGATCTTGGCCAGGTTTGTTAGGTTTTTGTTTAGCTTCTGCACTGCAAAAATATTGATGGAATACCATTTTATATTTATTTTTTTTTAGATTGAAAACAAATTAAAATCAGAGTGACCTCGGGGATCATAAAGATTATATTTTCAGATAACCGATTTAATTTTATTTTAATACCATCTAGAAAGCTATCGACTTAGTAAGATTCAAAAGAAAAAATATAATCAGCTACTGGCTACATTGTGAGAAATACTATTTGGATCTAATTACAAAGTAAATAATGCTAATCAAACTACGCATGTATTTTAATTCAATTATTCATATGATCAACCCTAAAGTCCCGCGAAATATCTCATTGTAAATATGACTCATTGACTGTCCGTTCTCAGTCCCAAAGATATCTTCTTGCCACCAGAACCATTTTCTCTGAGTGCTGGCCAACAATTGGCTTCGATCAATAAGCGTTCGGTTGTTTGCTTGCTGTTAACACAAAATGCCAATTACTGCAAATTGCGGGCTGCTGCACCGGGCGCTTTTTACCTGACAGTTGGCCCCGCATTTTCGGCCTATTAGCGATGGATGCGCGATGCTGGATGGATGGTTTGTGGAAAGTCGGGTTGCGGGTGAGCCAAAACGTGAATTATCATAAATTATCGCCGGCGGATTATGCATCGGCAAGTGTTTCTACATTGTCGAATTCGCATTGGTATTCGAATACTCGTACTGGTAGAGTGCAGTGCTTATGTTTATCCTCTGGCTGTGTGTGCTGAGGTTTGTAGAACGAACCGAAACTTATGCAGAGATATGCACTTTCCCGCTAGAAATGAAAAACACTCTTCGTGACGGTGGATCCGCGGCATGTTTCGGCGCGATAAACTCGCAAATCCCATCATTAGGTGTTCGTCAGCTCGGCTTTTTTAATTAATATTTCATAAATGAAAGGCGTCGAGCATAAATTATGCATGAGCCGCAGCGGAGGTGTTGCTCTGTTTGTTGTTTCAGTCGCTACACTTGCCGAAACGTATGGGTTAAACTTTTTTAATTTTAAAAACAGCCTGAAGTTATGCTATAAGTCCACAATGTGTATTTCACCTGAGAAGTATACTTTTTATCTTTGCTTTGTTAAAGGTTAATAAATTTAAACTTTAAGCTGGCTGTGTGGTTTGTATTTTAACATCTCGTCTTACTAAAATATAATTAAAATTATATTCCACTTGGCTGCCTGGTGGCCAAGAATTTAATAAAAATCAATTAGCATTTATTTGCACATGTGTAATTTTTTAGAAATTGTTGGCATAAGCTGCAAATAATCCAATTTAACTATCATAAGCTCGTGCAGCTTACTCTTTTGAAATGTTGACAGAGTCCTTGTGGTTAGCTGCAACGGTTTTCAATTAAAAATGAGGACACTGGATTTTAATAATTTATTATTTGGTTAAATAGTTCATCTGGCTGGTAAGCAATAACAATAATTTCACGTTTAGATGCATTTGCTTAATGCTTAGATGGAAATAAATATATGGTCATTAAGCCTAATTGCTGTCTTGGAAATCAGAAATCAGAGTTTGTATGAATAATAATGGGATTAAATTAGAATGGACTATTCCAGCTTTGAACTCCTCTTGTCTTAATCAACATTTAAGCCTTACTTTAATTGGTGGATATTTAACTAGATAATATCCTTTAAGCCAACTAATTTCATGCTTTCTTTTTACTTTAAAAGATTAAATTCAATTCGTTCTAGGATAATTCGCAGCTGCTTCTTGCACTTTCTTTAACTTTCCTCCTGCTGGCGACAGATCTCGCTGCTATTCTATAATTCCTCGGCAATCCGCATTAATTTCGGTTTCGATGCGCTTGCCTAATAAATATGTATGCCAAAATCTTCGCGTGTGCAAACGAAAGCCTGCCTCGAGATGAGAGCCACGGCAGTATGGCGGCTTGCCGATGAAAGTGGGCGTCGAAGGCGCTGGAAAAATATATAAAATGAGCCGAGCCGGGCATATAAAGAGTGGAATAATTGCCTAGGCCGAGATCGGCTAATTACGGCAATGAGCAATGAAATTGGCCCCCGACAGCCAGCCTGCCGAATGCACTAAATCTGCAGCGAAGCTTTGCTTTAGTGCCTTCGGAGCGGCTGGCAGGCAGTCCCCAGCAGCTGGCTGCACTCATCATGCATACTACGCTCTAAATAGCCACCAGCTATTGTAGCACTCAGAAAAAATATCTACCTGAAATGCAAAACACTCTTACATTTTTAAACCCAAGCTAAATCTCTTTCCGAGCTACAATAGTGTGCTTGCATGTGTTTACTTCGGGCTTATATTCTCTTATTTATAATCAAATTCTAGGAAAACATTTCTGTAGAAGTACTTCTCGTTTTTGCGAGTGTACTACCGCCGCCACCAGCCCAGGCAAAACTGGCTGCAACGGGTGCCTGGCTAATTGTGGCAAGGTAAAGTGTATAAATTTGGCGGACAAACTGGCGCAGAAGATCAGTTGGCCAACAGATTCTCCAGCAGCTGCAACCGCATAAAGACAGCAGACGGAGCGACACAAGAGCGAGAGATCACAAGGATTGGGATACGCTAAAGCATGGATTCGCGCCTGGGTCTCCTCATCGCCCTGCTGCTGGCGGCCGTTCAAGCCTTCGGAGCCCTGGAACCGCCGGCGACTCCGAGTGCTGCGCAAAATGCTCTATTTCGGTTGGCGTTCAATGTGAAAGGTCCGTGTGCCGACAGCGAAGACGTCTTCAGGTGCATTGAGATCGAGGGACTTCGCCGCCTTCGCAACGCCATTAAGATGCGACAGGTGCCCATTGTGGAGGGTGTGAGTCTGGTGCGGCGCGATTCTGTCGACCAGGACACTCGAAGTGGTCGCGCCAGCTTGGTGGAGAACCAGCTGAGCAACCGCGACCTGGAGCACATGTCTGGTAAGAGCTTGGACGCCCTACTACTGGACCGCTTCCTTAGCTTCATGCACAGCCACGAGCTGCAGGTGAATCTGCCGCGCCTGCTGCGCTTCGGCGAGCGCAATGGCCAGGATTGGCTGCAGCACCTGTTGAGCTACTTCCTGCCCGCCAGCAAGGACGAGAGCGAGGGTCGCAAGAAGAAGGACGATAAGAAGTATCTGGGCCCCTTCATCGCCGCCGTTCTACTGAAGACCGCCATTATGAAAATGGCCTATCACTCGATCGCCATTGTGGCGGGCAAGGCCCTGGTCGTGGGCAAGATTGCCCTGATCATCAGTGCTATAATTGGCCTGAGGAGGCTGGTGGGTGGGGCCGGTCAAAGCGAGAAGACCACCTACGAGATCGTTAAGCATCCTCAGGTGCAGCAAAGCCACACCTATTCCTCCAGTCACCAGGGCGAGTACGACACGGGCCACGATGGCGGCTCCTATCATCGCAGCATCGACGACGAGATGATGATGCAGGACAAGGCCTACCAGGCCTGGATGCCCCAGGTGGGCGCCACCGCCTCTTCCGCCGTCAAGGGGTCGCGATAAGGTCAACACGGGACCCGCAGCTCCGCAACCAAAGATCCAAAGATCCCACAGCAGTCCCGCTTAGTCCAATCTATATCAAATTGTATTTATACTCGACAGCCCTCCAGTTTAAGTTTAGTTATCATAGTTAATATGTTACCACAGAGCGAGCATTAAAAGAAAAGAACTTAAAGAGTTGCACTTACTGGGAGGAACGTAGAAAAAATCGAAGTAAGTATTTTGGATAATAACAAGTGGCCAAAATAAGTTATTCCCATAGGCAGCATAACATCGGCTTTAATAAATATTAAATACAAAATCGTCTTAGTCATAGAGTGTGCTTACTTCTAGTTGCTTTTCAGGTTTAATGTGACTTAATCTCGTGGAAGACTATAGGAAGCCGCGTGTGGGCTTTGTGGCCTCCGGTACTGGATGCTGGGGATCACCTTCCGCCTGATGCAGGCGGCGCTTCAGCGGTTCCATCTGGTAGGCTTGGTAGAACTCCATGGGACCACCCAAGGGCGGCTCCTCCACCTGCTCCAGCTGTGAGGAGACGTAGTCGTGGGTGGGCATGCTGCGGTGCCAGCCGCTCTCGTGACTGGAGTGGACCACCACGTGCTCCGTGCCGCCACCGCCACCGCCATGGCCACTACCACTGTGTCCAGTCGTACCCTTTTTTAGACTGCCCTGCGGAGAGAGGCGTAGCGCCAACAATTTGGACGGAACTGTTCTAGGTGGGGAATCTACTCACCAGCAGCGATATGACCAGGGCGATTTTGGCCATTATGAAGGCGGAGCCGGCGATGAGGATGACCTTGCCGAGGAACATTTGGGCCAGGGTGGCCACCATGATCATGCCGCCCATCATGGCCATGTGCTTGTCTTTGTCCTTCTTTTTGCGACCTGTTTTTTTGGAGCAGTTTTTATTTTTCTTTTTATACTTGTCTTTCTTCTTTTTCTTTTTTTTAGGCTTCTTCTTTTTCTTTTTCTTTTTCTTTTTCTTATCCTTATCCTTTTTCTTTTTCTTCTTTTTCTGCTTATCCTTATCTTTATCTTTATCTGGGGTGGCTGCAAGCACTTCGAAACTACCCCATCCTCCTATCAACTTATCGACCTTATCATCTACGGTATAAGTACCTTGATCAAGGCCCAACTCACTTCCAAAGTCATCGATGGCATTGGAAATGGTCAGCTGCCGCGGAAGCTTCACTCGCAGGGCTCTTCCCTGGACCAGATTCAGTAGCTTCCCGGCCAATCCCGTATCCATTCGCTGCCTGCTCTCCTGTACGGCCTGCGGCTCAATGCTAAGGTAATCACTGATCTGCCAGGTGCTGTTATCCCGTGCAGCCGCATCCACCAATCGCTCGCTCTTGTTGGCCAAGCACTCCCACAGCTCCTGGCCGCCCAGACATTGGGCTATAATCTTTCCCAGACCTCTGGGACTCCATGGGGAAGTCGTTGTGTCCGCGGAGGAGCCAAAGGTTTCGTTTCCTTTGTGGCTTAGCGCCAGGACCCAACAGCTCTGAAAGAGCACGCACTGCAGCACAAGCACACGCCACATTTTCCGAGTCCACACCAACTTCGCTCTGATAACACTTCTTGTATCGCTACTTGAACCACAAATAACCCAGGCAGCAGCTCCACTGTGCTATTTATATTGCCCCGATCTTTCGCGGGGTACAGCAATTAACACGCTTGTCAAAGCACGACACTGCACTCTTGATAGGAATCAAATAGAAATAGAAAAGCTTTCAGAAGGCTGCTCGCTGAACCTTGACTTGACGAAAACTGAAACCGAATCGCAGGTTTTTTTTTGGTTAAATAAACTTTCATTTTGGGGGAAATCACTCCACTACCTACTATCTTTTAATAATGGGATAAACACACTCTGAAAAAAATAAGATTTTGAGTTGTACTCGCGTTTACCCGAGTTTCAGTAATGTAAAGATTAAAGACGAAGTCCTTACTGACTTCGACCAATAACTTAAGTATAATAATAAAACAAGAATGGAAGCTGCATTTAGAAAGCCGAAATACAATTATGGTACCTTGCCAGACTATAATTGAAAGTCAAAATTAAAAATAACTTTTATTTTAGGAACTTTAAATAAGATAGGCTGTACTGGTTGTTACAAATATATTTTTTATTATTTCACATAAAAGGCTAAGTTGCTAAGTCTTATAGAAAAAGATCTTCTTAAAACCTGCCTTGGAGCATACGGTTTTAACCTGTTTCAGGGACAGTAAGGGGTTTTGATCCTACTATTGCTTCCGAAGAGAGCCAGCCTCCTTCATAAGAGTTCGTTTGCCATAATCAGACCTCGAAATATGTATCAATGTGCTTTGGTTTGAGTAGTGATTCGCAGTAGTGTTTGCTTATAAATAATTCTATATTTTCTAGTTCTTGTGACTCAATTATTTTTTCTACGAGTGTGAATACGGTCAGCCCTAAAGGGACCTCACGTCCACCGCCTGCCAGCCCTTCATGCCACTGGCATCCTGAAAGTTTCGCATCAGAAGATCTCCCTCCTGCTCCAAGCTGGCTGCGTGTAGTTTGTTGCTGGGCCTTCGTTGGTTTTCAAAGTCATAGAATCGGTCTTCGGTTGGTGGTTTATGGGCGGGCTTATGGACAGTAGGTGTTTGGGCCGGCGCTTCTGCGACTCGCGGTTGCTCAAATCGAACTTTACGTTCGGTGCGACGGTACGGCGACGCCTCGTGCACATCGTATTGATGATGCAACTCATCCCCTTGACCAAAAACTGTGGTTTTTCCCGGAAAATGACCCACCGGTCGGTGGCCATGGAAGCCGCCACCAAAGCCAAAGTTGGAGCCGCCAAAGCTACCGAAACTACCGCCTCCCAGCCCGCCGACAGCCAAACCACCCAAGGAGCCCATTACTCCACCTAGTCCTAGAAAGCTGCTCACATATATCGCCAACTTGACTAAAAATAATGACTTCTTGAGTAGCAGACAGATGCCTGCAAAGAGCAGGGGAACCAGGGCCACCAGGTTGAACTTCAAGCCTAGGAGAAATGGAAGCATATATTGCTTGACCAGGAGTCGGCCTGAAAAAATATTAAAAATATTTTTAAACCCGTACATGTATTTCTTAATAATATATTTTGTCATTACCCGTCGTTGGTTCTTCAAAGTTAAACTGCCGCTCCCCTTGCCCTGCTCCATCGAGCACGAACTCAGCCACACTATTCGCATCCGCCGTGGGCCCGATTTTGAACATTAAGCCCGGGTACAATCCGTCCATGTGCCACTCTAGACTCCGCTGGCCCATCACGGCACCGGCATTCTCCAAAATTCCACGAAAGTCCACAGGGTCTGTGTCGAGAACATTGGCCAGCGATCTCACCGCCGGCGCCTCGCTCTTCACCGTCACGAAATCCTCCACGAATCTGACATTATCGCTCTCATCCAATCGCTGGATGAAGTTCAGGGCGGATCGGCCGAGACACTCACCCAGCTTGGGCTGCTGGGCACCGCGAACACACTGTTTGAACTCGGCACTCATTGCGGAAAAGTCACTGGCAACCGCGGATCTCAGTTGTAGGAGGCTGATTAGGAGGAGAAGCGAGTCTAGTGGCGACATGTTGGTCAAGTGCTTGGACCTCTACTGAGCCCGCTGGCCAACTGACCCCTGCGTTTTATACCTTCATCTTGTTATACAATAATCAACTCAGTTTTGGCCAAATCTGCTCCCAATCCGGTAACTCGCAGCTTTTTGCACATGGCCCAATAACGGAAATAGCTTTACATCAACGCCAAGTGGCGCTCGGACGCTCTCCGCCTTCTTGCTCTTAACAATGTTGCTACTGCTTTAGCCGGCATGGTCATGGTCAGTGCACACGACCCAAAGCTGCGTCGACTTGTGGCCAATTTTTCGCACATCTCGACCATTATGCAATGGGTTATTGTTATTCCACAGAAATTATGAAACCCAAGCGGGCGCCACCATTCGCTTGGACCCTCGGAAAATCTGCAATTACCATTGCTAATGCCGGTCAATTAAATAAACGGAGATGCTTAGAGAATTAACAGAAATGTTCCATCGTTTACACAGCCAAGCTGGAAAATAGCTGCAAGTCAATTATGGAAACAAACAAGCAGAAAAGGGGGCTAGCTTAAATCGAAGCAGAGATACCTCACTGGGAATTGTACAATTCCACATTTGGCGTTTATTTCTTTAAGTTTTTATTAAACATTATGTGGAGGCATGCATTTAAAAAAAGGCTTCTAAGTCTGTTATTTTTAAATAAGGAAATGTATAAACTACTTATATCTTGCTAAGCCTTTTCCACAGCGATGTAGAACTCATAATAACCCCAAGCTAAAGAGTATAAAGAGTTTGTGACATAATTCCCTCGAGTTTGCTTTGGGAAACGTTTGCCTACTTTCAGGCAGCGCCAGTAAAAGTTAAAATTCAAGTTTGGTGATGCCAGCACGTCACGGTATTTCCCTGAAATAACAACATCAGTTAGGTTTTTCACGGTCTTTGCGGAAGGAGAAATTTGAATATTCCCCAAAGGTAGCCTCTGACACCTTAACACCCCGAAGAACTCGCCTATTTCGCTAACGAAACGGAGCAGACAGGCGGCGAGAGGGGGTAAACTTCCAAGAAAATGGCACTCCTCGTAAAGCATTTAAACCACCTTTACAAACTTCAAGGATTTTTGGCATCGGAATTACTGTTTAATCTGTGTGCGGTTCTAAACAAAAACTTTTGTAATTTTGTAAAAGTTTACGAAAAAAGCGCAAATGTAATCTTTATTTATTAAGGAATCTTAAATATTTTCTGAGTTGAGAGTTAAGAGGTAGATCCAGAGTTAAGCAAATAACTTTTCGTTTAATTTAGTTTTAGTTTTACTTACATTTTAATTTTAAAAATGTTTTACTTAAGTATTTATCGTAGTAAATAAGTTATTAATATTAAAACTAATAAGATAATGGCTACAAGCTGGAGTGTGAGTCCGCTCAATGGCCGCCAGTCAATAAATTTCCAATTGCAAGTGCCGCGACAAAAAAAGAAATTGTATTAATAAACACTTTCACCGCCGATACTTGAAATTCACGGCCAGTTGCCTGCAGTTGTTTACAAATAGTTACACAAAAAAAGGAACAAAAAAAAAAAAAGATATACGAGGCGTTCATCAGACCTTTTGGCCATTTTGACCGTTTTGTCGGTTTTGGCCATTTATATGCCGAATGCCGAGTGCCAACGGCCATAAATTGCAGCTGCGGGGCGTGCTCCCAAGTCTGGAGCACGACTTCACGTTCGCATCCATCCACACACCCAATTTGTGGGGGGGAATTGGAATTACTGGGCGTACGTGTTGCACTGCGAATGCAAAAATGAAAAGCAGGTCGCAACTTTCATTAGATTTTCCCGAGATGTGGGCCTGCTTGCCTGCCTGCCTGCCGGCGGAGTGTGTCTGTGTGTGCGAGTGTGCCTGTGCATTTTCTGGAGCGACATCGGATACAGCCCAGCGATAACTGACCGAGGCTATAGCTTCGGCTGGAGCTGAGGCTTCTCCACGCCTGGCTGGCGCAAGTGAAATCCACTGCTCTGTGATTTTGTGTGTCGCACATGCAATTGATATCGCTAGCCTCGTTCGCCTTATTCTACGTTTCGGTGAAAGAGTGAAAGCATTTCGCCAGTGCGACGCATACGCGGCGTATGAGTGATATTTCATGGTTGGAACAGCAAAAGATCGGAGTCGGGTTCGAGTTTGAGATAAATGCGGCATTTCTTTTATTTCATTTTATTAGATTTGATTTGATTCGTGTGTCTGTGGGGAAGGGGCGTGGCGAGGGGCGTTGGCCTGCGCCTAGCAGCGGCGCAAAGTTAAGCAGTTTAGTTTTAGTTTAGTTTAGTTTAGTTTGGCTTTAGAGTTGAGTTGAGTTAAGTTAAGCGTAAAGTCAATAGTAAAGCTCTGAGCATTAATACAAAAGTGGCAGTCATTACGTTTAAGATTTAAGATTAAGCAATGCAAGGCCAACCCCCGCTCCGCCCCGTGATTTTTGTCTCTCATACTTAGTTGCTACGGGTTGTGGGGTCAAGTTCCGTTTTCGGTTTTCATTTTCATTTGTTCTTTTGATGGCGCCTTATGTGTGTAAGCCTGGCATGAACTACATATGCTATACAAATAAATTAAATAAATAGAATAAATTAGACGGCCCTCCGAGTATTGCACTGATGGTTGCCTCAGCATTCGGCGTTCTGCGATTTTTGGCTTATTGCTTGTACGCCGCGTAGGCCAGCTGCTGGGCCTGCGAATCGTCCTGCTGCAGCGAGCGCCCGTAGCTGTGCTCGTGCTCGTAGTGCGGATGCGCCACCACCTCGTAGTTCTCCTTCTTAGACTCCAGCAGCTTCTTCAGACCGATGATGCCGGACAGCAGCAGGGCGATCTTGCCGATCACCAGGGCCTTGAAGGAGATCAGGGCCAGGAAGCCAATGGCCAGCGGCAGGAGGGCGGCCATTTTCAGCTTGAAGAGCATCAGCAGCGGCATCAGGTACTTCTTCTTCTCCTTCTTCTTGCCACGGGCTGAAAGACAGACGGATGGATGGGAAGGGGATTTGTGTGAGTTGGACAGATTAGCATTTGCGCATTACTTTCGCTGGATCAAAGCCGACCGCTCATTAGCAACTGGAGCACAGATAATTAGCTGGCGAACAGGATCGACCGCTTTCTATGTGGCTGCGTTTAGAAATCGGAAATTGCAGCCACCGGCTCGGTGCGGCTCACACAAAAAGAAAGTAAGCCTAGCTAACTGGCTGACTAAAGTGCAATTAATAGCCAACTATCTGGCGGATAACCAGATAACCAGCTGCCAATGCACCGCTACAGGATGACCTCGATATGGCATCAACTTAACAGTGAAAACAGGATTTCCACTGGAGCTGTGGCGGGAGCCAGTGCTCGCAAGCTGGAGCCATCTGCCCGAACTGGTCGCTTGCATTACTAACCCAAATTGGCAACATTGGCAACAAGTTGTCACTGAGTCGAGTCGGCCGAGACAGATGAGTAATTTATGTGGGATCTGCTGGATACTCACATTCCTCGAGGGCACGCTGCATGTCCTGGATGGAGTCCTTGGGCACCTTGAACTGCAGCGTGTGGGTGCCGAAGAAGCGAGCCACTCGCTCCACCAGCAGGGAATCCACCTCGGCCTCGCGGGCCTCTACCTCCTCCGGCAGCTGCACATCGTTCAGGGATCGACCCACTGGGATGTCATCGGTTTTTACCAGGGCAATGCCCTCGGTTAGCCGCACATCTCCGTTCTCGGTGTCGAAGTAGTGCAGGGCACGCTCCTTTGGGTTTGGGATTGGACATTGATATTATTGGGCCTTGTGGGCTAATGGGTTGCTTCGAACATTACCTTCATGCACAAGACCATAGAGCGCTCGCCGCAGTCCTTGACCATCTTCAGGGCGCTGGTCAGCAGGCTGTCGGCCTCCGAGGCGGCCGCTGCCGTGGAGGCAATCAGCGCGAACAGGCACACAAACTTAAACATGATTTCGTCGGTTGGTTGGTTATATATCCACAAGCACAAAACACTGGATCGGATGTATCGGAGGTATCCTGCCACTTCCTGGCGATGCGGGATGTCTGTTCACTTGATTGAGTGCACTGCGCTCGATTGGCGTGTTCGATCTGTCGGTCAGAAGGCAACCGGATAACTGTGGCTAGAAGACGCACGCGGATCGAGTTTTATTCCCGGCCAGCAGAGCGGCAGCAGCGCCGGTCGGTCAGCAGCGACGACAACGGCAGCGGCAACGACTATAGTCGCATACGACAACCACGCCGTTGTCGCTTTAACGCTCCGCAACTGATCCCACAGATCCCACCGCCTCTCCTCCGGCCGCAGTCCAGAAACAGTAGCCGAGCTTAGAATTTAAATAAACACCACCACGAGTGTGAAGACGATGAGGCGCATCGGCCGGGCCCCAGGCATCGGCCGGGTTGCAGCCGAAGTCCCCAGTGTGCGAGTCCAAGTCCAACTTCGCCTCGGAGTGGCCGCAGCAGCAGTCGGGGCAGAGAGTTACCTGGACAGGTACGGTTACAGGTGTGCGTGAGCAGTCTCAGTCGCCGCAGAAGCCGGCAGAGCTGGCTGGCTAACAGGCTAACAGTTGTTGTTTGTCAACACACTCAAGCGGCAGTTAGCTGTTTGCTGCTGGCCAATGCGAGAAGGCTAATTGTGCAGTGGCAATACATCATCACCCAGCCTCTGGGCAGGCGTCGTAAATCGAAATCTTACAAAAAACTCCCTAATAATTAGCACTTAATCATAATACCCAGAATTAACTCAATACGAGTATACATTTGCATATAATTTTAGAACTTACTTAAATTATATAAGAAATAATCTATATTTATTAAATCACATTGCTGGCAAATCTATAATTTAAATAGGATTCAAGCCAGAAGAGGATATAGAGAACTGCAACATATTTAACAGAAAATCGCAACTGTTCCATTAAAGAAAATTTATTATAATTTGGACTACAAAATATGTAACAAAATTAAAATCTCCTGGGACTGTCCATTGAAATATTTGTTAACCTTATTACATTACTAATATATTTTTTAGAATTATCATAGTACGTTATATATATTATCCTGAATTGCATTTAATGTCTATTTGAAATTCTTGTTTACTTTGAGTTAGTAAAATCATGAAATAATAACCTACCTCAAGAATCATTTATATATTAAGACAGATACTTAAAAGATTACTGTCAATAAAGGAGTTTATAACTCGTTAATTTTGGCTGAAGAACTAAGTATTCTTTAGAGGCGCCACCCAATGATGGCATACTTTTAGCACTAAGCAAATCTCGGGTGCAGCAGAAAGTCCAGTGGTTCCATTTCAAATTGCATCTGCTCACACACACTTCACGCCGTCACGCCGTCACACCGCCACACCGCCACACCGTCGTCACACTCGCACACGTGACGGGGTGGGCGGTGGGTGGTTAATCAAGAGCACCATTTAAGATGGCGGCCGATGGTCGAAAGCAAACCGCCACTTGAATTGGAGTAAAATAGAAAATTAACTAGTTTGTTAGCGGTGCGGTGGCGGCTGCGGCCTCTGTTGGTGGAAAAAATTTCACTTTAATTTTGCTTTTTATTTATGTGTTTGTTTTTGCCTCCAGCAAGCATCTCGCATAATGTATCTGCAGTTTTGTATGCCAATCCAATCGTCGACAGCGGCTCAGGCACAGACACAGCCACAGCGACACGGCAGCTATACTCGAACACGAGAGTTTCATTGGCATTATGTCGCTTTAATTCGCAGCACTCGAAAATTGCCACACGTCTTGGCCGCTTCTCGTTCCATCGGCTCATCGTTTGCCGGGTAATTTACGCATTAGACAAGTGCCCCGAAAGAAAGCTAAGCCGCAGATTTGCATGCTGCCCAAAGAAAACACGCCAGAAAGCAGAAAACTGAAGAAATAAACAAGAGAAATATAACAAAAACCCTCGCATCTAGATGCAAAGCCGCTGCGGTGCTTCGTAGACGATTATCCGAAGCGGCAACATGAGCCCAAAATCCGTTGATGGAATATGTAAATGCCTTGCACGTGGACATAGATGGATGTGGCTGCCACTGTCACGCTGTGATGTGTGTGTCTCCTTGATGGCCCCTTCAATACTCTACGGATATAATTTATCTAAATTAGCCAGGATCTCAGTAAAGATATTTCCTTGAAATGTTTAACCTTGCTAGGCTCAACGGTATATTTTTAAATTTATAAAAATATGTTCAATACCTCGAAAAGGGCAGTTAATCGTCGAATTGTTTAAGTAAAACTCAAATGAAAGTAAAAAGGTATTTCATTGATATAATTTAAGCTCTCTTCACACACACATTATGATGCAATGTGGCAATAATCAAGAAACTTAAATAGTCGAGAGCTCTGCAATAATACTTTGTAAATTTAACTCTTACCCGGAGAGATGAGTAATAGGGCTTTAATTTGAAGGCAAGTCTAGTTAACCAGTGCCATTTGGCAGTTTATGAGCTGGATATTTTCCATAAATCCGCTTGCTTCCACTTAATTGAGTGTGCACAATTAATTTGTAAGTTAACTGCTGGTGCTGTCCCTTTCGCCGGCTGACCCCAATCGGCATGCGAAATATTCGCTCTGCGGATAAAGCCAAACTTAGAGCATCTCACATTCAAGGCAAACACTCCCCCCTGCTGCGGCGCCTCAGCCCCAACCCTTTTCAGTGGCATCTCCAAAATTGACACCTTTTCAAAGTTTCACTTTCATTCCGCTTGGCTGGAATTCCGGATTTCAGCTGAGCTCCGCCTTTAGTTTGCAGCTCCACCCCGGTGTTTACATGCCGCTGCCCCAGTGCGCTTGGGTAATTTTCAATTAATGAAAGTCCCAGCCGGATGACGTCAGTGGTGTGCGGTGCCCAGGAAAGGGCACCCACGACCAAGGGCCTGGGAGTGTCGTTAGCCCGGTTCAATGTTCTACGCCGAGCAGCTCATTAATATTTCGTGCAGTGGCCAAAAGTGAAATTGTCGCATACCGAGTGGGCCACAGCCACAACAATGGACTGGCCAGAAAGAGAGCCGAGCAGCTTGGCAAGTGTTGAGGTTTGATCTATGAATATTGCATTTGACTCTGGGCAGGCAAAAGCTAAATGAAATATTGTGTGCCAGTTGTGTTTAATTAAAATTAAAACGAAATTCCCCTCAAAGGACCAAGTGGCTCAGTAACGACGTACAATATATGTTTATACATTATTACATAAAATGGATTGCAGCCTTCGCTTATGCCACTATTATTTTGACAACATCTGTAGGCACACTTCAATAAATATTCCCATTTAGTTAAATTTTGGTAGAAAGCGAAGCAGCTCTTGTGCCGTTTTTGGCACGCACGTGAGCTCGTTTCGATGACACCTGTAATTGTCATCATAAATTCTTGTTCTGGGAGCGGCCATTCCACAGAAATAAATCATCTTCAAACGATCTTCGTGTAGCAGAATTTACTATATTTAATTAACGCTTACTTAAACCTAACACACACATTTAGTTTGTAAAATTAATGATCGATTAGGCAAATTAAACTAGCCATTAGTCAGACAGTTCGTGCGGCGATCGTTTCTTTGGTTCACTCCTCCAAGCTCCAATCTCCAATAATCAATCTCCAATATTCATTCTCCAATTCCAATTTCCATCTTCTCGTTCTCTCAAATGCAAATGCGAGCTCACAGGCTCTTGGCGCTGCCCGCCGAATCCTTGGTTGCCGGCTTCCAGCCACTGTAGGCTGTGTCCAGGTCCCGACCCCATCCCGAGTTGCTGCCCGAGGACACGACCACTTCGTGGGAGTTGTGCTGGCCACCGCCTCCTCCGGCCAGCAGCTTCTTGATGCCAATGATTGAGGCCAGCACTAGGGCTAGTTTGGACACGATCAGCGCCTTTCCTGCCAGCATGGCCAGTGCTCCGTAGGCCAGAGGCACCATCGTTCCGCCAAGCAGCAGGGGAATCATGATCATGGCGCCGTGCTTCTTCTCCTTTTTCTTGCGACCCTCTACCGAGTTATCTTCCGAGTCGAACTTCACCTTTGGAAGAGAGTATTCATTAAATTTCATTAGTATTTAAACTTCTGGGTCAAATTCTTTTTATAAATCACGTTTATTAAAGTTATGTAAAGGTGAATGGTGAATTTTTGCATTTGACATTCCTAAGAACTGATAAAACGGAACTTTCTAGTTGTTAAAAAAAATTCTCAGATCTAATATTATTACATAAAAATATACACACATTTTTCGTTAAGTTATCCCGTACTTATGCTGGTTACTAACCTGCAATGTGTGATCCTGAAGGAATTTGCTTAATCGCTTCATGATCATGTTATTCAGCACTTGTTCCTTGGCGTCCACGCTCCTCGGCAGCACCGCCTCTATATCCTGTTCATTGATGGGCGCCCTCTTAGGCTCTTCACTCTCTCCGCCGGAGCTCACGAACTGAATTCCATCTGTGAGCGAGAGAGTCTTGGCCGATCGAAAGGCCTTCTCCAGACCCGTCAGCAGCTTGACCTTGAGGCAGACGGACATGTTGTCACCCGTGCACTGTTGGTAGATGCGATAGACCATCGACATATCCTTCCAGAAGCCTGTGGAGCCGCTTGCTGGGCCACTGTTCTGGGGCTTGGGCGCAGAACTGAGGCTGTTCAGGGTCTGGTGCTGGTAGGTGGCACTCCTGGCACTCGACAGCCAACAGAAGACGATCATCAGGGCGGCCACGTGCCACACGTACTTGATCATGGCTGGAGTGTGCGCTGCTGGCCGGCGATGCTGGATGAGATGGATGATGTGGATGAGATGGTCCTTGGGCAGCTCTGGAGGTGAGGCATAAACTGGAGCAAAGACGCCGGGCGTTACTCTTCGGGTGCTCAACTGAGTGCTGGCCGCCGGATCGTATGCATTTTATACCCGGGCTGCCCAAATCGCATGTCGGGCGGCCGCGTGAAATTGAAAAAACACAAAACACACACTTTGTCTTAGTCTAAATATCACGGCAATTAGCCAGATGTTGTTGGCCAGTGGAGCTGCACTTTCGTGATTTCGCTGCGAAAGCCTCCGAAATGCAGTTTCGTTTGCAATTTTATTCCCGCTTTTTAGCTCGTTCTAAGCTATTGAGCTCGTGCGTGACTGCCAATGCCGAAGCCATTCTTCTCAGTCTTGGCAACTGGCTTACTAGACCGCAACTGTATCTATATTCGGCATTTTTGTTGTTGTTTTTGTTTCAGTCTTTGGTGCAGATTCACTCGCTGTCGTCACCTAATTTGGTCAAAACTTTTCTTTTTATAAATGCACCTAGCCAAGTCAATTTTTTGTTGCATACTTTGCGGTGCTGCCGGAAAAAGTACTGCCACCGAAACGAATGAGTTAAGACACGAACTCGATGGCACTCAACGAAAGGCGAAGAAAGCTTGAAAACTTTCTTTTCTGTTTGGCGAAACGATCTCCAGGTGGCGTTGCACCTAATTGAAGTGATAATTGGTTAGCAATTGCTTGTGAACTCAGATCTGTTAATACGAAATGATAACAGGCGGTAGTTTTACACACAAAATTGTTTAGCCGGGGAGATCAAAGGGTTGTATAATCTGTATAGCTTTAGTGCCTCAAAAATAAATATGTTGAGATATTTTTATATACCAACTGTATCTTTAATTTATTAGTTTAAGTAAATATTACGTAAATAAATAAATAATAAGGTAAATAATAAGGTAAGTCTCACTATAAACAATTAAAGAATAGCGATGCAAACTATGACACTCGTCTGTTTCTTTGGAGTTCAGAAAACTTCATGGATAATTTATACTTATTCGACTATTAGCTTCGTTCAATTAGAGCATTTTCACCTCCAAATTAAGACACCTTAAGTACACACATAGGCGAACCGCTTATCGTTCCACCAAACGGCTTTGAAAGCAATTAAGCGGTCTTCGCCTGATGCAAATTGAACTGATAATCAAAGTCCTCATGCAACGTGCAACATAACCGCTTAGGCCGATGCAACCGCCGTTCAATAATTACGCTGGATTGTTGCTAACTGGATAGCGTAATTTATATTGACCACTAACGATGGCCACATCAAGAGCAGAAGCATCAGCAGCAGCAGCAGCAGCAGCGGCGGCACTAGCAACAGCAACAGCGCTAGTGGCAGAAGCAAATCAGGCGTGACGGGGAAACGCTCGAGCGGCCAAAACTTGCGGCCAATTAACTTTCAATTAATCAAAGGCAACGAAAGCTCATAAAACCGCTTAGTAGTAGATTTAATGCTCGCTGAGCAAAGCTGCGTCCACAATTGGTGTAATCATAAATTTGGATGCGTGCTTTGTGTGCCGAGTGTGGGAAAAACGTGCTGGAGCGGAAAATGATGGCAGCGGCATTTAATAATATTATTAGTCGGGCGGGCTTTCTGGCTCGGCGTTTACGTACATTTTTGCTACTTTTTTTCCGCACGTTTGGCTCGGAAGCCTCTGTGCTGGAAAGCGCACTGCAGCAAGGCCGGCAATCAACTTGACTTCGGGACCGCCTCGAGTCGTTGTCTACGTTCTGGTGACCCGCTTTCGGAACCAAAACTCGTTTTCATTTCGCTGAACATTCTGCACACGGCTGCGGCGACGACGCCCTTGCAGGCATCCCGTCCACTTGAAGCCCCTCCCCCCGGAGCCGTGGCCCCTCGCTCCGATCCGTTGACAGTGAAATTGCTTTCAAATTGGGCACTCTGCACGAATCTCCTTCGCACTTTTATTCCCCCGCAGCCGCCAGCTCGACTCTTCTTATGAATTATTGCAAATTTTGTGGTTTTTTATCTGGTTTTTCAGAATGTGAAATTGGTGGCGGTGCAGTGGTGGTGCAACGGCTGCGTTGATGCTGCACCAGTTCGGCATTTCTCTAGCGGCACAACCGTTGCTCGCTCCAAATCACCGATTCAGGCTTTCGTTTAAGTCGGCCGATTTGCATATACTACTATGTTTACCAGCGGCCATAAATAAAATGTATCTCAAACGAAAATAGGCTGAGCGCCGCTAAAGAACATGACCATTTTGTTAATTGATTTTGTGTGGCATATAACGGCTAGAAAATACATTTTTATTTATCTACAAGAACGAATATGTTGATTAGCATTTTGTTTCCTCGAGTCCCGCTAATGCATAAGAAATTATGGCAATAACCTGTGGCCTGTGTTCGTTTCACAAAATTTTCAAAAACATTTATGGTATGGCGTGAAATTGAAAGTACTTTCTAAAAGGAAAGGAAATATGTTCTGCATTCAATTCACTTTTACTGGCCAAGCATGTGAGCGAAATACGAAATGTTACTTTTTAATTTATTTTTTATGTATATTGGTCTCTGAAAAGTAAAGCTTAATCTGAAGATTTTCTCTTCGCTTAAGAAGACACTCAAATTTCAGATTCCATTTAAATCTTTAAATATGAAGCTGCGAGCTGAGAGCCAACTTAATCCCCTTTAAATCCCCTAAATGAGCGTTTTTTAATTTCCCACTGACACTTGGCGTCCCCGGGCGGCACCTTTGAGATAATTTCCAGCAGAGCGTAGCCCGAAAATGTTTGTAATTTCTTTTGATTAAGTGAGCGGTCTGGGGAACAACGGGGAGACTGACAGTGGTCAGTCAATGTTTGCTCAAGCTTGGCAGCTGCCCAAATGAGTTGTTAACATTAATGCGCATTAACTTGTCTTTTGTCTTCGCCCAAACATTCGCTGGCAGCCACATTTAGAGCGGCTTGGAAAACGTTTTTGTGTTGTTTTGTTTCTTCTCTGCTGGCCCTGGCCATGCGCCACAATTTCTAAGACTTTTCACTGCAATCGCTGTGGCTTGGTTCGGGGACTGCTGGCTCGGTTTCCTAACTGTTTACTTTCACTGTCGGTTGCCGCGCTGTTGCCCATGCTGCTGCCGTTGTTGTCGGAAGCCAGCGGGGCACGCTTCGGGCAGCAGTTTATTGGATTTTTGTTAACCTGTCTTGGCCAGATTCAGAGTAAGAGCCAGAGCGGAGTCGGAATCGGAGTCGGACTCATAATTATTTACACCTATTAACGGGCGAATCTCGGAAATTCGCTGGGGCAACTGGGTCGCAAATCAATTTCACTTGAAATGAAAGCATTTCGACCAAAGATGGACTTGTCAACGGCAAGTTTTCGTCGTCTTCGTCGCCGGCATCTCGGCCGGGAATTGGGAATTATGCATAAAGCTTTCAGTTTTGTCGTTTCGCTTTCACCCGATGGTATGCCATAAATTATACAGACTTGTCTTGATTTTTCATTGATTTTTTATTTATTAATCTTCCTTGCTTGTGTTTTTTTTTCAACTTTTTTTTTTGTATATTGATTTTCTTCATTTTTTTTTATAATGACATGCGTGTGTGACAGAGAGGGAGTATTGTAGTCTATGGAATTTACATTCTTTTGTGAGTGAGTTTTGTGATTTGTTTTTAGTTATCATGAGTGTGAGCCCACATCTGCAGCTTCTACGCTTCTTCTTCATCGTCATCATCTTACTACTGTTGCTGGAGTCATAGTTGTGAAAGCGCCGTACGACTTTGCTTAAAATATTTAAATTAAAGTAGACGACGTGCTGGCGACTCGAGTCTTGCGGGATCCATTGGCCAGAGGGCTCTCCAGATGTCATAAACAAGGTATTTTTAAGTGAAACATTAAAAATCTGTTTAGGTCCACGGAGCAGGAGAGCCGGACACCATAGACCGGCCGGCAAGGGGGTCGAGTCGCGCGGATGCATAAAGTACGATTAAGTAAGCAGTTTAAAATATTCAAAAAAATATTTTTAACAATAAAATGAACTAGGTGTGTGTGTGCTAGTGTGTTTTTTCGGCTTCGTCTGCGGTGTCGGGAAAGTAGAGCGCTAGAAAGTGACAGATGCAGAGGCAGAGGCAGCAGTGAGGCGTCGAAAAGAGACAGTAGATACTAGATAGCGGGATGGAGGTCCGGAGGCACGGAGCCCCGGAGAAATGAGAAAGTTGAAGAGTCGAAGTGGAAGTCGAGTGTCGAGTGAGGAAATAGCAGAAGTAGTCGGAAAATGAGTTCAGTTTGGTGTGGCGTGTGTGTCTTTTTGAAAACCTATGGCAAGTGATGGCATGCGAATGACCAAGACTGCGACTCAGATGTGAGACTGGAAGACTGGGAAGCCATGAAGGATAGCTGAAGGATAGCAGGAAGATATGCAGCGGCAGAGAGGCAGAAAGGATAGAGTTAGAGCTAGTGGAGTTAAAGCTAATAGTAGGCATGCTTGCTGGTGTTGTTGTTGTATTGTAAGACTAGAATTGCATGTGAAGAACATAGTTGAGCAGTTAGAGTATAGAGTACAGATATAGACTTGTAGAGTTAAGATTTGTACGTTGCGCCGATTGCATGGCAGTCGGCTGAGTTTTGGTATAGGCAGTGGACAGAGTAGTGGTAGATACAGAGACAGATACAGATACAGATGGAGACGTAGATGGAGCGATAGGGAGATGATAGAGCATTAAATATAGATACAGTGTGTGATGGGTCGATTGATTGATGGATCGGGGCAGTGCTGTGCGAGCTTAGACTTAAGGCTGAGTATTTGCAACTTGTGGGGTAACTCTCGCTGGCTGCTCTTTTTACAAACTTAACGTTAGCTTCATCAGTTTTAACAACTAATATAGAGTTATGATTCTTGATTCTGTCTGCTTTAACATTATCGTGTGCGTGTGTCTTCACTCATTTCGTTTTCATTGCTTGGAGAAATAAATAAAATAAATTAAATTAATAAATTAATTAAAACGAACGATAAATAATGTGCTTCTCTTCGCGAGTCTCAGGCGAGCCCCAAGGCTCAAGTCCTTTGTGTTCGTGATTCTGGTGATGTGTTCAGGTTCTTCTTGAGTTATTTGTGTGTTGATCCTGTGACTTAAGCCTGGGCGGGCTTCTGGGCACCGTAGGCCAGATCCTGGGCATCGATAGAGCGTCCCCAGCCTCCGTGGCCGCTGCTGCCGTACGATCCCGACGAGGCACCAGCATCGGCGCTGTAGCCGCTGCCGTAAGAGTCGTGGCTCGTCGAGTGGCTGCTGCTGTGATGGGGATGGGCAACCACTTCGTAGGTCACGTGCTTCTCCTGCGACAGCAGCTTCTTCAGGCCGATCACGGCGGACAGCACCAGGGCGATCTTACCAATGAGCAGAGCCTTGCCGGCGATCAGAGCGATGGCGCCCAACAGCAGGGGCAGCAGGGCGGCGGCCTTCAGGGCGACCAGGGCGAGGATGGGTCCCAGAATCTTGGCGGCCTTCTTCTTCTTGCCACGGCTCTCCTCGGGGGCGTTGGGATCGTTGGAGCCGAACAGCGACTCGGAGGCATCCTCCAGAGCACGGCCGGTGGAGCTGACCGCCTGCACGATATCGGCGCCCTTCAGCTCAACCTTGATGGTGTGCGAGTTGAGGAAGCTGCTGATGCGGTTCAGGGCCAGGGACTCGAACGATTCGTCACCGGAAATGGAACGGGCGGCCTCCTGCTGGGGAGCGTCCGGGGAGCGGACCACGGTGACACCCTCGGTCAGGGCGAACTGGTCGCGGGCGCCGAGCACCTTGTCCACGAAGCTGAACAGCTTGTACTTGACGCACGAGACGGAGTCCTTGCGCAGGCAGTCGCTGTAGATGCTATCCATAATGTCGTTCTCGCCGCCGATGGCGTTGCGGGCATGGCCGCGGGTCTCCTCGGCAGGAAGGGCGGCGCTCAGGGCGGCCAGACACAAGACACCGAAAACAACTTTATGGCTTGCCATTTTGCTTTTTGTTTGTTTGGTTTTGTATTTGTCGTTGCACGGGGTATTATCGGATTTTTTTGGATAGTCCTTTCGTGGAACCACTACACTGTCACGTAGTTCGGCGGCGAACGCACTTTCTCTTGGGTGGAAAACTTTAGTTTTTTTAGTTTTTGGCTGACTGCTGCTGCCGTATAGCTGCTCAGACGGTTAAGGATTGAATGATACAATTTTCCACTGCACACGACAACTTATATACGGCGGCAGTGGCAGTGGCAGTGGCAGCGACCGCGGCATCGGCATGCTCATCTGCTGCGAAAGCATTTCTCGACCCCGCTCGTCCCGCTCTCTCCGAAAACTAGTCGTGCAAGTTTCTCGCTTAAGTCTTTCGTTTGGTCGGCCAACGGTAATGCTCAGTCGGCGCCGGCCGCGCTGCAGCAGCGCCAGCAGTTGGAAAAGCATTGTTACTGTAATTTGTAAGCTGTCGCTGCCGCTGCGCTGCTTTCGCCCGAAGTTCATGTAACATTGTCAACGGTCGCAGCCTCCTGGCTGTGGGAAACCAATAACAAAATCTACCAACTACCAGATACCAACTGCCAGCCGGCCACTTTTACCGCGCGGAGAGCGGGCCAAAAAGTGCCGAAAATCGCAGTCGTAATCTTAATTGTCTGGGCTTTAATTGAAAATGAGTTTTTTGTAAAAGTAAGTAAAAGCATTTCCCTTTCAAGCTCAGTCGGGCCTCTGACGGAAGTGGCACAGGTGAAAAGAGGGGCGGTTAATCGAAAAGAGATAACTTCTATAAGGTATTTTGAAATAAATAAACCCTCATTATGGTGAATGAAATTAAAATAAACATTAGTCAAAAGCAAGCTAATTATAGGCTTTCAATAATTGGGAGGGATGGGAGTTGTCATATCATGGTCTTATTTGCGATTTGTTCATTGTTAAGAGCGTATTAAATAAAATATTAACTAAGGAGGAAGATTAGATTGAGTGCAACCCAAGATAACAGATATTTATTATTGGAAATTGTCAGACAATAATCCAATTCAGTTAAGATATAGGACAGATAAGACCCCGAAGAGAAAGAAAAAGAAAACTCTTTTCTTTGATGCCAATATATAATATATTGTTATCATTTTTTCTCTGTGTGATCATTAGAAACTCACAAAAACCAATCACGTTCTGAGATCCGAATATCAGACAGGGATCAGAAATCGAAACCGAGTGACATTGCCAATAATATTTATCATAACCCCATTCAGAAAAGGGAAAGTTGCGGATACATGTGCGAACTATGCGTGGTATGCGGTCCGCCCTTCTTCACTTTTAATGTGCAAATTTTATGCGTTTTCAAATGCGATGCGGCCAAAACAAACAGCTGTCATGGCTAACTGACTGGCTGACTGGCTAACTGGCCAAACGGCCGAGTGGCGTCCAGCAGGCTGAGTTATCGACTGGCAAACACCAGTAGCACGACCGATAGCTGTCCCAGCTGCCAGACACGGACCCAACGACTAACTAACTAAGTAACTGACTAACTAACTGGCGCTGGCCATCCAACTGGATGGGACAGGTAAAAGTACGCAAATAGACAGTGACCAGTGACCAGTGACTGGTGACCAGGAGCCCAGGCAAATGAAAGTCATCATCTCATCCCCAAGGCGAGAGAGTTGGCGAAACGCGAGTGGATTGGGTCTCGGATCTCGGCAAATGACCGCGAGCAGGATGCGAGTGCCACGGACCCCACGAAAGTGTTGAAAATAGTTAATTAAAAGTGTTATGAATGTGTGAAAATGCAATGAAAATGCGCTTATGAATTGCTCCCTGGCAGCCGATGGCCGAGCGCAGTGTGAAAACGCTTTTCCAGATCAGCCAAAGCTCTCGGCTGAGCTCTTCGCTTGTCTCAGTGAAAGCGAATTTCGTATGCATCTGTCGGTGAGGGACAGCGGGTGGTGGCCACGAGTAGGGGCAGAAGTGGAATTGAACGAAACGCATTGCGTGAATCTTTTGCATATAGTCCACAGAGAAAAATGTAATCTGTGTGTTGGAATTAAAAGTAAATTATAACTTTAAATATTTATGAATTATGTTTTACATTTCTGGAACCAGAAAATTGTCTTTTAAGACACAGGGAAAAAGTAAATTAAATCGATGCTAAAAGATAGCCATTCTTTCAGAAAACATACCCATTTTTATCACTGCATGTAGGGATGCAGTTCTGGCCCCGAAGCCGAATGTTAAATTATTTGACATTTAATTAAATTTTATATTCGCTGGCTGGGAGTTTCTGCCGCGCAGCCGAGATGAGAAACGACACTTTCACTGCATCGCCGGCGCAAAGGCCTCGAATCTACAGCCTCCACTCTCGAGTCTCGCAACCCAAGTCCCTCGAAATACGTATCAGAGACGCAGAGTGCAACGGATCGGGATTGAAGAAGCCCTGTGAACCGCTTATTGTTCTATTGTTGTGGCGGGCCCCATCAACAGGTTACTCTTTGGAAGAAAGATGAGTGAGGTGAGCCTCTCATAACAGCCCAACGGGTTTCTGCTGCAGGCCGCAAAAGGCGGGCCCAAATGTGTGGCTGCCGGGCAGACCGGAGCATGAATATATACCTATATATGTTTATGCACTTATATTTTATTTATATCGCAGTTGCCATTGTGGCTGACTGGATGGCTGGCTGGCAGTACACAAAAAAAGAAAGTTCAGGCCAAAATTTTCCTTTTTCACCAAAGACAACGACAGCCACATTCACTGCCGTGGCGCGTGCAAAGCTGCAGCTGGAAAATGTAAAATGTAAGCTAACAAACTTACAACCGCATGAATGAACCCCCAAACGGATGACGAAGTGAGTGCCGGACCTAGCACTCCCAATTGCCATTCCCATTGCCATGGCCATTTCCATTTCCATTGCCATTACCACCGAGTGGGTGTTTACGCTTACAGGCCCGTTCGTAAAGTAAACTTGAGCTTGCAGACAAAAACCACGAAGACTGGGCAACAAAGTCCCACAATGTCAATGATATTACTGATGGCACTGCAGTCAATCACGGAGTGAAAACGCAAAACAAACTGCAACTGCCACTTAATAGCTTCATTTTCAACGTACGAGCGGCAGCCCAGAGTCAAGTGGGCGTCACTTCTTTGGCCCAGTTAAAAACAAAACAAAAAGCTTCCAGCCCCAGAGATGAGCGGACTTCTTGATTTCCGAGGCAGCGAGGCTGTGTTGCTCTAAGCTAACATAATTATTTAAATTAATTATTTTATTCTCGTTGCCTTAGCCCTTCAGTTTTGTTTACTCTTCGAGTTATTAATAATTGACATCATTTAATTTTTTACTCAAACAAAGGGGCTTTCCCAATGCGAGGGAGCATTTAAGTATTGTGGTAATCGACTTTCTTTCAGCTGTTTATGGCCATGCAAATGTGAGAATTTTCCCAAGTCCGGGTTTACGACATAGTCGTAATGCCCCATGTGGCAGTGCCTCCGCTGCAGCGGGATGTGCAAGCTCACTCTTACTTACTTATGACTTATGACTGCTTTAATGGCCCACTGCCAGCCGGAATTATAGGGAGCGGGCCTGGGAGCTGGGAACTGGGAACTGCGGCTTTAACCCCCGCTGGGAATGGCGCAGCGCAGGGAAAGGTCCACGGGTAGGCACAAATTAGCGGTTTATGCTGTAATCATTTAGCTGAAAAACCTGCCACGCCCATTAGCATAACCGAGCGGTGTCTCTGCTGCGGCCCACCTGGCAACTGCCGCCAGAGATACAAATTATAAATGCACGAATCGGTCTTGGAATCGGCCGCATCACTTTCACTTTCCATGACGCCCCAGCGTCGCGGAGCGCTAATATGCATCTAGCAAGCCGAAAATCGAAAAACACAGACCAAAAATAAAACATTTATGGATATGGCTCACACTCGAAATTATCTAATTCCGCGAGCATAATCAAAACGGTACACCAGCTCGATGGCCCGATGACGCTGTCGATGGCATCCATTGCGAAATCGGAGCACGGATGTCTCGGAGACGTTTTCACACATGAAACAAGGGGTATATCAGCTATGTGTGTGAATTTGGCGGGAAGCTAAGACAAAATGGGGATCCTTAAATAATAATTTCACTATTAAATAGTCTTTTTTTAAGATTTCAAAGTCAAAAGTTTAATTATTTGAACCTAAATAATAAATAAAAAATTATTCCTGGACTCACTTTAATGCTTGGTTTATATTAAAATCTTGTCTCGAAACCATCTCCATAATTCAGTTCCTCCTTAATTTTTTACAAACAGTTCACATTTCTCTCTCAACACTTCATAAATCTCTTTTGAATGACTAAAAGCGTATGGGAAATGCGCATTTAGGGTGGCGTGTTGTTTCCATTTCTTTTTTATTGCAGCATTTATTTAATAATTTATTAGCGTTTGTTTTTCTTTTCATTTTTATGTAATTTCTTTGACGGTAAATGCCGCTTATATTGAATAATTGAAGGCAAAGTGTGAGCGAAAAATGTCGCAACGATGGCTAAGAGAAATGGGAGCTGGCTCACAGTGCAAGATATGGGCCAGAAAAAATGATGGATTATCATTCTTAAAAAATACTTAAAACTACAAAAAAGAACTAGAAGAAATCTATATAAAAATGAAAACAATTTTTATTCTCTGTTCAAAATATTTGGAATATTTTTATAAAATTCTTCTAACATTTAATCATCAGTTGCAAGTCCTGGGCACTGTGCGGCGGCGGTGTTAAAAATTATATAACGCGTGAATAACTTTTATGGCCCTCAAGTGCAGTTTGGGGCTTAAATATAAACGAAGACTCATACGACATACGACACAGGGCACCGCCATCGCTTTCTTTCGAAAGAGAAAGGGTTTCTCAACGGCCAGCCTCCTGCCTCCTTTTGCCTGAGAAACTTGCCGAAATTGCATTTTTATTGCCCGATCTGTGGCGGCGCACGTGTGTACGGCCCCAAGCCCTTTCGCTTTTTCTTCGAGGATACCTTTTTTTGTTTTTAACTTCTTCTTTTGTCGGGGCCCCCGGCTTGCAGCTTCCGCAACTTTCACGCAATTGCTGCAGCGGCACAGAA